GCGAAATGTCTATAATACTCGGCAATATATACTTGCAGCACAGTCTCCTCCGAAAGTCAATGGTTCTCTATAGATTGTGCTAGTTAGTTTATGTCAACTTGATATGACCTACAGTGATGGGCGTGGTTGACCGGTAGTTAGAATTAACCAGACCAGCTCAAAAACAACGAATATAATTTAATAATTGGAAAATGTAGAAACTCACACGACCGGGGTCCAGCGAGCACCATGTGCAACCCAGAGAGAGAGAGAGAGAGAGAGGAGAGAGGAGAGAGGAGAGAGGAGAGAGGAGAGAGGAGAGAGAGAGAGAGAGAGAGGGGAGAGAGGAGAGAGGAGAGAGGAGAGAGGAGAGAGGAGAGAGGAGAGAGGAGAGAGGAGAGAGGAGAGAGGAGAGAAAGAGAAAGAAAGCACACCTGGATCCCCAGGTCTTTTTTCCCTGGCCCCAGGCGGCCACACCCTAGCCAAATGTGATTGGCTGAGCTTCCCCATCACTACAGTTAATGGAAAGGACTGAATCTCAATTGAGAAAATGCCTCCATAAGATAAGGCTGTAAGGCATTTTCTTAATGAGTGATTGATGGGCGAGGGCCCAGCCCATTGTGTGTGGTACCATTCCTGGGCTGTGGACCTGGAATCTACAGGAAAGCAGGTTGGACAAGCCACGTAAAGCAAGCCAGTAAGCAACACTCTTCCGTGGCCTCTGCATCAGTTCCTGCTTCCAGGTTCCTGTCCTGCTTGAGTTCCTGTCTTGACTTCCTTCAGTGATAGACTCGGAAGCCAAATAAACCCTGTCCTTCACAACTTGCTTTGGGTTATGGTGTTTCATCATACCAAAATAACCATAACTAGAACACAGAAATTGGAAAACAATATTCTAAATTTGTTTGAAACCATAAGAGATGCTTAATATCCAAAATAATTCCCAGGAAAGAAAGCAAAGTTGGAACATCTTTAAAGCTGCTAGGAAGTTAACAGTCAAATCAAAGCAGAATGAGGCAAGTTTACAATTTGATAGGCACAAAGATCAATTGAATAGAACAGAACCCATAAGTAAATACACACACACACACACACACACACACACACACACACACACAAGGGGAGAGAAGCTTATGGACATTGAATCTGGTAATGACTTTTTGGTTATCACACCAAAAGTCGAGAACCCAATCAAGATTAAATAAGTGATCACACTAAAAAGCTTCTGTACTGCAAATGCAACAGCAAAGGGGAGTGGCATTGGAAGTAAGCAACAGGCAGAGAAAAAAGTATCTCCAAAGCATGTTTATAATAGATCATTTAAAGTTATGAAGAACTCATAAAACTCAGTAGGAAATTATTGGAAAAAAATAATAATCTGATTTAAGGAAGCACAAAAGACTTGATTTAACATTTCTCTACAGAATACATAAAAATGACTGAAGGGCACATGAAAAAGTATTCATAATTAATCACTAGACAAATATAAATTAAAACCATTAAGATGACCTTCGTAAGAGAAAACTCAAACGTAACTGGAGATTTTTTCTGTGTCCCACCCGGTCCTGCAACTGCTTATAAAATAATCACTCAGAAGCTTATTATTAGTTATAATTGTTTGGTCAATGGCTCAGTTATTACTAGCTAGGTTTTATATTTAAATTAACCCATTTCTATCAGTCTATGTATTGCCACTGGGCTGTGGCATTACCTCATTTTCTACATGGCTTGCTTCCTTGGTGGCTTCCTAACTCCACCCTTCTTCTCCCTGTATCTCTACTTAGATTTTCTGCCTGGCTTTATTCTACATGGCTATTGACCAAATCATCTTATTTTTTAACCAATGGCAATAAAGCATAAAACAGTTTCTTTATTGATTAACCAATAAAAGCAACACATATATGGAAGGACTTCCCCACACTCTGAATATATGTTGGTCCCATTGGTTGATAATAAAAGCTGCTTTGGCCTATAGCAAGGCAGAATAGAGTTAGGCCGGAAAGCCAAACTGAATATAAGGAGATATAGGGGCAGAGTGGAGTGAGATGTCAGCCAGCTGCTAGAAGAACAAGATGTATTAGAGCACAGGTAAAGCCATGAGACGTGCCGGGCGGTGGTGGCGCACGCCTTTAATCCCAGCACTCGGGAGGCAGAGGCAGGCGGATCTCTGTGAGTTTGAGGCCACCCTGGTCTACAAGAGCTAGTTCCAGGACAGGAACCAAAAGCTACGGAGAAACCCTGTCTCGAAAATCCAAAAAAAAAAAAAAAAAAACCCCAAAAACAAAAAAAACAGCGATGAGACGTGAGGCAAAGCATAGATGAACAGAAATGGGTTGAGAAGCAAAAGTTGTTACTAAGTAATAATCCTAAACTGTTGGGCCAAGCATTTTTGTAATTAATATTGACTCTTTGAGTCATTATTTAGAAACAGCTGCAGGACAGGGTGGGACGGAGAAACCTCCATTTATACTCAAAGGTAAGAAATGTTGGAGAGGGTGTGGAAGAAAAAGACTTATTGCCCTCTTGATGGGAATGGACACTATGGAACTTAGAGACTGAGCAGTCATTTGATCTAGCAGCCCCTCTTCTGGGAGTGTAACCAAAAAGAAATAACCCCCCCCCTCATAAGTGTGGACAAACACTGCACTGCTGTGTGCCCTGCAGTGCTACTCACAACAGCCAAGACAAGAAAACAACCGATGTTCCCATCACCAGATGTGTGGATAAAAATGAGCATCGATGGATATAAACAATGGAATAGTATTCAAACTAAATCACAAGACCATGCCTTTTGCTATTGCATGGGTAAGCCCAGAGGATGGCATTCTAAGCAAAATGAGTCAGACAGAGAATATATCACCCTGCTTATATCTGGACTCTAAAAATAAATTAAGATACACAGAAATGTAGAACAAGAGTGGCTACCAGGCACTGAATCAAGGTCGAATGAGTAAACACAGGTCAAAATCTACAAAGCAATGGCCGGAGAGTTAGCTAGTGGTTAAAGGCCCATACTGTTCAGTCTTCCAGAGGCTCTGAGTTCTGGTCCCAGCATCCCCACTGTTTTACAACTTCCTGTAACTACAATCTAGAGATGAAAGGACCTTTCTGGCCTCTGGGGACACTCACACTCGTGTGCATGTGGACACAGGCAGACATGCATGCATATACGTAATTAAAAAAATAAATATTACAATAACATATACAAAGCAATAGAGGTGTAGAGCAAACAAGTCTGAGACCTACATGAGGATCGGGGGCAGGTGAAATATATTATATATAGAATTCCCACTGAATGAGTAGATTCTGGCTGCTCTTGACACAAAAAATACTTGCACCACTGCAATAATCTTTGGGAATATTTATGTATCCTATGACAACATGTCATAGTTCTTAAATGTGCCTAATACCTTTTGATAGAGCTTTCCCTATCAGGTATAAACAAATGTTGATTGAGATCATCACAGTTGGTGATTATTTAAATACAGTGTAATGGCTAGTATCAATTGTCAACTTGGCATACCTGGGAAGAGGTAACCAGATGAGAAACTGTGTCCATCAGATTGGCCTGTAAGCAAGTCTGTGGTGTGGAGGTCCAAAAATGTGAGCCTATTTCCACTTGACCAAAGGTCAGAGAATTGGAATTTACCTCTATTCTTTCAAGGTTATCGTGTTTCTACCTCAAGCAAAGGTCTCGCCTAGATTCAGAGTAGAGAGTTCTGCTTTCTCAAGGTTATTGTCAACAGGTGTGTCTAATAGCCAGACCTTGTATTTCAGGAATAGAGAACTAGATATGTGGGGCTGGAGAGGTGGCTCAGTGGTTAAGAGCACTGGCTGCTCTTCCAGAGGTCCCGGGTTCAATTCCCAGCAACCACACGGTGGCTCACAACCAACTGTAATGAGACCTGGTGCCTTCCTTGCCAGCAGTACATTGTATGCTTAATAAATAAATCTTAAAGAAACCTTTAAAAAAGAGAGAGAGAGAGAACTAGATATGTTTCTACCTCAAACAAAAGTCTAAAAATCCAACTAAAGTTCCAGTTCCCTTAAGGATCTAACATTAGATTCTATCCAGGGAGTGGTTTGCCTACAGAATGCTTTGGTCTAGGGTGTGAGTGTGACTTGTTTTGTCCCAGCAACAGAATGTTTAACTATGGCTGTAGCCTGTGACCTTCAACTGGTCTGTTCTTTTCCTCGTATTATGCTAATACAGTTTTTTTTTTATCTTATTCCTACCTCTGAGGGTCGAGGCATTTTAGGTAATTGGAAATTAAATGTGGGTGATTTCAGTATTCACTAGAACTCCCTCCTGGCACTATTCACTACGTTCCTCTGTTTTATTATTTTTACTTGCATCTTCGTATTCTTTACTAATATTTCTAAATCCCCATGCCCCTACCCTGGCAAGTGGTATTTTTGTCGAGGCTGGACCCGACACTATGGGTGTATTGTCTTGATCAATGATTGATGGAGGAAGGCCCAGCCCACATTGGGTGCTGCCACCCTGGACCGGTGTTTCTGAGTTGTGTAAGAAAGCAGGCCAGTAAACAGTGTTCCGCCATGGTCTCTGCTTCTTTTCCTAAATCCACGTTCCTTACTTGAGTTCCTGCCCTTCATGATGGAATAGTGTAAATGAAAACAAACCCTTTCTTCTTTAAGTTGCTTTGGTCATGGTGCTTATAGCAGCAACACAAAGAAAAGAAGGACATATGCTTTCAAGTTCTGAGTATTGATTATTGCAGTGCTTGTACAAATTGTTTGTTCTTTGCTAGGTCAAATTAAGAGCTGAGTGCGTGGCTCCTACTGAAACGTGAGATATGATTTACAGAAGGTATGAGAGCAGCTATCACATTAGTGGAGGCCAGTCAATGCTGATTTGTCGAAGAGTGAATGAAAGCATAAAGAAATGAACTATGATTATTCAGGATTCAAAATGTCGTTATAGTTTGGCTAAGAGTCATCAATACAGGAGAGACAATCTTTAGAGGAACACAAGCAGGCACTTGGTGCCTTTGCCTCACCTGCAGAAGTCCACACCGACATTCTTGAGTTTCACAATGGTTGCATAGGTGTGTCCCTCTTTAAGCACTCCAAACTTCACCGCCGGTGGGAGAAGGTGGAACCCGAAAGGGGATGCGTTTTTGTTATAAATAGCAGCAGATGCAATGGAAGACGTATTCACTTTTCCCCCAACGGAATCTTCCACCTTTGGAGAGCAGAAAAATTGATAAAGTAAAAGGGGGAGTTTCTGATTAAAGAAGACACTGCTGACACCAGAAAGGATGACTGCTTGGCCAAGGGAAGACGTAAAAGATTTATGATCTCATGCAGTCCTTACAACATCCCCATTGTCAACTGGAGCCTCAAACTCTCCCCTGCATGATGTGGAAAGCCCCATTCCTCTCTCCACCCTACCAGAGAGTCTCTGAACAAAATAAAGGCACTGGAAAGCCCAGTTCCTCATTGCTGGTGGCAGCTGCAGCTTCCTCCCCTGAAACTGTCAGTCACCCAAGATCAAAGCTTTTGATCTTTAGACCATATTTGGGCACAAATCCAGCTTGTGGAAGACACATCATCATCCCTTGCATACAACTCATAAAATCTCCCTGCTTTAGTTCTCTGAGACCAGATAATCTACCTGTGAATTGTTCTCAGTAATAAACCTGTTGTTATACTTTTTGAATTCAGCTTAATCTGGTTTACTGCATCGGTGGGGAAACTTATAATGGGGGTTGGGGGGCATAAAACCTATTACATATAAAAATTATTTTAGGTTTTGCCTTAAATAAAACAAAGTACACATTTAGAGCTTAAAGATCATTTGCTCAAATGCTTAAGTAGCAAAATCTCTACCCCAGGTTCGCCTGATTCTCATATCCATGCTCTTTCCTCTGGGGCAGTGGTGATCAAGAGTTGGCTAACTTCCTGCAGTGTCTTCTGGAAGACTCAAGGTTCCTGTTCCTGTTCCTGTTCTAGGAGTTTCAGATTCCCTGTGTCTGGAGTGAGGAGGGGTGGGCATTTAAAAAGTTCTCTGGTATTTCTAACTGTGCTGATCAGGAAGTTACAGAGGAATATCTGCCCTCCGCTCATCACCGATGTCACCAGGAGATGAAACTGCAGACACCCCTGTCACACATCAGACTTAGAGAGTCTGAATCTGCATATCTGACAAACTGCTGTGTAATTCATATGCACAGCCAAGCTTCCAAGCGTGATTATCAGTTACATATACAAGATATTCTAATATGACAGCCAGCATCTGTCATAGTAGTAAAGAAATGATAGTTTTTTTTTTTTTTAACTTGTGAGCATAAAGAAGCATTCCTATCAGAGCTGGTGGGAAAACTTTATCTAAAAGGTGCTGAGGAAGAGAGAGACAAGAGAAACCTGCAGTGGCTGAAGGAGAGTGAGCCAGGCAGGGTAGGCTGAAAGAGCAAGTTTTTTTTTTCTTTCTTTTTTTTTTTTTTTTTTCGAGACAGGGTTTCTCCGTAGCTTTTTGGTTCCTGTCCTGGAACTAGCTCTTGTAGACCAGGCTGGCCTCGAACTCACAGAGATCTGCCTGCCTCTGCCTCCCGAGTGCTGGGATTAAAGGCGTGCGCCACCACCGCCCGACTAAAGAACAAGTTTTAACAAATATATTGTAATGCTCCATTTTCAATATGAGGAGCTCTTAGTGCTCATCGGAGTCACAGAGAATGAGAGGGGCTGGGCTCTTTCCCTATGGAGGATGGCTGGTGCCTGCTGCTCTCAGGACATTGAGAGCTGGAAAGTCTGTGAGGTGACTGAGCCCAAGATCATACGAGGGGGCCATCTCAAGTCTCAAATTATTTCATAGGTAAGTAAAGTTTTGTATCCTAAGCCAACAAGGTAAGGAATTTGGGAAAAGGGCATGTCCTGATCTACAGGTGAAGAGAACAAGGATTTCTCATGATAGGGTGGGATGGGACAGTATGACCATAACATAGGACAACAACCTTTAAAAAAACCACTGTCTTATCAAAGCCAGCCAGTCATTTTTGCCTTTTCTGTATGCTGGTATCCCATTATGCAGAATTATATATTAAAAACTGTTTCCAGCAAACTCTTGAATTTATTGTTTTATTTCCAGCAACACGAGATCATACTTAGTGCTGGCCTAAGTTCTTTGGACTTTATCCTAAACATTGTTAAGTGGAAGGTTTTGGAGTTTCAGTTCAGGGGCACAGTCCTTTGCGGTTAGAGGTTATGAGATAGGTTGTTAACGCCACAGACAGACAGGCAAGGGCTCAGAGAAGACTGCAGGCCCCCCTGATAGTGTAGCTGTAAAACAGGATTCCTGTGAGATTCAGCTGCCCTCACCCAAAGGGAAGTGTCTACAGGGACAGCCAGCCTGTCTCCCAAGAGACCACACATAGCCCCTACACCTGCATCAACGTCCTCACTCCAAAGCCCCTCCCTCACTCCCAGCTAGCTTTCCCCCATTGCTGGCTCCCTTCATTACCTGAGAGGAGGTTCCCCTCAGTGTGCTGTGCTAACTCACACAGCCCCATCTCTTGAAGTCAGACTCTGGTTTCTTTCTGTCTTCTGTCTCTTTATGCTACCTCAGACATCTAACATGTGTGACAGAGTCAAGGGTCCCTTCTTACAGGCTTCAGAGGAAGCAGCTGCAGAAGGAGATTAAAAAGTTTCCTTTTCTTTTGGCCCAGGGCTGGCAGTTCCTAGAAGGGACCAGGCAGTGTTGAGCATAGAATGCCAGGTGACCAGCATATAGCCCTGGTCGTTGTCCTTAACTGAGGGTCCACAGGGCAGGGAGGGCAAGCTTCTAGGCCAACAAGTGACTTTAGTTCTGCAAATACAGAAGACTGTAGCTTCAGGAATTATCACCTTTTACCCAGAATGGAGGAAGTTTAAAAATGGCATAGCCTTGGCTAACAATGAGATGGGAGGCTAGTGATCCCTTTAGCCAGTAGAGAGCACCTGAATAATTCTCTCCAAAGTGACCGTTCCTAGGAACCTGCCAACTGGCTGATGGAACTCAGAAGCTGGTGTGAGCCAGTGGCAGCAAGGCACTGCCTTTTCTATGCCCCCGTGGAGAAAGAGTAGGTAGGGCACAGGACAGGCATGGGCCTCAGTGATTTCAATTACCCAGAATGCCCTGGGAGACGTGCTAAAGTTTCTCTGTTACCTTGGCAAGAGGTTGAGACTTGGGTTTGGAACCCATCAGATAATGAGGTAACCTCACTTTCTCTTTTCTTGCTTGTCCAGTAACATCCTGCAGCAATGACTGGGTTGGAATTTTGATCGGCATAAAAATGTCTGGTTCTGTTAGAGAAAAAGCATACATCAGGGCACAGCTAAGATACACGTCACATTGCCAGAGCATAGATAAGCATGGACCAGCCTGGAAACTTCTCTAGTCATTTTTTTTCAAATTAGTTTTTAGTTTTTCAAAAAAATATTTACTTTGTTATTTATGGGCATGCATATGTGCGCGTATTTGCATGTGCAAGTGTGTGCACATGTGCATGTGCTTGTTAGTGTGTGTGTGTGCATGTGTGTGTGTGTATGTGTGTGTGTATGTGTGTGTGTGTAGGTGCATGTGCTTGTTAGTGTGTGTGTGTGTATGTGTGTGTATGTGTGTGTGCATGTGTGTGTGTATGTGTGTGTGTATGTGTGTGTGTGTGTGTATGTGTGTGTGTGTGTGTGTGTGTGTAGGTACATGTGCCCCAGAGGTCAGAAGAAGGCATTGGATCCCCTGGATCTTAAGTTACAGGTCGTTGTGAACTGTCCGATGTGTGTTCTGGGAAATAAATCTCTTTCTCTACAAGAGCAATGCTCTGGATGGCTGAGCCATCTCTCTATCTCCATCCCTGTCATTAAGCCTTAGAGAACTTGTTTAAAAGAAATGAAAGCTTTTATCAGGTCCCATTTTCTATTTGTACATTTTGCTAGGCTGTTCTACATGTATTACCCTATCTCTGTTTCTTACAACTTCTCTATGAGATGGCAGGCAGATGCTGTTGGCATCACTAAGAAACCAGAATTCTCAGTTTTCTTGTAACTTCCCTATGATGTGCTCGCAGTACACTTTCAGGATCCTTACCACGAAACGAGCAAGAGCAGCCGCTGAAACATCAACTCTGAAAGATTTCCTTGTACTAAGGGGGTACGCCATTAAGAAATTTAGATTCTATTTTGATTTCTATAGCTCTAAAATATGGCATAGTAATTATAAATGAATTAAACCAGATATTTATATCTTTAGACTTGTACATTTTTTTTGTCTCTCCCAGTCATTTGGAGGGTGAAGAAGTGAATCATCCACAAAGCTACCATTGTTTATATTCACTCCAAATAGTCAGGAGGTTGAACTAAAAATTGTTGAATTGTAGATCTGGAAGAGTTGGATTGGGCCAGGATGCCTGCCACGTGGAAGTAACCTGTCCTTTGTAGATGAGAACAGAACCAAGTGAAGGGAAGAAGTTGATGGGACAAAAGGAAGGTAGTGAGAATGTGAAGACAAGCAAACTAGCAAACATGCACTCATGGAAGGCCTAGGAGCCAGAGTCAGCTACCTGTGGGGCTGGTCCCAACTCCTTGTCTCTGGTTTGCTTTTGAGCAGAAGTAATCCTACTACCTCTCCCATTTTTTAATTGAATTTGTGTTGTCTCATTTAAAAAATCAAAAAGCCCTAGTGAACACAGCATGTTCTACCTCTTTACAGATGAGGAGAGCAGAAATTCCGAAGAAAAATGAACTCGTCAAAGAGATAGTGAGTGTCGGAGTTGGAATGTGAAACACGAATCAGATTCCACAGGGCCCCAAAGCTTACTAGGCACTGCTATCTCAGGGTAGCTTCTGGAAAAACAGATTTCCAGGCCATAGGTTAGCCAGGCCCCACTGTCAATCAAAGCAAGCAGAATCTCTGGAGGTAGAGCTTAGCAGTTAGCGTTCTGATGTCTATGGGCCACCATTCTTCATGTAGGCATCCATTGTAACAGCTTGATCCAATGGGGACTAATTATCTGCTCACACGGTTATTACCCCTGATAGAAAATGCCGATGAGGAGTATGCTATGCCGCGTGCTGCACTAAGCAGTTCATGTACATTAACAGCTCAATTTTGATAAGCCTCTTATGCATATATTCATGTGCATGCCATGATTTCTGGCAGAAGAGGCAATGGAAGAACTAAAAATTATTTGCCCCACAGCATGTTAAATAAGTTAACTTTGGAACCTTGAGTCTCCTTTTTTCTCATATACTCATTCAGGCTTATTGGCTTCGCGTCCATGATATATTTCTAAGTAATTACTTAGATGGCTTCTTACCATCTTTCTCTTATGTGTGTATATGTTGAATGTGTATGTACACATTTCTGTGTATGTGTGTAGTGTGGTGCATGAGATGCTCTACACTTTTCCATTATACATAGACTTAAAAAAATACAGCTAGCTCTCTTAGGACTTGACCATTATCTCAATTTTCTCAAGGCTCCCTAAAAGTGCTGTTGCCCCAAGACAACAGGAAGCAGTCTAGAGAACATGATGCCCAGACTCCCAAGAGGTATGGTGGGTGGCTTTTGGTCATTTGGTGGGTTATGGATGTTTGTTATCCTTTAGGGGAGTTGGTTACAATTGTTATTGGTTATGGTCAGGAAAAATGCTGAACAAAGGAGAATAGATTCAAGGATCTTTTTTAAAAAGAGAAAAAGTGGACTATAGGAATGACAGGGTGAAAGGATAGATTACTGAATTTACTTTAAACTAAAAAGCAACTATTAATCCCAAATATTTGACATTAGTATGGATTTTTGTATATTAACACAAATTTACAGTTATATTTTGTTAGAAAATACTCTGTACATGTTTCCACTCTTGTTTAAGATTTTCTTAGAAGCCAGGTGGTGGTGGAGCATGCTTTTAATCCCAGCACCTGGGAGCTAGAGACAGGCTAGCCTAAATTTATAATCATATTGCTTCATCTTCTCAAATGGTGTAATTGCTTCTTTTAAAACTTCTGCGTGCATGAGTGTTTTGCCTGCATGTATGCCTATGAACTATGTATATCTGGTGCCCAAGGTAGCCAGAAGCGATATTGGCTATCCAGGAACTGGAGTTACAGATGGTTGGAAGCTCCATGTGGCTGCTTGGAATGGAATCTTAGTAGTCTAGAGGAGCAACCAACAGCACTTTCCCTCCCCCGAGTAATCTCTTCAACGCATACATTTAGAGGTGCCGGGAGAAGGGTCAGTTAGTGGAGCAGTTGCTGCACATGAAGACCCGAGCTTGCATCTTCAGCATCCATGTTAGGGCACGGCAGCAGGTGCCTGAAATCTCAGTGCCGGAGACACAAGACAGGAGAATCCTGTATTCTGAAGAAATACAGCATTTACTTCAAAGCTGTGAGATAAAGCAAGTGGCGGTGGCGGCCATACCTTCATTAGGAGGTCTGGTGACATTTTCAAGTTGGTTTTGGCTTGCAGCCTCCTTGGCAAATTTTGTTAAAATTTCAAGTTGGTTTTGGCTAGCAGACTTCTTAGTAGCTATTTTTAAAGTTTCGCTTTTGTTCTGAATATCAGTTTCCTTGGAAGAGTTGGTTACAATTTCGGTTTCCTTTTGACTCTCAGACTCTTGGGAAGGTTGTGCTAAATTTTCAGTTTGGTTTTGGCTAGAAGACTTCTTGATAGGTTGAGTTATATTTTCAATATCACTTAGGCTAGTAGGCTCCGTGATATTCTCAGCAACCTCTTCTTTTGGAAGGGGAGGTATATTTGCAGCTTCTTGTTCTACACCTGAAGTCAGTGTGGAATCTGCAAGTCCCCAAACAAACAATGCAAGTTACGCTATGGCCAATGAAAGAGAGACAACTAGCACTTGTACAGACAACACTGAACAATGAATTTCTCAATGAAAAAGTGTTCCCCATTCTTCTCATATGATGATGGTACAAGGCCATCATTGAGAGATTCCTCATAATGATTGGTGTTTGCCACTAACAAACAAGGCAGTTCCTGCCGAGCAAATACTCCCTAGGAACTGGCTGGATCTTGTGGGCATTATGGCCAGCTGGAACTGTCTCCAGCCTGAGGCTAAGCAATCTGCCTCTGCATTCACCTACTAAACAAAAATGATTTCCAAAAATTTATCTCTTCATTAAAACATATATCTTTAAGAAACAGGTACAATATGAAACAAAGTTAAAAAAAATGTATGTATGATTGGGGAGGCACATAGATTTCAGTTTGTGTATATGTGAAACCTGGATGAGCGTGGTTTAAAGGTACTGACTCTGAGTGGGTGTCTGAAGTGCTGGGACTGAACCCAAGGTCACATGCCTGTTGACCAAGGGCTCTACAATGGACTAAACATCTATTCTGACACTGGCTTGTTTGAAGAGACCACCGCAGCTGCACTGTGCACTGTCTACAGACAGGTACACATTTATCTACTAGGACCTCTTCATTAGATTCGAATCGAGGATTTTTGACATGAATTCTGTATAGTTACTATGTACTCCGAGAGAAAGACTCTCAGTGGTAGACAGCCTTCCATTTGGTGAAACTTGACTTCTTAACTAAGTTGTCAAATACTGCATCTCCGTTGTTCATGTATTTTCATTTTATTTTCTGTAATTAACAAGCATGCATGTTATTTTGAGACCATGTGAATGCCACGTTCTCAGAAAAACCTTTCATTAATCCTTTGGTTAGTCAGATCTAAACACACTTAGGCACAAGAAATGAATCTGAAATTCAATTTATGTCTTTCTCCCCTTATATAATTCAGGCATATCTGTAGTATGCAGGTAATAGCAAACCCTGTCACTAGTGGTCATTAACACAAGGGGCCGGATGGGTGTGACTCAGTTCAGGTCAGGTGACAGGAATAGGAATCATATAAACACCTTACCTGAAGGCAGATCCGGAACAGCTGCTGTGGCTGTGTCTTCCGTTTTCTTTGTAACAGGAGGCAGGTTTTTGGAAAGCTTCTCCAGATAATCATACTTAAAGGAAACGCACAGGATGTACTTCAGATACACACTCATTTTATGCAACTGTCACAAATGTTAGTTAAGTCAACAGGCACTGCTGACAAGACTCCGAGGATGAAGCTGAAAGCTGGAATTCTGTAAGAGACTAATTGACCTCTAGTCTTTGTTAACCAGTTGTGGTTTTTGAAATTTCCTCTGATTAATAATAGTATCCTTAATTTTTGAGAACTCCAGGGCATTGTGGACACATGAAAGTGTTCACTTTGTTTTGAAGCTTCAGCGGTGAGGGACTCTGAGAGGCTGTGAGGAACTTTGAGGGACTGTGAGGGGCAGCGAGGAGCAGCGAGGGGCAGTGAGGGGCAGCGAGGGGCCTGTGAGGGGCCATGAGGGGCAGTGAAAGGCAGTGAGGGGGACGTGTGGGGCAGTGAGGGGCTGTGAGGGGCTGTGAGGGGGAGTGAGAGGCCATGAGGGGCAGCGAGGGGCCATGAGGGGCTGTGAGGGGCAGGAAGGAGCAGTGAAGGGCATTAAATGGCAGGTAAGTCTGTGACTTAGGGTCTTAGGAGTGGGTTCGCGTGGAAGAGGAGAATGTTCGGTGTCTCTGGGGGTCTAAGAGCCCACACTACCTTAATGGTATTTTAACAGTTGAGGATTGATGAAGCTCTGATGAAACAAAACCTTAATTAGAGTTTGTTAGAGGTTGGCAAATAAACAACAGCAAGGACGTGGCCCAAAGAAAACCTTAGAAAGGAAGCAAAAGAGGGTGGCATACACGAGGGACCGAGGGAAAGTCCCCTCCATGTGCTTGTGTGGAAATAGATGGGAAACATGATAATTATTTGGTCAGATTGCTACACTAGGCAAATAAACAGCATCCGAAAAAAAGCTTACAGGTTAACATGCAGAGCATCATTTTGTAGAAATTAAATTATTATGAATTACGTTCATTTACCTGTGTCTTAAATAGCGGGCCCAGTTCAGACTTAAAATAAGGTGGTACTTCTTTGTTCCTAATTTGCGACAGGTAATTTTTTGTTTTCTCAATAGTGTTCCTGGTTCACATTTCCACAATGATATGCAAAAGAACACACAGAACACATTGAAAAGTTATTTGCCCATGCTTTAGCCCCGGATCCCACTGGATCCCACTGCACTCACTGACGGTAAAACCAAGAAGGGAAAACTGAATGGACTCTTTTGTTTCTCCTTGAGGCAGGGTCTCACTACCTAGTCTTGGCTGGCCTGGAACTGGCTTTGTAGACACTTGGCCTTGAGCACACAGAGACCCATCTGCCTCTGCCTTCCAATGACTGGGATTCAAGGTGTGTGACACCCAGAGTCTTTTATTGGGGGTGCCATGTTCACAGTTTGCAGAGACATTTCTTACTTTGTAAATCTTTGAAAATCAGATTTTTGTATGAGACAGGGACTAATGATGCCAGCTGATCTCAAATGTCTAAAGCCAAGGTGCCAGTGGTTGGGTTTTTTTTTTTTTTTTTTTTTTTTTTTATGTTGTGAGGTTCTCTGGAGTTGAAGTGACAGTCACGGGCTTCCATCATTGCACTAGCAGGAGCAGCCACAGCACTGCTGCGAGCTGGGTTTTCCGAATCATAATGCCTCTACTGGGAAGGCCAAGCCAGGGGCTCTAAACCGGGGTTATTGGGTAAGCCTTGTTATCTCCATTTTATAGTAATAACCTCAAGGTGTAGGGAGACTAGATACCTATTCTATGGCATAATCAATACAGGGTGGAGCTGAACAAGCTGGATTATACATCTTTAATCTTGTGATCTTGACAACTGTACCTTCTAAGCAACAGTCAGCTATCCAGACTGATAATCCTCATATTTTATAGGTAAATAAACCGAATCCCTGAAGTAAAACAGTCAGTTGGCATAGTAGAGTTCACAAGAAATCATACTGTAGCTGCCCCTAGACATGCTGACTCTGAGACCAGTGACCGTACACAGACTGCACGCCCATCTTATTTAAACAATTTCAATTTGCCATTGAAATACCTCTGTCTCCTGCCTCGTGGGACTTTCCCATCAAGCCGGGCAGGCTGGAGGTTGTCCACGGCTCTCTTACAGCTGTTCGTAAGCAGGAGGCAGTGAACATGGAAATCCAGAGGCCTACATCTCTTTGTTCTAGGCTCAGTGTTGGTTCTTCCATAGGACCTCGTATTCGCTGTATACTTTCCGTGCCCCTGACATACTGGTTATCTTATCCTCGGCCCACATTTCTTGTTCCCATTTTTTTTTCTGTTCATGCCACACATTTAATTATGGATCTCGCCTTCCCTAGCTGTGATGAACTACTCACACTTATATTTCAATCGTTAAAATAGTGGGTAACTCATGAATAAGCACAGGATTTAAAAGGTGCTCAAAGAGTATATTCATAGGCGCTTGACAACGATGTCTGTATGTACAGACCCTGTACAAGAACGGGCCTGACAGATGCAGAAGGGACTCAGGGGGCCCTATGCCTTGCTTGTTAGACTCAGAGAGAGGGAGATAGTGCCTTTGTTTGTGTACCTACTGATGTCCCCACCAAGCTCTAGTGGAAAGTCTCAATCCATAGTCACATAGACAGCTCTGACTAAATGAGCCACACAACAAACTAAAGTCATGAATCCAAGAAGGGAGAGGGATGGGGGAGGGGGTGAAAAGGGGAAAGGGAGTGGGAGGGAGGCTGGGAGGGGTAGGAGAAGGACAAGAGGGTTGCAGGAAAAACAGCAGCTGGAATGCACTGAGTGCATGTTCAAAGTTGCAGCTGGAATGCACTGAGTGTATGTACAGAGTTGCAGCTGGAATGCACTGAATGCATGTTCAAAGCTGCAGCTGGAATGCACTGAATTCATGTACAAAGCTGCAGCTGGAATGCACTGAATTCATGTACAGAGCTGCAGCTGGAATGCACTGAATGCATGTACGAAGTTGTCAGAGAGCTTAAACAATCATCATGTTAATTCTCATCATTTTGGGGTCATGATGATATTCTTCTTCTTCTTAGCCATGTCCATCATCTTACAGGAATAGCAATTTGAGATTGGTAACAAAATTTAAAAGTATATTTAAAAAAAGCAAGTCACTGTCTCCCGCTGTCCCCTGAACATCCAGTCTCATTCCCCACTGGCAACCTCTCATACACTGTTTCTAGGCCAGAAAACCTGGAAAGGGTTTTTCTAGCCTTTCCTTGAAGAAGGTCATGAGATCCCCCAGGAGTCTTGCCCTCCCCGTGTGAAGAGGAAAAGAGCATCTCTGTCTGGAAGATGGAGGGATGCCTGACTATCTGAGCACTCAGGCCCCATTGGTTCTACCAGTTTATTACTATTAGGTGATACTCTTTCCTGTCATATTTTTCATAATTCTCTATTCATCAGATGGGGCATAGAGATATGCAGGCCCAGTCTTCTCTTTGGATTTTCATTTCTTTATGACATCCCCTGTCTCACATTAAATGTAAACAAATCCATATTATTTCCACTGACCAGTCTGTCTTTTGTTCCAGAGATCTCAGCCAGGGACCTGAGATGTGTAGGAACAAGAGGCAACATACATCCTCCAGTTCAACCTTGTAAGTGGAGAAACAAAAGACATCCCAAAATGTAACCCAACACCTAAATGAAGGCGATGTTTCTGAAAGGAGCAACTCATGTGTGGTGGAATAGTAGTTGAAGATGTGTTACATTTGTTTATGATGTGGAATGTTTAATGGTGCAAAGATGTCTTGCATTCTTTTATGTTGCATTTGTTTAACTCAGTGAAGCTGTGTTACTCTGCATGTCTGAAACATCTGATTGGTCTAATAAAGAGCTGAATGGCCAATAGCTAGGCAGGAGAGAAACAGGAGGGGCTGCCAGGCCGAGAGAGTAAAGAGAAGGGGAGAGAAAAAAGAGGGGACTGAGAAAAGGAGGAGAGGGAGATGCCAAGGTCAACCACCCAACAACACAGTCAGACATGGAGTACAAAGGAAAGAAAAGATATACAGAAATAGAAAAAAAATAAAGCCCAGAGTCAAAAGATAGATGGGATAATTTAAGAAAAGCTAGCTAAAAACAAGCCAAGCCAGGGTTGGCCATTTATACCTAAGAAAAAGTCTCTGTGTGGTTTATTAAGGAGCTTGGTGGTGGGTCCCCAAAGAGTAAAAAAGAAAGGAAAAAAACCTCTAACTACTATATTTTGGTGTATCAATGTGAGGCTCAAATATTCTTAGGGCCTAAGGAAGCTGAAAAACAAGACTGGATACAGCCCCTTTAAGAAACTCTGCCTTACATCAGGACACTTAAACAGCCTTTCCACACTAAACAGAAAAAAAAAAAAACTAAGTAAAAAAATGCCTGCCACAGTGCAGTGCCCTGACATTCCATAGCTGGGGGGTTGACTGCGGCTCTTGGTCATGCACCTCCAACTGAGCCACAAACTTTAGGCATGGCTTTCACAAACCAGGAAGTGGGCGGAGACAGCTGCCAAAACCACATGGAGGTACTAACCATGCCACTTAGAAGTCTAAAGGCTCATGCCGTCAACAAAAACTAGAGATACACAGTAAAGATAGATTCAGATGGAAAAACCCTCTAAACAGTTTACAGTGTGTTTAATAATGTGCATAGGCTTAGGAAAAGTTAAAGGATATAGAAAGTCTTAGAACAAAATAAATAGTTTAAAAATAATAGAGGAAAGTCTTTAAAGAGATACATAAAGTAATATAAAAAGAGTAAATCACATAATGACGGAAAATACACAGGGAATCTGGGTCCTATATAGTATTGTGCTGATTTTCAATTTTTGATTGCCAATAAGCAAACATCGGCTACAAAGAGACCTGGAATTGAAAGAGGAACTATTGAAATAGTCAATATACTTTAGGAATGCCTTAACTTTAAAATGGGAGTCAAAAATGTGTTTGTAAAATGGAACTCAAAAAATGCTTTGGAGAAATGTTTTGCTTTAGATCTCACAGAAAAAAAGGGGCTGTGGATTTCTTCAGGGTTGATATAAATCAGGTTTGATCAGGAAGACGTCCTGAATCTTGACAGATGATCCATATCAACAAAGGTTACAGTTGGTCTTCCTTGTACTTGACCATTATCCCAATTTTCTCAGGGACCCCTAAAGATGTCTTTGTCCACAGACAGAAGCAGTCTGGAGAACATGACATCCGTATTCCCAAGAATTGGGGTTGGGGGTTGTTGGTTATTTGGTGAATTATGGATGTTTGTTATCATTTATGGAAATATAGGAATTTAGAATACAAAGACAACTATTGATGTCAAATATTTTGCATAGGCATGCAATGCAAAATTTAAAGTAATATTTTTACATTGTATGTATTTTTTTTACTCTTGTTTGGGGTTTTGTGCTTATGCAGCTTATTTAAAAATATAAAGTATAATTAAAGAATGAGGTTAGTAGTTAATCTATAATAATCAAACTTATAGTCACATTGGGTATGTTTTCAAGGTTAAACAGGTATATTTTAGACCAATAGATGACTTTCAAACACTTCAAAGACCTATATAATATGGCATTTAAGATGTTTAATAACCTAAGGTTTTTCATGACAGTGAGATACATCTGCTCCTGGTAGCACCAATATACTTCATAAAAGGATGATGGACATTAAAGAAACTCCATATGGAGTTTGCTTTTAATGTGGCAAGGCTGATTTTGGGCAAAAAAATTAATTTTGCCTTTACTGTTGACAGTGTGCTATGCAGATTAGATATGCAGGACTCACAGTTGAACTTTGCCAAGAGAAGTAGGGTGGTCCTTTAAAATTCCTGCTCCATAGAAGAGTCTGCCTAATATTCTGGATCTGTAGGTGAAGATGGATGCTACAACATTGCAGAGGAACTTTGGATGACTGTCCAGGGAGTCAGATGTCTCTGGTAATATTACATCCTTCTAGGGTCTTTGATGGAGTTAAAGACCATATAATTACTGTTATAGTTTTCCTTAGTAATGATAGAAAGTAAATTAGGCATAAAACTTTGGAATCACTATGATAAGATAGATAATGGAGTATTTCCTCTGAATTTGCTAAATACAAATATACCGAATATTGTGAATGTAATTCTTGCTTAATAACTGTTTTTGTTGTATATAGTTTTCCTATGTTAAAATCAAAACTTTTCATTTTTATTTAGACAAAAGGGAGACATGTTGTGGAATATTAGTTGAATATGTGTTACCTTTATTTATGATGTGGAACATTTGTTTAAAGATGCAGAGATGTGTTCCCTTCTTTTACATTGCATTTGTTTAACTCTCTGAAGCTGTGTTACTTTACCTGTCTAAAACACTTGATTTGTCTAATAAAGAGCTGAATTGTCAACAGCTAGACAGAAGAGAGAACTAGGTGGAGCTTCCAGGTAGAGAGAATAAATAGGAGAGAAAGAAAAGAGGGGAGCAAGAAAAAGGAAGAGAGGAGAATGCATGGGCCAGCACCCAGCTACACAGATGGACAAGGAGTAAGATGGTAAGAAAAGTTACACAGAATTGAAAAATGTAAAAACCCAGAGGCAAAAGGTAGATCTTTTAAGTTAAGAAAATCTGGTTGGGTTTTTCTTTTTTAAAGAAATTTTTTAAAAAGGGGGAGAGAACAGGAGGACAGGAGGGAGTGGAAACTGGGAATGGTATATAAAATGAAAAAAGACAGTTTTTTTAAAAAAAAATTAAAAATTATAAAAAGAAAAACCAAAAAAAAAAAAAGAAAAGAAAAGAAAGGAAAAGCTGACTGGAAATAAACTAAACAAAGGCTGGGCATTCATAAGTCAGAAAAAGGGTCTTTGTTTGATTTATCTGTGAGCTGGGTGGTGGGCCCCCAAGGAGTAAAGAGTAAAAAACAACAACACTATTGTGTACAAATGACCACCTTGCCCCAGATATATAAATATAATTGGTTTCCTTAATGGATAAAAAAACTGGAGTTGAAATCTTAAGTGCAGACTGTAGGGAAAACAAATATCAATGCACTCAGGACACATTCCTGAAGCAAGCAACGGGGACCCTGAGTGTATACGACGAATGTTTATGAGTATATTAGAATCACCAGAAGCGTGAAGAGGGACCAGAGGACTCAACTGCAGGAGATGGGGGCATCTACATCTACCTAATGGCCTGACAGTGACAGGCTGCCCCAAGTGCCACCTTGTCTTGTTGAAGTGTCAGGCGGCAGCCTACTGAGCTCTAAGATCCCACAACTGGGATTTTCACAGCCTTATGTTTACCCCGGGTCAGAATTACCTCTGTTGCTCGAGCTTTTCTTTCCAGCTCTTTCCTGGTGACGTACCCCTATGTGAAAAGAAGAAAATGAGGTGAAATAGACAGTGCCCCCACATGACAGGGCCACGTCATCACTGTGCCGTGGGAGAAGGGCTGCAATGATCCCCACACCCCTCCTTTCCCTGTGTGTGCCAGCACTGACCAGAAAGGACAGCCAGCATCGCTTACCTCCAATTCTTTTCAAAGAAATCTTTAGAGAATGTGTCTGGGGAACATACTGGAGTTGAAGCCATAGATTGCTTGAACAAATCCGTTAGGTGGGCTGCAACTTAAAAATACCACATTCAGTGTTAGCATTGACTCCTTTATAACATTTCTTTGCTGCACGATTACTCATCTGAAATTTACTGATGGTTTTGGAGGACTTCCATACCCAAGCTTAACAACTAGATGACTCCATGGCGTGTTCTGTTAGTGAACATCATCTTTATGATTCAAACATAAATATTTGTACCCTCCATCACTAGGAAAACTATATGGCAAGGAGCTGAATTTTCTTGTATTAAAGCAGATTGGCCTTCATACTGAGGTTCTTTTCCTAAACATGTACCTATTATCCAGTTCCAAAGATCTGAATATCACAGTTTTGAAATTTGGGTGATAGCTCTTAGAGTTTGTCTATGGCATATTGCCTCAGTGAGATTTCATTTGTCAGAGGAAGAATAGGATACCTGGTCAAGACAGGAAAACTTACAAAACACTGATTTAGACAAGGATAAGTAAGTTTTCTTCTTGTGAGAATTCTCTGTGCCCTTAATTACTATATGTTGTAAGTCTTAAAGAAAGTAAGACAATGTAAAATATTATTCAGACTTATCTTATTGTAAAATGCATGGCTTTGGAGGAGCCACCTTAAAGAACATCTTAGGAAATACAGTGGGAGATGCTGACTTTGTATCACCACTGGTAACCATCAAGGTTAGTTTTAAGGATGCTGTTTCCCTCCTGCAGCAATCTGAGAAATACAGTTTATTTAACTGTTACTATTGGGTGGCCTGTGGGTTTGCCTCCATCACTCATACCTGTTTTCTTGAACCAGGAGTGACAAGCTCAAATAACCCAGGGTAAGTTTGTAAGATCAAACATAGGGTAAAGGTAAATGAAGTTTGCATTTTAGTTAAACATAGTTTCTAAAGATAAGTATGTAGCATGCTGTATTTGGGGCACACTTACAATTCAGATTATTTATTATTTACCCCAAATTTAGTTTTAATAAGGCCTTTTGTATTTATGTTCACTGGCAACTCTATTGCAGGGCCTGCCTCATAGAAGTGTGCGACAGAATTCATGGACAGAGGAGTATCGGTGACTGTAATGGCCTCTTCCATAATGGTCACCTGAAGGGGTAGCTGCCTGTCACTTTTAGTTAAATATCACTGTTACAATGTGAAATCTTAAGAAGAAAAATCTAGATAAATAATAGCAACAGTAGCAACAGAACAAGAATATGAGTCAAGACCGTGGAAGATGAACTGGACATGTCAGAGGGTTCAGTGAAGCCCAAGGCAGCCAGCTTAGGGCCTCTGTCGTATAACGGAAGGCACAACCCCTGTTGCTGTGATATGGCCAAGCTTGCTGGGGCCAGGGAGGCTCTCTCCTTTGAGAGCAGCTGTTTGTCTTAAAACATACAGTGGAGGGCTGGGCGGTGGTGGCGCACGCCTTTAATCCCAGCACTCGGGAGGCAGAGGCAGGCGGATCTCTGTGAGTTCGAGACCAGCCTGGTCTACAAGAGCTAGTTCCAGGACAGGCTCCAAAACCACAGAGAAACCCTGTCTCGAAAAACCAAAACAAAAAAAAAAAACAAACAAAAAAAAACAAACAAAAAACAAAACATACAGTGGAGAAGGGTTGAAGGTGTGGGCAATATCTGTGCACTTGTTTGGAAGCTATGTGCGTGGACATGGGGGCATTGGTCAGATGACTGCTGGCTATTAGCTATCTTCTATGGGGTTCAGGTAAAAAAGAAGGTAAATGTCAGTGTTTTTTTTTTATTTAACAAAGGAGAGTTAAAGGTGAATTAAGGAGGGAATCACTGTTTTCAGGGAACAAGGAAACATTAACCACTGTAAGAGAGCGTGGCAAGTGTAGAAGCAGAGGGGATTTACATGAGGACTGGCTGTGGTAAACAGAATGGCAGACAGCTGTATTTCAGGAGTCCTTTTGCAATCTGTTGACAGATTGCAGAAAAATACGAAATTCCAGTTACCTTCAGTAACATGACTTTTTGTAGTTTCCTCCATTTTAGGGAAAGACTGAAATAAAGATCAGAATTACTTGATGTTAATTATATTACGCATGGAAATACTTTGTTTAGAAGAATTCTTTTTGTGCTCGGTTTGACTTATTCTGAAAAAAATCTATAAAGTGAATTTGCCTTTTAAAAATATCCTATTATACAATTTATTTAAATATTTTGTTGCTCTGTTAATTAATAAATTTCTAGGAATGGAAATCATTTGTCATTATGGAAATTACTTTTCTTTCACATTTATTAAGTTATTCAATATTTCAACAAACAGTTTCTTAAAGTAAAATCAATAGCATATATTCATAATAAAATAATAATAACATATACTTATAAGTATTTTTTATTTCAGGATCTCAGGATTATCTGTAAGTATGTTTGGAAACTTCAATAAATCCATAATCCAATTAGCATGGAATAAGCTATGATGACGATGGAGTGAATGCTCCAGAGTCTCAGAAGGACCCTCATGTGGCTATTCCACACGCACTCTGTCTGGAAGGCCCTGATAGGAAGACAGCATCAGGAACACTGGTCTGTGGGACATCCACTCACCATAACCAGCTTGAGGAGGTCTGCAGCATTGCCTCTTTCTTCCTCTGTCCTGGAATCCTTGACTGTCATTTCCTGTAGCTCGTCTTCCTTCTTTAGAATATGGTTTATATAATCCTACATCAGGACAGCCAAACAAAAGGATAGCAGTCAAGAACTAGGCAAAGAAAGAGACCAACATGGTGCATGTCAACTTGGAACATTACAAGTGCTTTTTATTTTTTATTGTGTTTTGTTTTGATTTTTCGAGAAAGGGTTTCTCAGTGTAGCCTTGGTGGTTTGGAACTCGCTCTGTAGACCAGGCTGGCTTCAAACTTACAGAGATCCACCTGCCTCTGCCTCCCTAGTGCTGGGATTAATGGTGTGCACCACCACCGCCACCCAACTTGGAACATTCCAACAGGACTAAGGGGATAAGTTCACACCTCTTTGCAAGCAGTTAACTGGTCAAGTGATGGAGGAAGGTCATTGGCTAATAAAGGAACTGCCTTGGCCCATTTTATTGGTTAGAAGATAGGTGGGAGGAGTGAACAGAACAGAATGCTGGGAGGAAGAGGAAGTGAGCTCAGACTCGACAGCTCTCCTCTTGGGAGCAGATGCCTGAGAGAGACGCCATGCTCCTGGCTCCTGGGCAGATGCATGCTATGAAGCTCCGACCCAGGATGGACATAGGCTAGAATCTTCCCAGTAAGCGCACCTAGGGGCGCAACACAGATGATTAGAAATGGGCTAAATTAATATGTGAGAATTAGCCTAGAAGAGAATGGGCTAAGCAGTGTTTAAATGAATACAGTTTGTGTGTTATTTCGGGCATAAGCTAGCCGTGAGGGCGGCTGGGGTGCTGGGGACACAGCCCCCCGTCACTCTTATTACTACAGTCAAGCACGGGAAAACCTTTTCTCAGTAGGTTAATAGTAATGAGTGAAGTCTTTCTCTGCCCACAAGTGAGCCTTTAAAGCCTCAGGAGAGACCTACACAGAGCCCTGCTTCTAACACCGAGCTTCAGCATCCTTCTCACTAAAGTGAATACCCTGAGGAAGATGATTCATGGGTCTCTCAGGATTGTCTCTATGACTCTGTCTGCGGACTTAAGTCACTTAGTTCACGCCTTCGCTCCTAGATAAAATATACTCCCTCCCACGGATATTTGATCAGCATCCATCAGTACTGATCCTCTTCTCAAACTAGGTTGTGAGCATATAGCCATAAACAGCATATAATGTCCATGCTGAGGGAGTTAAACTTGGAAAGATGCTAGCGATACGATGCCACAACCAGTCATATCTTTATAAAGTCTTAGACCATTTCAAAACAGCAACTCTTTTTATCCACGAACCAGTACCTGATTAATATGTGGTTCTGCATTTTCTCCAGAGAGTATTAGTTTTTCACGTAATCAGAAAGAAAGAAGACTATACGGAAACTGTACATAAAACATTTTTTTTTTAAATTATAGCAACACCTGTTGGGCCCGTTGACGACTCCTACAACTTAATATAGAAATCATTAAACATCCTCTACCTTTTAACCTTCTGTACTGGGTGACTGACTGACATTCAAATGTTATTGTAAATATTGGTAAAACTAGATGTTTTCCGGCTCTTCAGGAAATGGACAGGAGTGACTGACTTTGTTCCTGATCCTTTGGGGGAGGGCTCACGTCACCCGGATCCTGTTACCTTAAGGGAAACCTGCAGCCTCAGCTTGACCTCATTCTTTATGACCTCATGCTGGAAGAACTGGCGCATCTGTAGCACCTTGGGGCCTTTGAGTATTGGGGCTGGGGCATTTGTCAGCTGCTTAGACCCGATGCAGAGGCCTTTCCAAATCTGAGTGCCAAATGGAGGTCCGGGAGTCTTTTTCTGTCAACAAAAGAAAGTGCAAGATTCACCAAAGAAGTCAGAATAGTACGGTGATGAATTTTTTTTTTTTAAACCAAGTACTCTTTTGTGGATACTAGATCAGGAGTGGTTATGGGATTCCTAAACCAGTGGAGGTATGACTTTGAGGGATCCAGATAGATCAGGTTTGGTCACCCATACCCAAAACCAAATGACAAAAGGAACAGTAAATTAGGAAAGAGATTCATCATTCAGTATGGCCACGCTGAGAAGCACAGCAGCTAGCAGCATCTCATGCACGATTTTCAAGGAGCTAGCAAGAGCTCTGGAGTGATAGAAAGGAGGGACAAAAGAAGGTGAGCAATGAGTACCCATGCATCCTCAGGCCGTCTTGATCCAAGTATGGTCTGGTTGGTCATCATCTCACCATCAGAGCTAGCTAGACAATTAGAAGGTTACTGCTGTCAGAGGTAGGTTGGGGGTTGGGAGGCAGAGGCAGACAGATCTCTGTGAGCTCAAGTCTACCCTGGGCTACACTAGACTGATCCAGTCTCAAAGAGAAACAGGGCCAGGCAGTGTTGGCTCACACTTTAATCCCAGTATATGGGAGTCACACATTTTTAATCCCAACACTAAGGAGGTGGAGACAGGAAGGGATATGTCTGGGCAGAGAGAGGAGAGTAAGGGCTGGGGGGAGACAAGAGCTCAATGCAGTTTGAAGATGCAGGCTGAGGCAGCAGTCTGAACCAGTCAGACTTCGGATGTTGTCAGAGGAGGCAGTCTGAGGAAGGGATCTCCCTTTTGGTCTAAGGTCTCTCTAGTGGCTGGTTGCACTGCTTCTCTGATTTCTCAGCTTTCATCCCCTAATACTTGACAACGGATTTTACTAAGAACAGTTAGAATTCATACAACAATCCAAATTTAAAGTATCAAGGAAACAGATGCAAAATGGAGGCAGAGATGCCGAACTGAAAAAAGGATAAAATGAAACTTATGCCCTGGTGATGCTGACGCATGCATGGGCAGTCCATAAATAGTGGTTCTGTTGAACTTGTCCACATTGGCTATCATACTACCAACTTTTAGTTGTCCAGTGAACATCTGAAGGACCAAGTAAAGAGTCAGTCCTTCCAGCAGAAGTTGAAGCTATTACAGAACGACCTGCGAGGGATGAAATGGTGCTGGAAAAATCCTCATCCTCATGGATCTGAGCAAAATTTTATCTTTCTGTGTACCATTAACAATCTCAAATGGTGCTCTGTTGGGCATCCTTTCAGGAGGGCTGTGGGATTCTGCACATGGTAAATCAGCAACAATCTAATTCATGTTACGTGCATGATGCTTTGTTTGGCATGCTCAGGTCACCGAAGACATTTGGAGTTAGCAGTTCTTAACTTTCTGGCTCTGTATGAATTTATATAAGAAGATTTGGAGAGGAAAATCATTCCATGGGTCTGGGCCAACTTTGAGCCGACTCTAGATGAAATCCGCCTCCAAAATCTTCGAGGGCTTTCTTGGGAAGAAATGTGTGCCTAAGATGAGCTCAAATCTCTGCCATCCTAGCAACTGGCCTTGGTGCTTCATTTTAAAAAAGAGTGACCAGTGACAGCCATCCAGTGGCTTTCAGTTTATAGTATAAGAGCTTCAGATGAAGAGAATAATCTCCATTAATCCAGAATGGGGTGTATTTATCCTATCATCCTGTAGTACCTGCAGCTTTTTGGCATTCTCAACTTTCAGAGAAGAATATTATGGTCCAGAATATCCTGTTCCAAGATTCAGGACAGGACATCATGGCCACATTCATCTCATCAACTTGATTAGAGCCACCAGATTAAAACTAAGAAGTGAATGGCCTTTTCTCATCATCTCTGCTCTTGCTACAGCAGAATTTACTGTAAGATACTGAAAGTAGAAAGTCAATATGTTACCTTCCTCACTCAACAGCAATATACTCTATGTTCACATTTTGGTGTCTTCGCAGTTTTGTAACTGAACACCAGATGATGTGCTGGACATGTTGCATACGGTGGTTGTGGAACAAAACGACAGCCTTTCAAGATGCAGGGTTCAGTGATGCCTTAGCAAAATGTTATTTCATTCTTTTGAAACTCTAGGGTGGAGTTGAACTAATCTGGCATGATCATAAGCACAGTATTTATTTGCTAACATTGCAGTTGCAAAACTGCTTCTCCCCCTCTTTTTTTTCTCCATTTATGTATCTTTAATATACAAAGAAAAGTTACAAGGAGAGTGAAAGGCACCAAAGTTTGTTCAAAATTAACAGCTTAAGAAATGACAGGAAAAGTGGTATGGTATCAGGAAGTCTATGTTAGGTGAAATGTAACAGGTTATTCAAGAGGGATGCTTTAATATATAGGAATATGCCCAGGCTTACAATGCAGAATAAAAAATAAAACTGAAATTAGTTAGCCAGGCCTAGTCCTCTAAAATTCTATTGCTACATCTACAAATGATTAAAATCTCCAAATACAAAACTTCTTGAACTCATTCATTATCTCACCGGAGGATGGAAATATATGAAGCTACAGAAGCAGACCTGAGCCCAAATAGAAATGTAAATACAGTGACTTTACAGTATACCTCAACTGAAGGGAATCTTTCCCATGACCTTGACTGGAGATTTGGAGGGACGATGGTGTCTAACTCCTTCTTCATTAGCCATGGTGATGCTTCATAGAAAGGGCGAAGCACCGTTATACTCAAGGCGCCTGAATTAAAGAGAATTACCAGAGGTCATTTCTCTGCCAAAATGATGCTGACAAATTCAACAGGCATTAACCGAGTTCAACAAGTACTTTCGAACTGCTTTTTATACAAAAACCTTAGTCAGGTACAATGATTATGCCTTAGGGTGATACTCTCTAAGATGAGACCCTGAGTAGCCAACACCTGAAAGATGGACTTTAGTCAAACAAAAGCACTCACTAGTATCTTTCTGTCCCTCAATATTTGGGTCAGGTCGGCCAACAAGTTGCCTTGACTCCCTCTTTTTCTGCCTTCTCCAGAGATGCAACATTTAGTCATGTATCTCCGAGGTATCCCATCCTGTACTGAGCAACAGCTAGCTTGTCTAGCAGGCTGTACTCTGGAGTGAACCTACCCTGGCAGCCAGTGAGGTTCACTAGTGAGACTCACCCATGATAAAACTTCTTTGACTTTTTCTTGCCTAAACAGTAAAGCGGGGTCTTCTCTGCTCACTTCTGCCTCACCTTGAAGCATGACCTCCTTCTGCAGTTCAGACGGTTCGGTCTCTTCTTACCCATCTTCAATGCAGTAGAATTCTTCGTGTTTTCTTCTCCAAGAAATCATGACCTCTCCACGCCCCCTCCCGCCATGAATGCACTAACAAGTTCTTGGGTCTTAAACAACTCCAGAGAAACTTTGTAGACAACCCTAGGTTTCTCTGTTCCAAACTCTCAGTGAAAGATATTTCTGTCTTCATGGATCTTATACAAGACTGTAATTACAGTTATTTGTGTGGCTATATAATTAACACCCATTTCTCTCATCAAATTATAAGTTTTAAGGAAATAGATTCTATGTTTGTTTTACCTCATTATGTACTCCAAATCTAAGATGGCATTTGGCACAGGATATGCTGCTAAGTCAATGCTACTTAAATGGTTAAAAAATACATTGAGGAGAGTTCTTGGTGCTTCATAGGTTTTGTTTGTTTTAGTTGACAAGTCAGAGTCAGGGTCTTTTTGGCTATGTAGTGCAGGCTGACCTCAAGCTTGCATTGGTCTCCTAGTTCAGGGGTTAATGTATCACCATGCCCACCAACCTAATATACATATTTGCATGTCCTGACTAGCCAGGAACAGCCTTCCATTTTTCACATTCACAAGAACAGTGCATATAACATGTACATGTGTGTTGATAAGCTAAAAGATACAAGCATAGACATGCAATCATACTCTTAAGTAGACTCAAAATATATACCATGAAACAAAAGATTAAAGAAGCCCAGAAACCTCTCTATATAATTGGCATACCAAAGTATGTGCCTTTAATATTATGCAATGATTTCTTTAAAATTCATAAAAATAATATAAATCACCAACAAATATGTTCTATAGCATATATGCCTCTGATTAATATTCTAGCTGATGTATAAAATGTGTTTTCTTATTGTATTCAGTTTGACCAAAACATACCCTTAAAAATGATAATAAAAGAAGAACTTTTAAGAGATCTCATAGTGTTTCTAAGCAGGATGGAATGAGCTCATAAATAAGATCTAGGCACAAGCTGCTTATGGCATTAAGAGGCATTCATTCTTGGCTGACACAAGTTGATTCTTAGACACAGTTTGAGATGAATCTCACTTTCTGGAACTGTGTAAGTAAGATGACACGTCCAGTTGGAGGAGCAAAATGAGAAAAGGGGACTGCACAGCAAGAGGATTAGAGTCCCTGGAGGACACAAGGAGCAGCAGGCGGCATGGTGTCTCTACCTGGCTGTTCCTGGACTGGTTCCTGGAGAACCACAGTCGTGGATTCTCCATAGGCCAAGGATAAGTATTCTTCTATGTCACTGTCTCGGAGGAGTTCCACACCGGATCCGTCAGTGTAGATCACAAAAAACCTGGTTGAAGTAAAAAGAGGAACATTCAAGACACTCAGGAAAGTTGCTTCTTGAATTCGGGATGGAGAATGAAATACTAATGTTGCTAGTATCATTTTACCTGGGAACGTGTTCCCCATAGATTTGCATGTGATTCTTTTCAAGGTGAATTGATGACAAGCTTTCATAGCCCTCAGTTTGTACACTGAGATCAGCTTCTAATTTCTTTTTTGGTAACATTGTTGATACAGAGCCATCAGCCATGACCTATGAAACATGAGAAGCTGAAGGAACAAATACCAAAGTGCCCACATTACCACTGATCCAAGGTGTGCAAACATGCACTCTTTTGGATTATCAGAATATCGAGCATATTTAATCACATGGTATTGCTATTATGTATGAATTTCATTAATAAAAGAGGAGATTTCCTAGCAGTATGGTACTCATAAACCACACACAGGCAGTGAAAACAAACTGAAACACATTTAGAAGAAAGAGACCAGGATTGAGAGGGGAATCAAATCTTATCCTCTGGGGATTAGGGATAGAGAAACTGAACATGAAGGAAAGAACATTCGGGTGACTGATGATTCGAAATACGGAGAGAACCTTTGCATAGCGAAAGCTGAAATTCAAGTGCAAAACTGTAGTTCCTTGGAAGAGCATACAGGGAAATAAGTTTAGGATAAACATGAGAGACAACATTCTAGTTACTAGAGCTGTCAATATCCGGCATGCATCTCTTCAGAAAGGAGCATGGCACAGGCTGCCCGCTGTAGGTGAGGCGGCCCTAGAGGGGTATCAGAAACACGCTTGGCAAGAAACAGCCCAGACATTTCAGTCTGGAGGGGCTGTGGCTTTATGTTTCCATGGCTAGTCATTGCTGATTGAGATTTATCAGTTCATGCCCACGCTGTAAAGAGTCTCAATTACTTAGCAAAGAAAAATATAAACAGAACCAGGACTTGTCTGCGTATTAAAACAGCGCTAGGGATTCTGTGGTTTGAGTCCGAATCTAAAACCTAACCTCACATCCACCAGTCAATGGAGGAAATTCCACTGTCGGGTGAGGATGCGGGGGGGGGGGGGGAGGATAAATGTCTAGAGCAGGGGGTGGCAGTGCTTTTTGGTGAAGGGCCAGAAGTAAAGACTTCAGGAGCTGACACCATAGTTCTCTCTTGCAAATGCACAGCCCTTTCCACTGCTGAACAAAAGTAGACAGAGAACACACAGAAGAACATCCCTGTCTTACGGTAACAATTTTGGTGGCACCGTTGAAATCTGCATTGTGTGTGCCTTTATATGGCATGAAATACATTCTTTCGAATTTTTGAACATTTTAATATCTGAGGTCCTAATCTATATAAAATAGGGGGACCAAATTTGCCAAGACCTAGGCAGAGAGAGATAAGGGCAGGATCATGGGATAGAGAAGCCTGAGCCCTGTCCAGACCCTTTCTACCTATCCATCAGCAGCCCTGCTAGGCGCTTCTTACCATAGGTTGCCCTAGTGCCATGGAATTGCAGGTTGCTTGCGTTTGCTCTCACCGTAATCCTTATGTCCTTGTTTGTGGTTGCATTATTTTTTCCTGTACTTCTCAATTTGTTGATTAGTTTAAATGTTTCTCTTGCCCACATTATGAAGATTGCTCTTCCCTACGAAAGTATACTTGAGGATCAAAGAAAAAAATATCGACGTTCATGTTTGATTGGCAGAGGGCAAGCAAATGACCCCAATACAGCAAATGTAAAAACTGATATGGAATTTGTCTAGTACAATACATTGCACCACCAAGTTGGGGTAGTTTGAAAAAAAATGGCCCCCACAGGCTCATTGGGAATGGTGTTATTTGAAAGGATTAGGATGTGTGTGGTCTTATTGGAGTAGGTGTGGCCTTATTGATGGAAGTGTGCCACTGGAGGGTGGCTCTGAGGTTTCAGAAGCTCAAGCCAGGTTCAGTGACTCATCCTCTCTTCATATTGCCTGCTGATCCAGATGTAGAGCTCTCAGCTCCCTCTCCAACACCAGTTCTGCCTGTGTGCTGCCTTGCTTCCTTCTGCGACAATAAGGGACTAACCCTCTGAACCATAAGCCAGCCCCAATTAAATGTTTTCCTCTATAAGAGTTGCCATGGCCGTGGTGTCTCTTCACAGTTAGAAAGCCCTAACTATGACAGAAGTCCAGGCTCTCTCTCCACACGGACCCTGTGCCTTACCTGAAATGTGTTCCCCTCAGGATCCAGGACCTCACAGATCACTTCTGAGGTGTGCTTCATGATGTACCTGCTGGCTCTCAGCTGCTCACGCTTCTGGAAGGGGTGGTAGATGTTGCTGCTCGGTTCATGGCAGTATGTAGCTGAACAGTCTCTGTCGATATAAAGGCAGCCTGTGTTTGGGGGTAACACCTAGAAGGAGGAAGAAAAAAAGACATTAAGTTCTCTTGTGCAACTTCAGGGATTTGAAAGATATTTCCAGGACAAAAATATTACTTAAGGAATAATGTAATGTTTCAGAAGGACAGCTTGCCGAGGGGCAAACAGAAGATCCAGTTTCTTGACCATAGCCTTCCATTTCCCATTTCATTTGTTTTCTATATTTGTCCTGTGCCCTCTTATTTCAGACTTTCTCCATTTTAACTGTACATAGGGCTCCATGTGATTTGTTTGATGCCCATTTTTTTTTTTGCAAGAAGAAACTTCCTTAAAGGGGATAATAGTTCTTCAAAACATTGGTTAGTCTTAGCCTTTCTGGTAGGTGACACAGTCAAGTGGTAGTATTTATGTAATGACTTCTAATTGCTTTATTTGAATTATAATTTATGTGCTGTAAATTCACCCCTTGGAAGTGCAGTATTTGGTAATGTTTTAGTATATCCAAGAACGTGTGCAATCAGTTATACATGATTCTAGGATATTTCTATCATTCCATCCACAAAGAAACCCCAGTGTTATTAGCAATCACTGTATCATCCTTGATCCCAATACCAGGCGACCACTACTTCATTATCTCTGTAGATTTTTCTCTTCTAGTTTTTCCATATAAATGGAAACCACAGCATCATTACCAGTCAGTGTATCATCTCTGTCCCCAATCTTCAGTGGCTGCTAACCCATCACCTGTACAGATTTTCCTATTCTAAACTTTTCATACAAGTAGAAGCGTCACTATGTAGCTTCTTTCACTTGGAATAAGGGTTTCAAGATGCAGCAATTTGTGGCATGCAGCTCATCCCATTCGCCAGCACTATGACAGCACCAGTTGACACACCAATGTGGATAGGGGACATCTCCGAAGGTCCCACCTCTAGATGAAGACCTTCAGGTAATTAACAACTGCTGAGAGAAGGAGATTGAGTCTTCTTCAGGGATAATCCCGATGGGTTATCCAAACTCATGTGATTAGCTCTAAATGCATATCCATATAAGCAACAAGAAACAGATTCAGTGGTATATATTTATTTACACACCTGTGTGTATTGGTATAACAATAATAATGAAAGAAGAAGAGGTCATGAATTTGAGAGTGGGGAATAGGAGGTGTTGGAAGGCAGAAAAGGAAGGGTAGAAATGATGTAAACATAGTCCTTATGGTTACAATTCTCAAAAAAAACTCAATTAAAAAAAATCTGCCCTCCCTCAGCTCTACAGGATCACACAGGCGAGTGTGTGCTTGGTATGGTTTTTCATGGAAGGAGGGGAAGGCCCTCTTCATGCATGGCAGACCTGCAAGAGGAGATTCTCTGTTCTTAGGAGTCTGACAGTTCTGGGTGGAAGTGAATTCAGGCTACCAACACTTCCCATTGTTGTTTAGCCAAGGCAACCTTTGGTGTCATCTTCAAGAGGCACAACTACCTGACTCCTGACCTCTGAAAAAGAGATTCAATCCACCAAAGTCCTTATTAGGAACTCACTGGTCATCTTGTGAAAACCCACACTAGAGTGTCCTTTCAAAGGATACAGACTTCAGCTGTAACTACCAAAGAGGCTTTTTATACCAGAAGAATGAAGTGTGTCAAGTCTGTTTTAAAAATGATGCTTATGCCGTGGGAGGCATTGCTAATGAACATCCGCCTTACATTTTCTTCCATCTCTCACTTTCAGCGCTTGCTTTGCCCCATAGCCATCTCTACTGGGTGAAGAGAGGAAACATAATGACCAGAGAGATGGGAGGGATGCACCAGTTCAGCTACTGTCACAGTGATGACCATGTGTCCATCACATTCTGGCTTTCAGTTCTCAGCCCCTTGTAACATGGCGTGTGATAGCTCATGTCCCTCTTTAACACGCAGAAAGAGGGGAAATCTCTCAAAGACTAAAGGCACTGTATGCTGACACCAGCACATTCTGTTTAATAGGAAGATCAGGGAGAATGGAGAGGGGCGTGTTGCAGTTTTCTTTGCTTTTGAAGGACAAAGCTTTGCTTCATCTGGGTAAACTGTCTTCCCAGGACCAAACATACTGCCCTTCAGGTGCTTTACCCTGGGGTCCTAGGGGTGGACTGGAGTCAAGAGCTGGCAGGAGATGGAGAGAGGCAGGTAGGAATCCATCAGGTCATTGGAATGATTCTGGCCCCACAGTGTGCAGCGTGGGGGTCTTTTTAGCCTAACCTTGATTCAACACTACTAACTTCCTGCAACAAGCCAGACAATGTATTCCTAGAATGGATTGAAACGATGCAAAAGCAGAAGTGTGAGAAGTGCATTCTAAGATCAGGTGAGACACAAAAGCAACAGTGGGTGTCACTGCAGAAATTCCCATTGTCCCAGCAAAGCATATTCTGTGAGCAATGTGACACTTCTATGGGTCAGTGCTAACGTCCCAACTCGACCTACCTGGTATGATCCCTGTGGCTTCGCAATAATAGACGTTCCATCCCCAAAGGTGGCACAGCAGCTACTGTCCTCGCAGTTGGTGATAACAGTGGCATAGTGTGAGCTCTCTATCCGCATGCACTTCACCTGCCTGGTGACAGTCGCTGGACCTTCGGCTACAAGTAAAGTACAGGGTAAGGAGATGGGGTAGGGTGCATACAGTAGGTGATCAGCCTTGGGCTGTCTCCTGCCTATGTGGATTCCTCATGGGAAAGAACCTAGGTGCTGTCCACAGGGTTGGAGTGTGGCCTGCCATCCTTGCCAACTCAGAATAGTTCTAGAATCCCTTCATATATGATTTAGCACACTGGTCTTACTAAGTAGGTCGTTAGTATTCTTTTTATTTGGAGAAGTAGAAATATTTAATTTTGCAAGTTAAAAATTGAAATTCATAAAATATATTCACCAATGAAAATCTATACTTGTTCCTATTTTGTCATGTCACTTAAATGTGTATGTTTATAAGGAAGACTGCAGGTGAAGCTGAAGTTGTCTCCTATGTCTAGGTTTAGTTTTTTGTTACAAGTCAATTTTATATCTTTATATAAATGTGTTAAGAATGAATAACACATGAGATTTATGTACTTTAAATTTATATAAACTAAATACAAATCTATCAAATTCTATAATTACCATATCATTTTATACCTTTTTTTACAACATTGTTTTGAGGTCTCTAACATTTTTGTATTAGTTATGTGTGCTTGTATTAAGTGTGGGATTGTTTTAGTGTATATTTAGTGTGTGCATATGTATGTGTCTGTGTATATGTATGTGTGCATTTGTAGTTAGTTTATGTATGTAGTTCCTGATAAAATAGTGACCCTTTTAGATAAGAAGTACATTTTATTTTTTCTTGGACATTTATATTTTACCTTATATTTCAATAATATGCCATTAAAATATTGAAAATAGCACTCATATACCTGTTTCATCAGGGTATCTATATAATAAAATCTCAAAGTTAACATTTTATACAATATACATGTTATAGGGAGGGGTGGGAAGGTGAGGGACTCTTAGGCAAGATCTACTACAATAATTTTGTATTACACAATAGAGATATTCCAAAAATGATACTTTTAGGTGTTTTTTTTACTGTACACAAGGCTTATTATTTTTTTCTGGTTGGAGTGATCATTTCAGTATTGTCTTAGTTAAGGTTCCTATTGCTATAAAGAGACACCATGACCACAGCAACTCTAAAAGGAAAACATTTAATTGAGAAGGCTTGCTTCCAGTTTCAGAGGTTCAGTTCATTATCACTATGGCAGGGAGCATGGCTGCATGGACGCAGACATGGTGCTGGTTAAATCTTGATCAGAGGCAACAGGAAATGTACTGAAGTACTGGGTGGTATCTTGAGCAAGAGACCTCAAATCCTGTCCCCACAGTGACACACTTACCAACAAGGCCATACCTACTCCAACAAAGTCATACCTCCTAATAGTGCCACTCCCTTTGGGAGCTATTTTCTACCAAATTCCACTCATTGGCCCCTAAAGACTGTAGGCTTCTTAAAAAGCAAAATTGCATTCAGTACAACTTCAAAAGTCCCCATAGTCTATAACAGTCTTAAACTCGTTTCAAAGTCCAAAGTCTGATGTGGGAGTGTCATATATCAATCTGTTGATTTCATTGGTTAAGCAATAAAGAAACTGCTTTGGCCTCATAGGTTAAAACATAGGTGGGAGGAGTAAACAGAACAGAAGGCTGGGAGAAAGAAGCTGAGTCAGGGAGTCGCCATGATTCTCCCAATCCAGACAGACGCAGGTTAAGATCATTCCTGGTAAGCCAGCTCGTGGGCTACAGCAGATTATTAGAAATGGGCTAGTCCAGGTGCAAGAGCTAGCCTAGAAGAGGCTAGATATAATGGGCCAAGCGGTGTTTAAACAATACAGTTTCCATGTAATTATTTCGGGTAAAGCTAGCCGTGGGGGCGGCCGGGTGCCGGGGACTCAGCCCCGCCGCTCCTATTTCAACAAAAGTCTCTTCTGAGACTCATGGCAAATCTATTAAAATTAAAATAAAAAAGCAGATCACATACTTCTAACATAATGACAAAGGGTATATATGCCATTATATGAATATATGCATATATATATATATATATATATATATTCATTTATTCCATATTGTGGGAAAGAGAGCATAGTAAGGAAATACTGAACTAAAGCAAGACCAAAAAACCAAAAAACCAGCAGGTTAAAATCAAGACTCTGTAGTTTTCTATCTGATAGTAAAATGTTCCTCAGATCTCCACGTCTGCTCAGCTTGTTGACTGCAGCACACTTCTTTCTCCAGGACTGGCTCTACTCCCTGTTAGCAGTTTTTCTTGGCAGATATTCTGCAGCTCTAACATCTCCAACATCTTGGAGTCTCCAAGGCAATCCAGGCTTCATGCGATGGCATCTCTATAGGGCTCTATTCGGGGACACTCCTGACACACGTCTGACTTCAGTAGCTTTCTATAGGCACAGAGGCAAATTCCATACCCCATTTCTTCTACACTTAACTCTAAAACCATGCAGCCAAAGCTGCCAAATTCTGCAGTTTCCTGGGGCTGGAACCCTTTTAAATTACATCTTCACTAGCTTTCTGTTCTTCATTGCCCAAGCTAGGCTGTACTGAAACTGGATCTCTAGACCAGGCTGGCCTCAAACTCAGATATCTGACAACCTCTGCCTTCAGAGTGCTGGGATTAAAGGTGTGCACCACTACACCTGACTCCAAGTTTTCTTTAGTTTCTTTTCACAAGTTGGAAACATAGCTGGGTGAGATTTTATCCTCAGGTCACTCCCTTTATTCCATTTATTAATCCATCTATCTCATTGAACAGAGGATTTAGCTCCATTCTACTTCCTAGTGGTCCTTTTCTCCTCAAATTTGCATTTTGTAATTTACTGTGATCAGTTTGCTCCTTTTCATTATACACCTTTACCACATGATAGTCTATACTAGGCTGTTTTGAGACATACTCTGCCAATTGAATTAATACTAAACTCTTCCCTTTAACCTCAGGTAGAGTTTTTGGACAAGAGCAATAGGTAGCCTCTTTCTTTGCCAAAATATCACAAGAAGGATCTCTAGGCAAAATATTAAAAATTCTTCTTTGAAACCCCTTGAGTGAGTTCCTGACAGTTCAAATAATTCTTAGCACCACTGTCTCCCATGCTCCTACTAGTATGGCCCATTATACGGTACTTAAAGCATTGCACTGCTTTATTAACCCAAAGTACCAAAGTCTATATTACTCCAAACAAAAACATGATCAGACCTATCACAGCAAGACCTCACTCCTGGTACCAACTTCTGTCTTAGTTAAGGTTTCTATTGCTGTGAAGAGACACCATGACCACAGCAAATCTTAGGAAGGAAATCATTTAATGGGGTGCTTCGCTTACAATTTCCAAGGCTCAGTTCATTATCATTATGGCAGGGAGCATGGTGGCATGCAGACAGACATGGTGCTGGCTACACCTTGGTCAGAAGGCAATATGAAATGACCTGAAACACTAGGTGGTATCTTGAGCAAGAGAGACCTCAAAGCCTGTTTCAACAGTGACATACTTCCTCCAACAAGGCCATACCTACTTCAACAAAGCCACACCTCCTAATAGTGCCACTCTTTTTTTGGGGGGGGGGCATTTTCTTTCAAACAGCTAAATAAGCGTATTTTAGACTATTGATACTATACACCTTAAGTACACTCTAAAGAAAATCACACAGGAATTAAAGAGAAGGAGCTTAAGAATAACTTGGATGTGTAAACACTCCTTAAATTTAGGCTAGGCTTAGTGGCACCCTCCCAGATTCTTTGATTAGGCTCCAATTAATTAGCTGCTGTGGCTTCCCTTTTCATTCTTATTTTTCTGACAATGAGATGCTCTACTGTGAAGGAGGACCTGTCTGAGCTCATTTGCTTATGCCAATGGGATACACTAAGGATCAAAGGAGACAGATTTTGGAATCAATATCAACGATGGATGAGTCATGATTGTTAACTTTTACTTGCCAATTTTGGCCCTAGGTCTTTATCGAGCAGACAATTACAGCTGTGACAATTCCTGTCCCTACTGGGGCAAAGAGCACAATAAAAGGGACTAATGTTCTTTCTGCTTACTGCAGCCATGATTTACAGCAGCCCAGCTTAAGAGTCAATCAATCCAGTGCTCCAGTGTGGGTCTCTGTCTCTATCTCCATCCATCACCAGATGAAGGTTCTATGATGATATGCAAGATATTCGTCAGTATTGCTATAGGATAGGGTCATTTCAGGTTCCCTATCCTCAGCTGCCCAAGGAACTAACTGGGGACCTCGGCTTGGGCACCTGGGAGCCACTCTAGGTTCAAGTCTCTTGCCAACCCTAAGGTGGCTCCCTTAACTAAGAATTGTGCTTCCGTGCTCCCCTATCCAACCTTCCTTTATCCCAATCCTCCTTTTTCCCCAAGTTCCCCCCATTCTCCCCTTCTCCCTTTTCTCTCCCCATCTCCCCTTACCCCCATCCCACCCCACCCCCAAGATCTCAATTTTCTCCCCGGCAATTTTGTCTACTTCCCATAGCCAAGAGGACAACTATATGTTTTTCCTTTGGTTCACCTTCTTACTTAGCTTCTTTGGGATCACCGATTGTAGACTCCGTGACCCTTGTTTATGTCTAGAAACCAATTATGAGTGAGTACATCCCATATTCATCTTTTTGGTTCTGGGTTACCTCACTCAGGATAGTGTTTTCTATTTCCATCCATTTGCTCCCAAGGTCCCAATGAGGAGCAGAAGGAGGGAGAACATGAGCAAAGAAGTCGGGACCACGAGGGGTGCACCCACCCACTGAGACAGTGGAGCTGATCTATTGGGAGCTCACCAAGGCCAGCTGGACTGTGACTGAAAAGGCATGGGATAAAACTGGACTCTCTGAGCATGGCGAATAATGAGGGCTGATGAGAAGCCAAGGACAATGGCACGGGGTTTTGAACCTACATAATGTGCTGGCTTGGTGGGAGCCTAGCCAGTTTGGATGTTCACCTTCCTAGAAATGGACTGAGGGGGGAGGACCTAGGACTTACCACAGGGCAGGGAACCCTGACTGCTCTTTGGACTGGAGAGGGAGGGGGAGAGGAGTGGGGGAGGGGGAGAAGGGTGGGAGGAGGGGGAGAAGGGTGGGAGGAGGGGGAGGGAAATGGGAGGCTGGGAGGAGATGGAAACTTGTTTTTTTTTTCTCCTTTTCTCAATAAAAAAAAGTTAAAAAAAAGAGTCAATCAAATATCCATTATGGATGAAAAATATCTGACAAAAGGAAATCCTGTCATTTGTGATGAAGCTGGGGACATTATGTCGAATAAGACAGAACTAGAAAGACAAATACTGCACAATCACATACACACATCTCTCACACACAAAAACATACATGCTTCAAACACATGCACACAACACACACCATACCACATGCCTGCCCACACATTCACGTACACCTATGCACATAGATGCACATATCTACACACATATGCAAATATACATTCACATGCATGTCTACACACATGCACATATAGAGGCTCACATATGCATACATTTGCATATATACATGTACACATACCATACACACTTATGGAATTTTAAAAAGTGAAATTCACAGGAGTGGAGAACAAAATGGTAGTTACTAGTTGTGGGGTTGAAAAGATGTTCATCAAATGTTTTAAAGTTTCAATTACAGAGGAAAGTAGCTTCACGATATCTTGAAGGTCATAACTACAGTAAATATGTAATATACAACATTTGAAAACTGATAAATATAGGTTTTAAGAGTTCTCAACTCAAAACATCAAGTATGTGAAATAGTTTGCTTGACTATTGCACAATATACAAATAGTTCAAAATATGTTGCATATGATGAAAAAGTACAGTTTTTATAATTAAATAAATACATCAAAATAAACATCATGACCATTACCACCATCATCACAATGGGGACCAAAGGACCCTCTTTGCATGGGTATTTTCTGGTTGCCTCACTCATTTTTACAAATGTTTTTGAAATGAGCCTTCTACTTGTATCATGCTAAAGGGTTGTACAATTCTGTTGTAACTGTCTCGAAAAATACAACTCACTTGTTTCTTCACCATCCGGAGGAATAATATGATCTTCATAAACCTGATAAAAGGTTGTGATTCTGGTACCGTCAGCATGATCCACGATCCGGGTTCCATCTTTCTTCTCAACAATGATCACCTTGTCTTCTCGAGTAATCATGACCTGAATGTGAGAAGCACAGCATAACCATTGGGCCAGATGGTTAGACACAGCAAGCTTATTTCTATGCTTAGTGAATGTGAAGGTTTTGTTATCTACCTGATCTACTACTTTAGTTGATTTCTGAGATAGATAGGGCTCCCATTGTACAGATGAGGAAATTTAGGCTTATAAAAGTGAAGAAAAAAATGTCAAAGTTACTCAAGAATTAAGTGACAGGGAACATTTCAATATATAAAAGATAAAGAATCAAGACTGGGTCTAATAGATTGAATGCAATGTCCATCAAAATTCCAGCAAAATTCTTCAAAGAACTCAAAAGAACAGTACTCAACTTCAAATGGAAAAGCAAAAAACCCAGGATAGCCAAAACAATCCTGTACAATAAAAGAACATCTGGAGGCATCACAATCTCTGACTTCAAATTCTACTACAGAGCTACAGTACTGAAAACAGTTTGGTATTGGCATTAGAACAGACAGGATGACCAATGGAACCGAATAGAAGACACGGATATCAATACACACATCTTTGAACATCTGATCTTTGATAATGAAGCAAAAAAAATATCAAATGGAAAAAAGAAAGCACATTTAACAAGTGGTGCTGGCATAACTGGATATCAACATGTAGAAGAATAAAAATAGACTCATATCTATCATCATGCACAAAACTCAAGTCCAAATGCATCAAAGACGTCAATATAAAGCTAGACTCACTGAACCTTATAGAAGTGGCACAGGGAACCACTTCCTAAATATAACCCCAGCAGCACAGACACTGAGAGAAACAATTAATAAATGGGACCTCCTGAAACTGAACAGCTTCTGTAAAGCAAAGGACACAGTCAAGAAGACAAAACAACAGCCTACAGAATGGGAAAAGATCTTCACTTACCCCACTTCAGACAGAAGTCTGATCTCCAAAATATACAAAGAACTCAAGAAACTGGACACAAAAAGAACATATAATCCAATAAAAAATGGAGTAAAGACCTAAATAGAGAACTCTCAACGGAGGAATCTAAAATGTCTGAAAGACATTTAAGGAAATGTTCAACATCCTTAGTCATCAGAGAAATACAAATCAAAACAACTCTGAGATTCCATCTTACACCTGTAAGAATGGCCAAGATCAAAAACACTGATGACAACTTATGCTGGAAAGGTTGTGGGGAAAAGGAAACACTTCTGCATTGCTGGGGGAAATGCAAGCTGGTACAACCTCTTTGGATGTCAGTGTGGCCATTTCTCAGAAAATTAGGAAACAACCTTCCTTAAGACCCAGTAATATACCACTTTTGGGTATATATCCAAAGGATGCTCAATCATGCCACAAGGACATGTGCTCAACTATGTTCATAGCAGCTTTGTTTGTCATAGACAGAACCTGGAAACAACCTGAATGCCTCTCAACCAAAGAATGGATAAGGAAAATATGATACATTTACACAATGGAGTACTCCACAGCAAAAAATAACAACATCTTGAATTTTGCAGGAAAATGGATGGAGCTAGAAAACATTATTTTGAGTGAGGTAATCCAGATGCAGAAAGACAATTATCACTTGTACCCACTCATAGGTGGTTTATAAACATAAAGCAAAGAAAATTAGCTTACAAACCACATTCCCAGGGAACTTAGACAACAATGAGGACACTAAGAAAGACTTATATAGATCTAATCTACATGGGAACTAGAAAGTAGAAAAAAACAAGATATCCTGAGTAAATTGGGAGCCTGGGGACCTTGGGGGAGGGTTGAAGGGGGGAGAGGAGTGGCAAGGGAGGGGAGCAGAGAAAAATGTAGAGCTCAATAAATATCAATAAAAATCAATATAAAAGACTGGGTCGATGGAGGTCAGTCTTGGATATAGTTCATGGGACCTATTTTTTGGAAACTATTGAGATGAGATAAATGTGACACACGTAGGCTACCCTTGTGTTGTGAAACCCCTGCTGTGCAGGACTACCCTAGATAGGATGAACTGTAAGTTGACAATCAATTAGCATATTATTAGAGACTGTGGAGGAGAGGTTGCAGTTCCTTCTAGTCAAGGTGACTCATGTCTACAAAGACTCATTTGTTTGCCATGGTGACCCACATTTTCATAGACTTTCATTTGCCTACCATGCATGCTTGAGGGGTTCAGGATGCTAAGCACAGGGGTTGCTACTAGTCTCCTAGTTTATGAGGATGGCATACCAACTGTACTGTGCTTCTGTCCTGAATCTTTCCTTAAAGCTGGGAAGATGTAATCATGGGTGAAAGACTATTCTGCTCTATTGGTCTGAACACAGGTTTGAGTGGAGTGTCTTCTTATATGAAATGGAGAGGGTCTGGGCAGAATATTAGTAACTTTCTCTTCTCTGTGAACATATATATGGCAAAAAGCAACTTAAGGGAGGAAGTTTATTTGAGTTCATGTCTGACAGGAAACAGTCTATCATAGTAGGGCAGACACAGCATTGGGAGCACATGCTGATGATATTGTGTCTGGAGCAGGAAGTAGGAGAGATGAGTGACAATGCATATCAGACTGGCTTACTCCTCTTTCCTCTGCATAAACCAATCTGGAAATCAAATCCAACTCTTAGGGTGAGTCTTCTCTCATCATTAAGGGATACCTAGAGAGGTTTTGTCTCAGGCAACTTTAAATCTACTCCAGCTGGCCATGAAAATTAACCATCTCAGAAGAGAAATGGCTGAATGAATGACCTCAGGTAGAAAGACAACAGTTCAACATTCCATCACCTGTCAGGTTTATTTCAGCTCAGTTCAAAAGTGCAGGGTGTGCACTATGATGGGTGCTATGGTGGACTGGCATAGATTTCCTTACTCTATAGAGTGGGGACACTGACAGGATGCCATTTCAGGGCTGCTGGGTTCTATGGCGGGTGCTCTGCATGGCTCAGTTCTCTGCCTAAGGTAATGGTACTGCGCTTGAACCTGGTATGTAAGAAAAGAGTTGTGGCTTGATCAAACCACATGGAGAGACTAAGAGTAATGGGCAGATGATGGGAGTCTGGGAGGCTACAAACTAAGTGGGAGAGACTTCAGACTGTTTCCTAAGTGGAATGAAAATACCACTGAGGGATTTTCAGGCACATAGACTGGAGTAGGAATCATGAAACAGCCAACTAATCCTAACAGTTCCTTCCATCTGAAAGAACAATCAGAACTTTGCAGACTGTAGCTAATCACTGACCAGCTGTTATGAGCTGACTGTGTCTCCCCCAAATTGATATGCTGAAATTTCAGCCCCCAAAGTGGGACCATTAGGAATTGGAGCTTTTGGGAAATGACATGCTCACGAGGTTAGAGTCCTCTTGAATTAGATTAGTAACCTTATATAAAAAAAAGGCATCCCAGAGAACATTCTCTTTCCATTGTGTGAACCTACAATGGAACCACAGTCTGAAACCTAGAATTATGTGCTCAGGTCATGAAGGTTATCCACTCTCATTTGAAATACCTGGCTTTCAGAGATTCCAAAGATAAATTTTTTGTTGTGTCTAATCTCCTCAGGCTCTGGCATTTTATTATAGCAACCTGAATAGACTAAAACACTGGTAAAGTTCTCAAGCTCTGTGCATGTCTCATGAATGGAGTGATGGAAGCTGTGTTGTGTGGTTCAGAACTCCCTTCATGAGAAGACTCCTGGCATGGGGAGTGCAGGCAGCAAATTGATAACAGTTCTTGGCTCATTCAACACTTGCTTCTCCAGAAGACAGGTTCTTTGTCTTAGACTCATCCTGCTTCTGGGTAGCTGTTTCCAGGAACCAAATGGGACAGGGTTCCATGGGTCTAGTCACTCCTCCAAGACTTGAGACATCAAGATAAGTAGTACTTGCCTATGAGGCCATTGCTGGGTTGATTACTACTTTGCTGGGTCTATGTTACAATTCAACTCTTTCCTCCCACTTCTTTGAAGATACGATATCACTAAGAAATATTATACACCCCAAATATTATACATCCCCCAAAAGATTATACACTGACCCTCAGTATTTGTTTGGATATTCTAACTTGCAGATGAAGCTCTGTAGATTATATAATGCATATATACTATGAACCAAAGAATCACTCAGGAATTAAAACCAGTCTCATTTTACAAGGTGATTTATCAGAGCCAAGAGCTTTGTTGATGTTTAAACCAAGATGTGGGGCATAATGAAATTATTGCCTTGTGAATAAAGTGGTTGGTTTTTTTTTTTGCTGTAGATTTTTAGCTGTAGCTGACTTCCCTTCCATTACAAATTTGTGAGTTATCTCCCATAGTTTAGCACTATTTAAGCTATATGTGAAGACAGTCACACAATCAAGAAACTTGCTTCCCACTACCAGGTCTTTGCTCCTCTCTCCTATGCAAACATAGAGATCTGCCTTCCTGCAATCATCTTTACAGGTATTTGGTCAGTGTTTAGTGTCCAGGCAAAAGCATTCCATTTAAGACATTCCCAGATATTCAAGGACATAAAATTACTACATGCCCAAAGATGTTAATTCATAGCTGTTCTCATAAATAGAAAAAATAAGCATGGCTTGGTTTTACCTCACTTATAGATAAGAAAAGTGATGACCTAAAACTGACCTTGCATTGAAAGATTCCTAACTCTTCACCTTGCTTTCACCTAAGTTTACTGATGACTTTAGTTCAGAAGATTTACTGTTTGTCTTACTCTCTGGAAAAATAATTTACAATCTTTCCACAGCTCAGAGGAAGACTAACCTCTGCTGTTGCCTCTGATAAGCCTCAAGCTTAAGTGCCTGATAACACTGAAGCTTGCTAACATTTGGGAAAAAATGCTAATGAACAAGGGTCATTAACTTCTCTAGTCTGTTTATGTAGTCTGCCTGGTTACCTATGCCTACAAGGTTTTTTGGGTCTATATATCTAGGTAAGAATAAAGAGAGTTAACAGAAGCAGGAACTGAAGCAAAAAGTGTCCCAGAAATTAGCAGAAATAGGAAAACAAAAAAGAAGAAGAAAAGACTGCAGTAGAGAATTGAAATTGGAATTAGAGTTGAGACAGAGAATTAGAGCTACGAAGTTATAGACAGGACAGATGAATTGGAATGAAGATCAAGAAAAAAAACCAATAGACAGACATGGATAGAAGGAACATGTTATGAGTAGACTTCTTAACCCTCAGATTTTAGTTCCTTTTGTTTATTGAGGCATCTTTATTTTGAACCCTGAGAGGAAGTTTTAGAGGCTGGACCTTTAAGGTTCCCAATATATATTCAATAATTAGGCACTCTCAATTTTTTTTTAGATGTATACTGTCCTAATTATAGGGGATACAGGGCTTTGATCCCTGGTCTTTATGTGAGAATATATTCTTTAGGTTTCTCCAGGCCTTCTGGGAACAGGTGACTTTCACATATCATCATGGTAGGCAGACATTTTAACTTATGAGAGAAATATATGCTGAGCACTATTTTAGGTTCTTGTTATATCATTGATAATCTCAGTCAGGAATGCATAATGAAAGATACAGCTGTATCATAAGCTAACTGAGAGTATGAGCTTTGAAGACAAATTGTCATAGTTCAAATTCCGGCACCATGGATGGCTGGATGACAACTTTATGGACACTTATTTGCCACTTGCTCTTATAGTGGGATAACATCCTCCGCACAGTTGCTCTTTGGTGCTGAGTGGGTTTGTTATTCAATGAGTGATTGTTTGAAGGCATAGGCCATGAGCTAATTCTTATCACTCACTACAGAGGGTCAGAAAGAAGTAGGACAAGGACATACAGCCTCTCTTTCCCAGAGATCAAACAGTTATACAAATAGAGTTAACATAAGGAGACGTGTGACATTAATCACATTTATCGTCAAGTAGTATAAAAAAATTCATGAGCTTGTCAACATTGCAGTTCACTACAGAGACAAAGGTAGGACTTCAAGTGAAAAGCTAGCTTGGATTATAAAGCAAGACTGTCTCAATTCAACGACAACAACAATTAATTATTAAGTAAATAAAGAAAAGAAAAAGAACAAAAAATCTATAACCAAATCCATGATCTGAACCTCACTTCAAAAGTTAGTATTTTGTTCTAACATGATTTCATACACACACACACACACACAAGCATGCACGATTTTCAGAAAACAGTATGCTTGCCACTAAGATCATTACGCAGTGATTTTAGACTGGGGACAATGGGTCCACTCTTCCATTCATCTACCCACCTACAATCTAACAAATATTTGAAATTTAGGATTTGCCACACATTCATCTACACATTGTTTCAAATCTCTAATGAAGCAGTTTAGACATTTTTGTGATGGGCACTAGTTTGTCATACCGTTCCATTGATGGGATCTGTAGCCTGGAAGGATAAAAATGGTTTTAAGTCTTCAATTTTCTTCAGTCCTTTGGTGCCGATCCGATTTCCATCAGGTGTTGTTGTAAACCAGGTGCCAGTGTGGGAATCCGTAGTGATTACTGTTTGAGCTACTACCTCTGGGAGAGTTTCATGGGTTTCAGTCTTGTGTGTCATTGGATTTTTGTGACCTTTTCCTGTGAAGGTTCAAGGACAATTAGACAGAGCAATGCAATTAGAACACTTTCATAAACTGTTCATTACTTCCTTATACAGCATGAACTTACTGCGATGCTAGCACAAACAAGCCAAAGCAATAGTCATCAATTAAATTACCTTTCAATAGAGAAAGTTAGGTTATATATCAATCTGTTTGGAGACTAAACCTTAGCTCAGCTGTCATCACTTCCCCCTCACCCCCCGAGAAAGACACACATACATACAACTCGCTGTTTGTTTCTGTACAGTTTTAACCTTCCTTACTTATCCCTGAATCCAAGATTGTATAGCCTCCATTTCACTTTTTGGTGCCTCCCTTTTCTCCTACAAATCCAATCGAGGCCTCACTGCCTTCTAGACTTTTAATCTCCTCTATCTTATCTGATCTGAAACTTGGAACCCTCACTAGCCAGGCATCTCCTTGGCTTCTCATGAGCAGAAATGACTTTGTACAGTTGAATCGCTACATCAACAACCATCAGAAGTGTGCTCCCATTTCCACCCTCCTCCTCAACTTCCAGGGACAGCGGGACATATGCAGAACCATAGATATTCTCATGGGACTATGTAATCAAGGTCTCAATTATCTATCCTGGTAGATTTTCACTTTTCTAAGAAAACTCATCTATCAGACTTTCCGGCATCATTGGGCCTGAGTGATGAGATAAACACAGACTTAGAGATGCATCACAAGCAGAGAGTAAAGGATTGTTAATTCTGGGAAGAGTCTCTAGACTTCAAACACAAAAAGCTCACGCATGGGGGTACAAATTTTAGCCCACTGCACAGGAACTCAATGAATGGGAGGAATGAAAGGATTGGCATATGGTAAGTTCAGCTTTCCTATTGCCCCAGGATTTATTTGTTAATACTTCTAGAACGTCATCGTCGGGGAGGATCATGGTGCCAGTCGCAGAACATGCATAAGATTTCCCCCCACCCCCACCGCATAAGAGAGAGTGGTGAATATTTGGTGCCGTGTTTTCTTCCCTCTCTCCCCCTGCCTTGCGCTCTCATTGTCTTGTCAACAGCAGTGGAAAAGTCATGCCAACATGAGAATACAAGAAAGAGAATGGAGTGGGGGAGGGGGGGGTGATGACAGCCTGGCATGTGTGGATACCCTTAAGCAATTTATTGGTCAGGGGATAAACTTTGGTTGAGAGGAGAGACTGGAGAGGGAGGCATGGGTCCAGTAACGTACCTCTTTATGGCATGTTACAAACCCTGGAATTTCCCACAGAAAACATTGAAGAGGGATCGTGACATTGTCAAAAGATAAGTTGGGTGTTTTGGCAGGAATATGGAAAGTTAGTCATAAAGAAAGTATGAGCAATAGTCAGAAAATCTTAGAGAGGTAGAGATCACAGACGGCAACAGATATAAATAAATGCACTGTTGGTGCCAACTGAGAGGGGAGAATCCAGGTATGAAAGGATGAGGATGGATACGGGAGATGGAAGAACACCAAGAAAGGATCATGTGCAGAGTCTGAAGTCTCAAGTAACTATCGTCTTCCTCGACTGAGCGCCCAAATAGATAAGGTGAAGAAGTCTGGGCAGTGAACAGACACACGGCAGAGGTATAGCTGGTGCTCCATCTCCAGCAACATCGCCAGCTAGACACTAGGAATTCCACGGAAAATAATCGAAACTACCAGAAAATATGTATTAGCTGGAAGTGTCTCTGAACTGATAACTGAATGATAGAGTCAGCACAAGCTAAGGACCGAGTAAAGGCAGGAATCAAAGGAAGTAAATCTTGGCCCTGTGGGTCCTGCTCAAACCTGGGGTAGCACAGGGCTAAGAATGAACGTCAGAGCTCATTCAAGCGGGTGCATGGAAGTTTAATATGAAAGACTCCCAGAAGCTGGAGACTGCAAAGAGCTGTTCTCAGAGAAAGTGCGAATTATTTGCAGAATAAATACATGCTTTCTTCTACTATCCCCCAACATGGCCAGACAAATTTTCAGTGTTCAGATATGGAGCTGAGCAGAGAAGGCAAAAAGTGTTTGAGCTATTTCCTCATGAGCAGCGCTTCTGGGGATCTCTGTGTGAAAATGACCACTGCTTAGGGGACATTCTCACAGCTCTCAGAATAACAATTTAATATTGGGGCTAAAATAGAAGCCCTGATATTTTCCTTCCTCAAAAAAAGATATTCTCTAAGGAATGCATCTTTATTTATATCAGTCTAAAGAATTTAGAGTCAAAGCAACAAGAAATAAAAATGATCACGCAATAGCCAAAAAGCACTGAAGTTTAAGCACTTCAGAAGAGAGTCAGAGGAAGCAAGTGAATAGACACAGATTCTGAAATGGAGACTCTAGATAAATGGGGCCAGAAAATATGAATAAAGAGAAGACAGGTTGCTTTCAACCCATGATAAGCCACACCAAGCCCCTGAAATAACCTATATTGTGTTGGACAACCTTGACCCTGAACTCTAATGGAAGTTTCTCATGCCTGGTACGGGGGTTTTCGTTAGATAGTATTGTCATCCCAAGTGGCATAACTTCATTAAAATATAGATTACATAATTTGGGGTAAATATAAAGTGATGTGATTTCTTGAGTCTTTCTCAGTCATTCATGATGTTTTTGTTCACTCTCCATTCTCTCTCCTCTGTATTGACCTCCTCTCCCACTAACCAACTAGACCACTCCTCCCTGTTTTTCTTATTTCCATCTTTATTTTTCCTATTCTCTCTCCCGTTCTTTTACTCTCCTGGTTTCTGTTACTCCAGGATAAATACTCCTATCTGAAGATGTGGAGTTAGGAACTCTAGAAAGGGGAGGACACGTAGTGCTTGTTTTTCGGTGTCTGGGTTGTCCCACTCAATATTTTCCAGTTCCATCCGTTTACCTGTACATTTCATGTAGGTAAGTCACTATTGCCTGGGGCTCTGCATACTTTAGGTACAGGACATGGATGATTTGAGCTGGATATAATCCAAAAACTTCCTTCCTGCACTCTAGCTCTTGTATTACCAGAAAACATTACAGAAGCTGCCAAGGGAGGGAATCAGTCAATTGTCCTGTCTAGATATAATGTCTATGAACTATAACGATGACCAACATTGTGGGAGACATCTAAAGGTGCAATAGTGACATTTATCTCTTGGTGGTAACCAACAGCTGTGTGAGTGGACTTAAATCCCATTCAAGAGGAGGAAAATCATGCCTGGTACTAGAAACCTACCCAATCACCAGGGACTAGTGAGGTCGTGGATCTATTACCACCACTTTGCTAATTACAGTTCCTAGTAACATTCTAAAACTTACCGTTATACCCACAGATAAGTATAGCTTATCTGTAAGTAATTAAATAATCTTCTCTTTAGTTCTCTTCTGTAATGGCCAAGAGATCATTACAGAAAAACACAAGAGGTAACACAGCAATCAACAGATGGTGGAGAGTCCAGTCCCAGTGGATACATCTGCAATGTAAGTCATGAACTCAAGGCTCAGAAAACAGTGTGGAAGAGAGTGTAGAAAGACTGTGAGAAACAGAAGACCAAAAGGTCTGCTATTGGATTTGTCTCCTACAAAGGACAGGCAAGCTTATGATACCTCAGCCATATGCCTACCTGAATGAGAATTGAACAATAATAGCAACAGAAAGGCTAACTAGGAAGGGGGAAACATAATGGGGCCCTACCCCTGAATGAGGAACTACAGGCAACTAATGACTGTTGTGAGCGGATGGGGGGGGGGGAGAAATGGTCTTCTCCAGGGCTGAGCACTCTAACTGGCTGTCCAATCATATACATACATAAGCCACACTAGATGGACTCAGTAGGTTGTATGTATAAACTTATACATTCCCATATATGTGTATCAACAATAATCAAAGAAATAGGTGTCATCAATTTGAGAGAGGTATGGGGGAAGAAGGGGTTGAAAGGGAGAAAGGGAAGGGGAAGTGATATAATTATATTTTAATTTTAAAAATTTAATAAAAGCAGAGAAGGCAGATTGGAAATAAAATAAGCAAAATAAAGTGGAAAAAATGTAACAACTGAAATTTAAACAAATTAATGTGAAGGTCGTTTGTTTTGGTTTTTCAAGGCAGGGTTTCTCTGTGTAGCCCTGTCTGTCCTGGAACTCACTCTGAAGACCACGTTGGTCTCGAAAGCCTCTGCCTCCCAAGTGCTGGGATTAAAGGTGTGTTCTTGGCAAATTTTTACCTATTTATGTATTATTTTAGGTGTGAGTGCTCTGTCTGCGTGCATGCCTGCAGGCCAGAAGATCACATTATAGATGGTTGTAAGCAACCATATGGTTGCTGGGAATTGAACTCAGACTCTCTGGAGGAGCAGCCAGTGCTCTTAGCCACTGAGCTATTTCTCTAGCCCCCCTAATGTGAGTTTTTGATAGATGATATAATGTACTTTAGAAGAGACCTCAAAGATAGACTTGAGCCAATTATTTTGATTGAAGCTGAGAGTCCCAATCCTCATTGCCCCAGAAGTAATGAAAAAGAGGCCAAAGACCTCTAAAAAGTTTTATGAGAAATACAAAACAAGAGGAAAAAGAAATTGATGGAAATAATATTGATAACATAATTACTGAGATATTTTCAGCATGAGAGAGAGATACTTATCTACAGATTCAAATGGCCTGATGCATTCCCTCTTTTATGGATAAACAGAAACCCACACACAGTCAAATTATTATAAAACATGGAGAATGATCAGAGGACAGATAATCTTTAAAGCATAGGAATTAGACTAAGAGCCATCTTTTAAATGAGTGTGGGGGAAGTCAATGTACATCAGTCTAGAGTTCCACCCTTAGGGAAACTGTCGTTTGAGAACTAGGGCAGCAGTCTGAGATTTTCAGGAAATGTCAGTTATAGGATAATGAACTAAAATCTCCAAAAGCTAAGCCTTTCAAATTTAGCTTTGACAACATCCACCTATATGTTACACAGAAGAGACACATTTAAAGAGATGCCACAGAAAGAGGAACTTGAGAGTATAAATACCATCTTGGTGACGTTTCATTGAACAACGGATAATGGAGGCACAGTCTAAGCAAAGGGGCATTAGGGGAGGGGAGCCTCAAAATTCAAATAGAAAGTAACCCTGTCCAACAGTGACAAGCTAAATTCACCACAAAGAGAATGATTCTAAAGTTGTATTTAAAATTATCGATATTTCGGAGAGGGGAGGACCTAGGACTTACCACAGGGCAGGGAACCCTGACTGCTCTTTGGACTGGAGAGGGAGGGGGAGAGGAGTGGGGGGAGGGGGAGAAGGGTGGGAGGAGGGAGAGGGAAATGGGAGGCTGGGAGGAGGTGGAAACTTGTTTTTTTTTTCTCCTTTTCTCAATAAAAAAAAATTATCGATATTTCAAACTGAAGGAAAATCTGACAGAACCGTTAAAGAGACAAATTCCCTGACAAATAATGCAATAGCACAAGGAGCACAGCACTGAGGAGGTGTTGCCCTCTTTTCAGTCAATGTAAACATTGCTGAATAAATTGGAGGGGGAGATTAAAAAACATGCCAGGACAGAAGATAAGGGCTGGGAGTTTATGTATAAGCAAGGCTTGTAGTCTGTTCTGTGTAGACTGTGAGGTAATGACACCTCATATTTCTACACGGCTAAAAGGAATTTAAAAATATTTCATGATGTACGGAAATGATATCGAATTCAAATTTTAGTGTTCATGAATAGTTTTTATTGGGACACAACAGATTTAAGGCTTATTGAATTGTGGATTATCAGAAAGAGCTTTCATGCTCCAGCGGAACTGCCGAGTAATTGTGAGAGAGAACACATGGCCTGCCAAGTCTCTAAGATTTACCAGCTTGTCCTTTGTAGGAAAGGCTGCAAAACTTAGGTATCTGGAAAACACAACTAACAAGTTTTATATAATAACTATAAAGAGAACACTGTACCAAATAACTACATGTTGTATGCTTTTTCCTAGATTTGAATTTTATTGATCAGAGTAGGTTATAAATTATATTTCAGAGACTGAGAATCAATGATTAAAATAAGCTGGGGATACTCTAGAGATCTGGAAATAAATGTAGAAAGAGATTTAAATAATTCAAAAATTTTTAAAGAAGTTGTTACAATGGACAAGATAGATTATGTAAAAACTAAAAATTAATAATTCTTGTGGCAGTTTCTATGGTTAAACTCAACAAACACAATTAAATACTATTCAACCTCACAATTAATCAAATAGTAACAAGATTCACAAATTATCAATCTGAATGACACTTAATAATAATATTTGGCATTGTCATAGGGGTGAAGAAGCCTCTGTTTGCATAGTGTGCTAGTACAAAAGGTATAAACAGAAATTCCCAGGGCAGCAATCTTTGATTTCAATTATTGCAGACACTACTGACTATTACCTTTCACCTGCTACATCCAAACCCTCACAAGTCAGCCAAAAACCAAGGCACAGAATGCTGGTTCTTTATTTTGGCAGCCCTGGATCCCAGCCAGGTGTAGCCATGGCATGCATAGGAGGGAGGATTAGGACCAGAATCAGAAGTCTTCCAAAAACACATGCTCTTAATTCGCCTTTCCCCCCTTTCTGCTATGAAAGTTGTTACATGAAATCCTCATGGGTGCATCTGAGGGGCTCTGCTTCAACTTGAAGGAAAGGTCAACAGCATCCCAGGGATGCTGACTAAGAATCTTAGTATTATCCTATTAGCAAGCCCCCTAAAACACCCCTCAGAGAGTATAGCTAATGTGTAAGAGGGGGAAATGACATAGAAGACTGTCACAAATTGGCAAACGTGCATTATTCATTACACAGAAGCCAACACAGTTCATGAACTACTGAACAGTCTTGTGTTGGCAATGAAAAATTCATATACACATATATGTGTAGAATAGATACAGATATATTAAAAAGGTGAGCAGTATCATAATATTGAACACATGTTAAGCATTTGAAAGCTACTAAGTTCAGCAAGTCAAGAAACTCGATGGTCACCTTTCTTGGTAATGACAATCTCAGATGGTGCTGTTTCCGATTTGGGCTGAGAAGCCGAGTCCACCAAATCTCCGTTATGGGGGCTTGCAGATGTGTCAGGAGATGTATACACTGGACCTGAATCGGGACTGCTGCACACAGCACCGTCTGCAAAGAGAATCTGAAGGGGAAACAAGGGCTCAGAATTCTGAGAACCGAGGAGGGGGTGGTCTACAAGGTATACTGTGTCCAACATTTTTGAGCTCAAAATAATCTAAAGGAGAAAGGATGATGGAAGACCTCCATGCTTGACACCAGAAGGTGCTTTCGGAGGGGAGATTTGGACCTGTAGACAACTAAGAATATGATTTCATACTTTTCACCCACCACTGTCTTGTTTCCTACTTTTGGTTGGATTCATATATTTTTTCTATTCTTTACCCTTAGTCTATATAATTGGAAAATCATATAGATGATATGTTCAAACAACTACATTTTAAAATTAATTATACTTTTAATGCCTGATTTCTACCAAGGATGTCTGCTATCTCTAGGTATCACAGATACTCTTATGAGTACCCATACTGACAGCTTCCCTTGAGTTTGACAAGGAAGTCATCTGCCCCTGTGACTCTGTCTGATGCTTTCTGGTCTCTTCAGGAGCTTTACAGTCTGTCTGTGCAGTCCTAAGCAGCAAGATGGTACTTAAATTAGCATCAACCGAGATCGCCACTTGGTAGCTGGGATGAATACGAAGTATACATTTAAGTACTAGAAATAATTCATGGGCCATATTCTAAACTATTTTTCTCCTCTCATTATTTTCTTCTGGAAATCCTAGGACATATATTATCTTTCCACACTTCTCAACTTGTGTCTCTCTCTCTTGCAAGCCACCCTCCCTACCACTTAGAGCCGTTCACAGTTACTTTTAGTTTGTAAGAACTCTTGATTTTTCCCACAGCAGTTTTATACTTGTTTTAAAATTGCATTTTATTTACTCACTCCCGTGTGTGTGTGTGTGTGTATGCATGTACATGTTTGTGTGTGTATGCGTGTGCGCATGTGTGTGTACATCATGACAGATACAAGAAGATCAGGTGTCAACTTTCCTGAGTCGGTTCCTTCCTCCCAACACACGAGTCTTGGAGATGTAACTCAGGCTGCCAGACCTGGTACCCGCACCTACTGAACTATCTCACTGCCACCAGAGCAGTTAAAGTTTTTAAAGTAGAATGTTAACTTCTTGAGTCTCTGTCTATTTTATTTTTACTCATTTAAAATTTATGCTCAAGTATTTACTGTTAGGTGACTTAAAAATACTGCATCTATCATTTTCTTTCTTGGGATTCCTTTTTTGTTGTTTTTGTTTGTTTGTTTGTTTTGCATTTTGCTTTTTGAGAAAGGGTTTCTCTGTGTAGCCCTGGCTGTCCTGAAACTCATTTTTGTAGACCAGGCTGGCCTTGGACTCATAGAGATCCATCTGCCTCTGCCTCCCACGTTCTGGAATTAAAAGCATGCGCCACCACCCCCAGATTGGGCTTTCCTAGATACCTGGTCTTGTTTCTCATTCATGGCACTTGATGGTGTAATGCCTATTTCTAGAATCCCTTCTCTATGACCATTTTTGAAGGCCAAGGTATGCGGTGTCTGGGTTTTGGGCCTTCTGATTTTAAGTCTCTACAAAGTAAGTATACCTGCAGAACAACCCTGATTTTCAGAGCTCAGAGGTAAAATTGTCTATTTGAAGTCCCCCTTTAAATTTTGAAGTGTTTCTCTCATACATATTTTAAATGTTGTCCTTATTTCTCCATCACTCTGAACCTACCTGCCTAGCATTTTCGAGAAATTCTCTAAATATTTCATATACTAGTGACATATGCCGTTGTTTTCTAATACTTTTGGAAATTTAGTATTTAGGAGCATTTTCCCCCTAGTGTTTTAAGGTGCATTGAGAGGGAAGGGAGGTAAACCTATTGAGTCTGCAACCGTAGCTGCATACACCATATGTATTGTAGTAATGTATTACACATACCGTATACATTATTTGCATTCTGACTTTCATGGACAGCACTCCCGCTAACTGTGCTATTTGTCACTTGCCATTTTAGGGTACCCTTGTATCTTATCTATGCCCCGGATGTGCTGCAGCACTGCTCCTTACTCACAGTCCCATTGTTTTCTACTGTCTGTGGGAAAGGTCATTTAAGGGCTGTAAACCTGTGTGGATCCATCCAGCATATACTTGACGACGGTGCCCTGGCTGGTGATAACTCTCGATGCCTCCTGCTCCACGGGTGGCAACACCGCTTTATAGAATTCATAGTGCTTCATTCTCTGGGGGTAGCTCTGACGGATCATGAGGTCCCAGCTTGGCTCTTCGTCTACCACAGCATGATCTTAAAAGGCAAAAGAGAATAAAGCTTTCGGAGGGGTGAGTCGGGGCTGGGATTTCATCTTCCTTCTTCTTTTTATTCTAATATTTGTGTTTGAGGAGTAGGGATGCTTCCTTCTGGCTCATTGCTGGCCTCCTCCAAACCAACAGGGTGAGTAAGACCATTTCAGTAACATAGTAAATAATAGACCTTTCTAGCATATGTACATAATCTAGAATCCAGAGTATGTCAGGGTGAAGGATGTGGACTTAGTGATTCCGTATTTTCTGGTGGACAATGCAGACAATGTTCTGGTATCCTCTGGATGCTCAGAGTCACAGGCCTAAGCGACCTCATTCAAACCTTTTCTAACTTTCTCATCATCCTTCAGAATTAACACAGTCCTCCATTTCTAACCACATCCAGATCCTTCTCAGTGTTTTGCTGCTCCCCAGTAATCAAGAAGAAAAGCACTTGGTAAACACCTTCCAAAAAACTCCAAAGTACTATGGGGTAGCTTTTCAACTTGATGCAATACCATTTGTTAATCTTTGTAATTTCTGGAGATACAGCCAAAGCAACAAAGAATAGATTTAAGAGACAATCTGTAGGATGGGAGAAAATCTTTGTGGTGATTTATCTAATGGAGGCTCAAATTCCAGATATATAGAAATAACCCAAAGAGCAAATAATATAACCAAATAGGTAAGTGAACTGAGTAGATACTTTCCAAGTGAAGAAACACAAGACCCATAAACACATGGAAAAAAGTCTTCAACATGCTCGGCCGCCAGGAAAATGCAAACAAGAAACTATACTCAGCTTCCATCTTACCCTGACCAGATGGTTATCATCAAGAAAATGAAAACTGACACCATTGGATACAGGAGGAAAAAGAATCCTTATCCACTGCTGAATGGATCAGATCCAATACCAGATGTAGCTCTCAGGTTAACTAATAAAGTCTTCCTGGTACCTATTTATTCATCCAAATAAGTAAGATGCCATGTTTAGAACCAACAGAAGTAAAAAACTATGTAAAAATTATGGAATCGAGAGAGGGTTTCTCTATTTGTTTAAGGTGCACTCATTTTCATTTTCTTCCTACGCACCCTCCTTTGTTTAGGTCAATGAACAAAGTATTGTGTACCTGTGGCCCTCTGCAGAGGCAGGAAGACAGGACCACCATCAAAGCCATAAAGAAAACTACATTTGCCATCACTAGACCAAGGATGACTTCCCATCTCTGCCTCCTAGGAGTCAGGTGACTTTGGGCACATTCCTGCACCTCCAGAAGTCTCAACTTCTACATTTTATAGAGGGAGTTATCAGTACCTATCTCAGAAGATTTGTGTTTTTCAATCCCAGAGGACCTAGACCACAATGAGGACCCTAAGAGAGACATGTGTGGATCTTATCTACATGGGAAGTAGAAAAAGACAAGATCTCCTGAGTAAATTGGGTTCATGGAGACCATGGAAGAGGGTTGAAGGGGTGGGGAGAGGAAGTGAGGGGAGCAGAGAAAAATTTGTAGCTCAATAAAATCAATAAAAAATTGTGTTTTTACATACATCTTAAGTGGCTGAAAAATGATCATTATTGTCAAGCTCGTATTGGAAATTACCCATTGTTCATTATCAACAAGTGTAACTTGTAACAGTAACAATTTTCAATGGTAGGATTTTCTGTTTGAGTTTCTGAGCCGTGCCTCCCTGCTCGCCCCAGTTAACACTCACCTGCAGATTCTTGCCCAATGAAGGTCAGCAGGAGCCCATTGGGGCAAGATACGTTTAGGTTTTGAAAGGTGGGAACATAAGGAGTTTCCTGTACAACAATCTCTGGCTCTACTTCTTCCTGTACATAATTCTGTACACGAATAAGAGCTTGTCATTTTCTAAATGAGACACTGTTATTTTGCTCAAGCAAGGATTTCTCAAACAATACAACTGTGGGTAAGGAAGAAGGCCCTGAGACAGGTTCTAAAAAAGATGCAAGAATCTTCATTGTCATCAAGCTTTTACTCTGACTGGCACATAACAAGATGTGACAAAGAATAGCATCAAATGTAACATTTTCCCCGAGAAGGTGGCATTAAAGTTAGCAGAGATCACTGTGAAAACATTTATTGACCAAATGTACTGAACTGGGATTTGAATGGTGCTCCTATTTGGATGTGTAGGATATGGGCAACACTATGGTGTGAGTGTTGGCATCCTCCTAAACTCAGATGATGGAACTTGATGCTCAAAATGATGGCATTAAATAGGCCTTTGAGGAACTGTTTAAATCCCAAGACTTGGCTTTCAGGATTGGGATTCAGGTCTTTATTAAAAAGGCATTGAATGGAAAGGGTTAACTTTTTCTGTAAAGTGATGGAACACAGAAGGTTTCATCTACAGGAACTTGCTCTCATGAGACATAGAGTTGGCTAACACCTGCTTTTGGACTCCCCAGTCTCAATTTGATCAATTAATTTCTGTTGTTTGTGAGTTACTTGGTTTAAAATATTTCATGATAGTAGTTGAAAGAGATTAATGTAGTGTTGGGGAAAACCAGCAACCCTGTTGATGTATGTGTGTGCGCGTGTGCGGGTGTGCGTGTGTGCGTGTGTGTGCGTGTGTGTTTGAGGGAGAGAGAGAGAGAGAGAGAGAGAGAGAGAGAGAGAGAGAATAATTAGAGGAGACCAGGTATTTGATAGAAAGGTTGAAAAGAGGCAAGGAAGGACTTGGAGGAAGGAAAGAGAATGTCAGGAGACAGCGCAATTTCATTTTAGTTGTAAAAAGTAACTCTGCGTTCCTTGCTCGTGCTCCTATTGGGATCTCACCAAGGCCAGCTGGCCTAGGTCTGAAAAAGCATGGGATAAATCCGGACTAGCTGAACATAGCAGACAATGAGGAATACTGAGAATTCAAGAACAATTGCAGTGGGTTTTTGATCCTACTGCACGTACTGGCTTTGTGGGAGCCTAGGCAGTTTGAATGCTCACCTTACGAGATCTGGATAGAGGTGGGCAGTCCTTGGGCTTCCCACAGGTCAGGGAACCCTGATTGCTCTTCGAGCAGATGAGGGAGGGGGACTTGATCGGGGGAGGGGGAGGGAAATGGGAAGCGGTTGTGGGGACGAGGCAGAAATCCTTAATAAATAAATAAATAAATAAAAAGTAACTCTGCGGTAGAAAGATTGGAATCTGTAGCCATGCCCATCTACCTTTTTCTCTTCTTCTTTTGGGTGTTCCTCTTCTTTAAGGGACTCTTTGGGTTTTTCTTTGCCCTTTACTTTCGCTTTCCCTTTGGTTTGAGGGACAGTCACTATAGTGGGAATCACAGTTGCAGTCAGAGCTGAAGGGATATTCATCATTGTGTCCAGGTTGGAATCCGTAACCTCTAGAAACAGGAAAAGGGGAAAATGAAAAAATTAACTATTCATATTTCATATGCATGTTAAATGACACATTTCAAGGTTTTGTTCAAGTTGGCATTAACCTTTGCTATGTGAAATGCGTTTTACTGTTTGAATGCATTTCCGAGAAAACAGTTGTTTTGGAAATCAGATTGTAGTTAGGAAATTTGAAACCCTTAACACTTTAGTGTGGCTGATAGTCAAGTCATTATCTCACGTGGCCTCGCTTTCCAGTCTGTTGCCCACGCTACTAAAGTACTCTTTTTTTAGTTCTGAAATAAGTTCATAAGACATCCTGAAAGTTCTAGATTCACGAGTGAGACCAGCACTGAGACCACAGAACCCATGGACACATCACGCATGAGCTAACACACACGAGGGCATCCAACAAAGACGGATTATTTTGTCTAAGGCGAGTGAAGTAGTTTCCCTGGGTTTTAGAGGTTTGGGAGCTCTAAAGGGCTGATGAGAGGCGACACTGTGTGTGTGGGGGGGTTCTGGGGGGTCCAGAAGACCCCTTTACTTGTCATCTGTTCTCCTGCAGGATCCAGCATGCCTCTTCTTTGACCTCTCCTTACCATTCTGGTCAATCCAATCCCACACCACCAACTCATCCACCCATTCCAGTGCAGTGGATGCTTCCAGGTCCCAGGTTCTCCGTGTTCTCAAGTCTGGCCACTGTAATAATTACTCACAGAATTTTAAGCAAATGCCCAGGTCTTCCTCTGACCTACTGGGTCAGGTTCATGGGGGAGGAGGCCCAGATAGCTAAGTGTGCAAAATACTACTTGACCGTCATATGCAGTCTGAGCTGTGCATATATTACATGTGATCTATCTTATTCACTTTGACGGCTCTAAGTGTCATATACGTGTTGATTCTACAATGACCATAGTAGGCATGTCTTTTCTTCTCAGCTCTGGATCCATATTTCTGCCTTTAGACACCTCTTGCTGTGGTTCTAGAGACATTTTAAACTTTTAAGAAACAAGGTTATGATATTCACGGCAATCTGCAGAAAAGGAGCTGAGGTCAGGAGGTACGATGGTCAGTCATCATAATCTATACCCACCCAGAGTTTTAAAGCTAGATGGTGTAGAGATTACCTATTGGTTTTGCAACGTTTAAAAAATATCTACTGTAGTTAGATACCTTCAAAGTTTGTAGAAATCCACAAATTTCTTAATTAGCTATAGGCAAAGTGACATATTATTCTATGATTTGAAAGGAAATAGCTTCCAGTTGGAAAATTGTTTCTTGAAAGTGGATCTGAGCAGTCCTCCAAAGCGTTTAATGAATGGCTCCTTTTAGATTAACTCCTGACGTACACTGGGCCTGAACTACAGTGAGATTTTATTTATGTTTTAGTAAGTAAAGCTTGCCTGAAGATCCCAAGGTAAAACTAAACCACTAGAGGTCAGGCAGTGGTGCCACACACTTTTAATCCCAGAATTTGGGGGGTAGAGGCAGATAGATCTCTGTGAGTTCAAGGCCACCTTGGGCTATAGAAGATCAAAGCAGAAACAGACCCAGGCGGTGGTGGCTCACACTTTTAAGCCCAGCCCTAAAGGGCAATATAAGGCAGGAGAATGCAGAGGCTCAAGGCTCAGTCTGCAGTCGCCCAGCCTTGGAAGAGGGAAGACTTCTCTGGTGTGGCTGTTTGCTTTTCTAATCTATAGCTTGAACCACAATATCTGTCTCTGGCTTTTTATTATTCATGCTATGCAGAAGTTCTACTGTCACAGGACTCAGAAATATTCTCCTGTAGAAACCCAAAGGGACTTCCCAGAAGACCATGTTTTCCTTGCATCAAACTAACAGAATTACTTTCACGGACTAGTTAGTAAAGATGATCAGAATATACACATGTCTGTAGAAGTGACTATGTGAAAGATCACTCAAACAATAAAAAGGAATTTGAAAGTGAAAGCACTGCTATTTGATGTTGAGGAAAAATTACATTTGCACATCCACGTGTGAATGTCCACCCCCCGACTCCATACATTACATATCTCCACATTGCAGGGAAATCTATGTGAAGCATTAAATCAGAAGAACAGGTATGCTTGCTGACAGTGGTGCAAGCTGAGGATGTCAGGGACCTCCAACCTGGGACAAGCTGAGGATGTCAGGGGACCTCCACCCTGGGACAAGCTGAGGATGTCAGGGACCATCATCCTGGGACAAGCTGAGAATGTAAGGGACCTCCACCCTGAGACAAGCTGAGGATGTCAGGGACCATCGTCCTGCCACAAGCTGAGGATGTGAGGGACTGTTGTCCTGGGACAAGCTGAAAATGTCAGGGGTCCTCCATCCTGGGAGAAGCTGAGGATGTAAGGGACCTCCACCCTGAGACAAGCTGAGGATGTCAGGGACCATCGTCCTGCCACAAGCTGACGATGTAAGGGACTGTTGTCCTGGGACAAGCTGAGGATGTCAGGGGACCTCCATCCTGGGACAAGCTGAGGATGTAAGGGGACCTCCATCCTGGGACAAGCTGAGGATGTCAGGGACCACTGTCCCAGGACATTTCCCCTGCTCTGTACAGTGTGTGCATCTCACCTGGCGCCAGCCCATGTGCTCCATAGTAACTGATTGAGAGGCAGATCCCATTTTCTAAGGTGGCAGAAAATGATCCAAACTTGCTGACAACTTCATTCACTACCTGTGATGTTTCTAAAAGACAAAATCGTATCAAGGATATATTTCCATTTTTCTCAAGAAGTGTAAGCAGCATTCAGTGGGAATTCTGGGAATGGGGTCTTAGCTCTTCTAATACCATCATTTAAAAATAATTGATTTGGCTTTTACCAAGGATTCTGGGAAGTGAAGCAGAGTTCCAGGGGTGGAATGTGAGACTCTTGTTTGAAGGGCTTTGGGCCAGAATGAAGAGAGGACATAAACGAGCTAATGGCTTAGCCATATGCTGGTTATCGATCTGAGACCATTCCCATGACTTTTCAAATGAAAACCACCAGGTCAGTCCGAGTTTCTTCACATTTAAAAACACTTTCTTAAATCCCCACATTTATAATCTCATACATTTTCAAGCACAATTGGAAATGGTTTTAATCAAGCAGAAGTTTTAAAAGAAGATTTGTTAAAATACACATTCTTGAGGCATATGAGAAGGAGCACAACCTTTCCATTTTATTTCCATTTTATCATCTGCTCCATCATCATATAATAAAAACGGGAAAGCATCACTTTAAAATGCTGCAACACATGAAGAGATTATTTCCTGACTGAGAATTTTTGAATGCTCAGAGGGGCAACAAAAAAAACAGGATACTGCTTCATGAGAATGAAAAGATAATTCACAATCTCGGAGAAAATATTTGCAAAGGACACATCTGACAAAGGGCTGTTACGTAAAACATACAAGAGCTCTTACTCGGCAATAGAAAACAAGCCGAGGAAGAACCAGCTCAAAGTCCTCTGTAGACACTTAGCCGAAGAAGACACATAGATAGAATATAAGCGTATGAACAGGGGTTCAATGTCATATATTGTCAGGGAAATGCAAATTAAACCAATAAAGAAAACAAGGCCCCTGTCAGAATGGAGAAACCCCCAAATGGGGACAACACTGAAGACTGGGAGGATTGGAATAACAAAGCTCTCATTCTGAACTGAAAGACAGTTTGAGGGATGCTTAGACTATTACTTTCTGTCTTACCCTATGAGCTGGCAGCCATGCTCTCTGCTTTTTACCCAGAGTGGTTAAAATGCATGCCCCCACATAAAGCAAAACATGTACAGATATGAATGGCACTTTCATTCATAACTGCTCAAATGTGGAGACAAGCAAGATGTCCTCCAGTTGGACAGTGGCTAAATAAACTGGAACACCCAGATAATCGTGTATTATTTAGTGATAAGAAGGAATGAAAATAAGCTGGAAACATAGCTCAGTTATAGAACACTTTCTAGAACATACAAGAAGGTATGACAGAAATTTGATTGTGTAGTTTTAAGTAAGAAAAAAAAGGGCAGCTAGAACACATGTTCAGCAAAGTATAAATTATGGAAAATAGAGTTTTAAATGCACATTTTCTGTGATTTTAAAACATCGTTCCCCAATTTAACCTTGTTCAGTATTCAACAGATGAAATGGAACTGAGTTGTGGTCATGATTAAGATTCAACTAAAGTGGGAAAAAAACCAAAACAGCCAAAACAAACAAATATCTTGAAGCCTGGGGGAAAGCTCTTAAACACAAACATGTTAGGGAGAAGATATAAGTGATAGGGAGGCAAAATCTTACAAACTGTGCATTATTGAGAAAAGCAAGGAACAAATGAAGGTAGGTGCAAAAACATTTAATGAAGAACTGAAGTCAAGCCCCCAGCTGCCATCTCCTCAGACCACAGGAGCACATCAGCCTCTGACCTGGAGCTGTAAGACACCGCAACAGCCAGGGGCAGCCCACAGAGAAAAGCCTGAGAAGACAAACTCTATAGCAAGCTATATTCAAGGATACCAGGCTTGCAGGGTACATGCTCCCACAGATTCTGCCAGAGGAGATTGAGACAAAAAAAATTAATTGAGTCACAACAGAAACCCTCATCAAGAGGCAAGAAGTGAGCACGGCCCGGCAAGCAGAACGTAGTATTCTTGTTCTTTCTGTCAGTTTATCTGCTGAAGCTTCCTACATCAGCAGTCAACAGACTTTTGTGAAAATGACTGGCAGTAAATATTTTAGCACTCGTAGGTCATGTGCAGTCTTTCTCAAACGCTCTCAGCTTTTCTATGAAACACTGCTTTAGAAACACCAAATCTAGTCTTAGTTCATGCATCATCCAGGACCAGATCATGGGTGCAATCTGGGCCAACGTTTGCAGGCTGGGGAAAACTAAAGCTGAAATGAACAAGAAATAATCTGAGCAAACAAATGATAACCAGGTTCATTAGTAGCAAAGCTAAATACCAACTGTTATTTAATATACAAAGGGACATTATTATATCACATACTCATAAATGCATGCATTCATTAACTTTTGTAGAAAATCATCTACATACATAGAATCATTTAAATGATAAAGTGATATATATATACATATTAATGATATATTATTAAATAATTTTAAAACCTTGTTTTCAAAGCCTGGTGAATGGGAAAATGCTTATATTGACACACTAAGAAAGAAATAAACTTTGAACCGTGAGTATCACGGAGGTGGTAGCATTTTAACTATTAGCTTCTTTAAATATTTAAAATATGAGTGAGTATGTATGGTTTATGCATTTGTGTGTGGATGGGCACAGCTGTGCATGAACCTGTACATGCATTTGTGGAGCCAGAGGTGGGTCGTAGCTGCTGTCTTTTGTTGTGAGAGACTGGGTCTCTCACTAAACTTGGAGCTCACTCATTGACTAGACTTCTTGGCTAGTGAGCAATCAGGATCCTGCCATGTCAGATTTCCAGTGCTGGATTACAGGCATGTATCAAAGTTCACGGCCTTTTATGTAGGTGCTAGTGGTCTGAACTTGCGTCCTCATGATTGCACAGCCATTTACAACTCTACCACCCCAATTAAGAGATTTTTTTTTTATTAGCTCTCCAAATTAAATTTTTTCTGCACTAACTTCCTGGGTATTTTCAACTTCTCAAGCATTGTGTTCTTGAATTTGGAAAGCAGCAACGTAACTGGACTTATAGGCAAGACTTAGTTATCAGTCCCATCGCTAAATGAATTTGAAACTTTCTTTAGCTTAACGTATTTCCTTGTACAGTGATAATTCATGCTTCTTTGGATAAGATGCAGCTCATTGTTCTAGGTGGTGTTGCCTTGAAGTAACACTGTTAGGAGGTTTCGCAGTGCTGGGCAGTACTTTGTACCTCTATTTAGATAATAAACTCACGGCAAAATGTGTGATTCTTTTCTTAAACCTTATCTTTGAAGCCCAAGAAATTGGTGTGATAAGCAAAGCAAGAGAGAAACACAGAAAGGAGATCCTGCTGCTTGCAGGAACCTGTTAGAGACTCAGAGAGAAGCTGAGTTTGAGCCTGCAAGAACCAAGATTAAGATCAGAATGGGCAATGCGCACAGCATTGCTGTATCCATGGGGCTCGCCTGGTTCCTTGCTATCACCATGAATACTGGAACTGGAGCTTCTGTTAGGGCAGCCAGGTCCTGTCAGCAGCCAACCTCAAATGTGTTGTGCGTGTGGCAGCATCTATGCTTAGTATGCCAAGGAAGACAAACATCAGCAGGACAGCAAATGCTGCAGGTGGCACCTGTGCAATCTGCATGTGCTGAACACCAGGGATGCCTGTGTGGTTCTGTCAGGGGCGCCATCATGCCGTAGGTACCACAAAGGTAAAGATACTCACTCATGTCAGCGTTTTGTTGAATGTTTCCCTCCTCCTCTTCTTCTGAAGAGTAATCCTCTTCCTTGGGCTTTTTCACAATTTCCTTTGGGTCTTTCAGGTGAATTATAAAATTGTGTTTGTCTTTTTTAACTTTCACTTTGATGAAGGTTGGGCCTGAGGGAGAAGCACAGGGTAGAGAGGGGGGCTGACTGAAGATGCCACACACACGCCTCGACAGAACACTGGTAGAATACATGCGGTACAGAATTAGACAGGGCTTGGGAATGCCCGAGACGCAGCAACTCTGTTCAAGGAGGTCTTTGCGGGACTTCTCACTGCATCTCAAGCCACACCACAGAGGAAATACATCTGAGGTGGCGAATACTACCAACTCTGATAAATCAAGCGAGCCAGTTAACATAAAAAGCTTTAAGGTTATTTGTATATAATAATATATAATGCATATGCATTATGAATGTGTGTATATATTTTAGACCAGCCTCAAATTCATAATTCTTCTGCCCCAGTCTCATGAGTGCTAATGTCATAAATGTGCGTTACCATACCTGACTTTTTTTTTGTTTTTCAAGACAGGATTTCTCTGTAACTTTGGTGCCTGACCTGGAACTAGCTCTTGTAGACCAGGCTGGCCCCAAACTCATAGAGAGATCTACGTGCCTCTGCCTCCAAGTGCTGGGATTATAGGCGTGCGCTGCCACTGTCCAACCCATACCTGACATCAACTGATTATGGCATTGTAATATTAAACAGTCATAATTATATATATATATATATATATGTGTGTGTGTGTGTGTGTGTGTGTGTGTATGTGTATAAATATACATATATTTGTGTGTGTTCTATAATTATCAGTACTTGGCAGGTTATAAGCCATTTTCTAATAGATCTCTCTTAACCGTGCTCTGATTTGTTTGCCTTGCCCCTCCCTTTTAAACCCAGCCTTTCATTTTCAATTGTGGTTTGGGTGTCTCTCAAGGTTGATAGGGTTAAGCTGAAAATGCTGTATTTTCTATGAACCATCTGAAATTTATATAAACTCTTCACATATGCAAGTCTTGGTGAGAGCTACAATATCAGTGGCAGGTTCCCTGAGAGATGCATTTTTATTAAGAGATTAATAAAAACTCAGAGAGAGAAATTGGGGTTCAACTTGAAGGCCAGAAAAGCAAAGCAGTCAGCCATTGACTCTTACCTCTACCTCAGTCTGAAAATGGCGATCCTGCTCAGAATGAAACTGTGTCTGAGAGCTGTTTCCTCCTGGTTTATAATCCTCTCTAAGGCTGGGATTAAAGGTGTGTGCCGTGGGATTAACGGCATATACTGCCTGATTTTATGGCAAATTAGTGTGGCTACTGGGATTAAAGCTGTGTGTCATACTGCCTGGTCTGTGAGGCTGACCAGTGGGGCTGTTTTACTCTTTGATCATCAGGAAAGCTTTATTTGTTAAAATACAAGTGAAATGTCACTACAACTGAGCACTGGGCTACAGAGCACAAACCAGAAACTCAAAGCATATTTTTGCTTCCTGACATGACAGAGCTGTTATAAGTAATATTATTAACTACCTATTTGCCTGTTACAGTTGATACTATACCATCTCCCACTAATGTAGAAGTGTTTAAATATTTTTAACAATGAGAATGCTCCTATCAATGTGTTAGGGCAAATTCTGGGCTGGCTGATTCCTTGCAGAGCCAATTCCAGCAGAAGCAGGTGAACTCTGGAAACTCAGTGTAGTGTAAAGGTGAAGCACAACGCCCCATGCTGATCTGAAAGGCAGGAACATCTTCCATGACATTAACAGCGCTTACAGATGTACCTCGTTCAAACGCGGTCTTTTCTACTTCAATCTGCCCTCCATCAGAAGGATACAGATAGTAATTTTTCCCTGAGATTTGGATGGGTACTTCTCCCATATTGTAGCCTCGGAACTGGAAGAGAACACATCATGACTGGTTGTGGAGCTGCACTGACAACCATCAGCTTACTATGGTTAGTGGTTAGTCAACTACAGTTTCCGTAAGCTTAATTTTTTTTTAAACAGTTATATCTGATACCTTGTAGGCTCAGAAGCCCAAATTTATGTTTTTATTAATTTTCTTTGTTGTTAGTAACAGGATTTTACTCAGTAGCTCAGACTGATCTTAAACCCATGGTCACCTTGCTTCAGTGTCCAGGAGGCTGGGATTATAGTTGTATGCCACTCTTCCCAGACTCTTTAGAAATTTAAAAGTGTATTATAATTAGCAAGATTTTAAAAAACGTTTATGTTTAGGGCTTGAGAGATGACTCAGCAGTTAAGACCCCCCTGCTACTCTTGCAGAGGACTGAAATTTAGTTCCCAGTGCCCATGTGTCCTATAACTTCAATTTCACTGGGATCTGCTGCCCTCTTCTGGCCTCTGTGGGTACTCACACACATCAAGATAAGTCTTATTAAAAAGTCTCTCATTAATATTCATCTAAGTATTTATAATCAAGTTCAAATGAAATCATGCTCTTATCATCAAGATGATGTGAGGAGAGATCAAGTTCACGAACTTTCTTTTTAAAGTGAAGAGAAACATTGACCCTTGGTGCTTTCGGAGGTCATACATAGAAGACGTTTTAAAACATTAGATATTGCTACTACAGTTTCAGGGGACTCAGATGCATCTTAAAGCCCTTAAGTAACTAGGCTAGAGTCATCGATGAAATAAATAGAGCAGGACATTTCTCTCCAGTTCTGCCTTGTTGGTTTAATGCACCCGAGGGAGCATTAGCAAAGAGGGGTTTCATCAAAGTGTGTAAACCAGAAGTGCGGCACTCCGCACAGTGGCATCTAAGTGCATGCAGTGAACCTAGCTTGTGGAATTGACCCATGCAGCTGCTTCTGTACATTTCTAATGCTTAAAACGTTAAGTCTTTGGGTCACACTTCCCTCTTTACTGCCCCTGGTGATCTGGCTTCATGATAGGAAAAGAAGGTCTGAGGGTATTCCCATTTTGGTGTTTAGTTATGCTGAAGAATCTCGATTCTAGACAGAAACGGAAATTCAAGTCTAGTCCATAGACAACAGAAAAAAAAAAAGACCTCAGTTCCCCAAAACTGTTACAAGTATCCCAAAAAATTGTCAGAGTCGCTTTACCGGGTAAACTATCTCGGGTTCCGGAAGTGGGACAGACTCCTCTATCACTTCCGGGATCTTTATGGGCTCTTCCTTAGGTTTCTCCTTGGAAGAGGATTTCTTCTTCAAACCCTTAGTATCCTCTTTGTCTGCCTTATCCTTGCCTTTCTTTTTACCGACGTCTTTCCCTTTCTTCTCCTTCAGGCGCTCCTCCTCTGCCAACCTCTCTTGTTCTTCCTTCCATGCCTGCGGACACAGCAAACAGCTTACCAGGGATTTTCAAAAGGATCAAATGTGAGTTGCCTTCGGGTCAATTTTGGAGGAAATTTAGTGTGATGTTTCTAAGTGTTATTTCTGGCAATTTGAAACACTGAGCCAAGAACCTTGCAGTTAGTTATCTTTGATTGCCCCCCTCTCACTCCCAAATTCTATATGCTCACCCTGTCTGTCTCCTTGAAGATGTCTCTTCATTTCTGCTTATTCTCCAACTTTCTGGTGTAATTTACACTGTTCAGATTTTTTGTTGTCTTTATCTTGGACCACAGCAGTAGCCTCTCCACTGGCCTGTCTCCTTTCCTTCACTTCCCAATTTATATTTAAATATCTTGATCAGTAAAAGGGTTGATTACCCTGAGAAGGATTCTCAGCTCAAGATATTTAAAAGGGAGGGATAAAATACATTTTTTAAAAAAAAATCATTTGGAGAGATGGCTCAGAGATTATGAGCAATGGTTGCTCTTCCAGAGGTCCCAAGTTCAACTCCTAGCAACCACATGGTGGCTCACATCCATCTGTAATGAGATCTGGTGCCTTCTTCTGGCCTGCAAATACACATGCAGGCAGACCACTGTGTACATTATAAATAAATAAATAAATCTTAAAAAACAAGCCATGAGTTTCCAAGCGTGTTGGTAAATACTTGCAGTTTCATCACTTGGGAAGCTGAGGGAGGGGATAAAGACATAGTCTCAAATAAAACAACTCATGCGTTGACATTAGTTCACACACAAAAGAACTAAGCCACTTTGAATAAAATCAGAACAAAAATTTTGAAAGTATATCTGTGAAGATTACAGATAAGGAATTTACAAAGTAAGGATCATAAAACAAGTTTCTAGTTGCTTAAATAAAGAAAATAAACTTTCAAAAGTATAAGCAAGAAAGTAGGGTTTATAAAAACGACCAGGCAAGCTCCACAGTCCTCTTGGAATTAAGGCGTGACTTTTGAAAAACGACAGATACTGGCCAAGTCATTTCTAGAACTGATGATAGACGCTGATCCCAGCATCCACAAAGGTCAATAAATCTAAACAGAAAACAATAGTGCTGCGCTGACCCTGGCTCAGATTGATTTCATGTGTTTACTGATAAATCTCTGGGAATTTTATGTGATAGTTGCTAAACAAAGGCACCATCCAAAAAGTCATAAAAATGCAATTAAGTATGATGTTCAAAACAAAGGCAACAAGTGCTCAGAATGCATGTAGATTAGATTAGACTTCATTCTTATCTGATCTATATATTAGAAACATACTGTACAATGGCCTACAGATCCACCCTGCTCCCGCCTCAGTAATGCTACATTAGCAGCTTGAAATCAGCCGCTGATGGAGTATTTACCCTACAGACATCATCAAATGTCACATCATGGAGACTCACTGACTACTGATTAACTATGCTAAAAACAGGTCGATGGGAAGAATGTTACAAATCAGGATTCAACTGAAGTGCCTTTGACCACTACACAGCAATTGGAGTAAAAATGAGCAAATAGTCTTTTAACATTCAAATTTCTCTTTCTTGATTCTGAAACATTGCTTGTTATTGACAAATAAATGGAACACGCCTTTCTTTTGTTTCACTTCCGTCACATTAACACAAATGAAAATATTACTCAGTATTAATAGTGGAATTGCATTTGTTTGCCAATTGTAACCATAGGCTCTGTAAGGATACAGTAACTTAGCAAACAGCTATGAAAGCATATTTGAAGTTGTAATTTGCTAAATACACTTTGCAATTAAGAGTTCTATAGGATTTGTTATTATTTATAAATTATATATCAAATTTGCTGTCAATGAGGTTTCCGGGAAGGTTTTTTTTTGTGGACTATATGCACGCTCTGGTTTTGCTATAGCACAACTGTTAAATGCTTACCAGACGATCACAAAATGTTTTCAAAGCAGCTAAAGAGAAAAGATAGTCTACAAAAGGATATAAAATGTGATACTTTATTAACATCCATGATGTCAGCAAAGAAAAGGGAGACTGATATCTTGAGAGTTCTGTGAGGAAATGAAAAACTCAACCAAAAATCATATAAACAAAAAACCATGTTTAATGAATAGGGGCAAAATAAAGGCATTTTCAGATAAGTAACAACTGACTTTAATAGAAAGTGTATATTATGATATAATCAGAACCAGATATTTGGTCTTCATTCCTGGATCCTGGCACAGCGCTCTCCAATCCCCTGGAATTTCATGAGTGATAGGACTGTCTTTTGTTCTAATGAGGCAATTCTTGGCAAACTCTTAGATAGTTTCAGAATGGGGTAGAAGCTGGTCACTAGAAAGATCAAACCCAGGTTAGAAGCTGGGAACCTTCAGAGCCTTCCCCTCCCTCCAACCTTCGAGGATGAAGAGAGGAGCAGCAGGTGGATTTAATAACTGGTTGTACATACATGATGAAAAATCCTAAACCAAACAGTTTGGAGAAATTCTGCATTGGTGAGTGCATCCAGGTTCTGAGAGGGTGATACCACAGGGGCAGAAGGCACAGACCAGAACAAGCCTACATTTTACCCATAAATAAGCACACAGAATAGTTCTGTACTTTTGTGTACATTGGAACTTTTCACACTTTGACATTTCTTATTCCAGAAACTGAAGAGATAAAGCAAACAATCTTGAATGATCACTGAAGCAAATATTACTTTTGTAATTAAGAGTTCAAATCAAAATATGTGAATGAAATCAAACATTTTGAACAAAAGTAAAGAGCAAACCACCACAAGCCAATCACTGCCCTTGGGCTGCAGTTATGCGAAGATAATAAGATACACATTCTCTCGAAGACTTGTCACGTGACAATTGTGCACACACAGACCCTTTCTCCAAGGCTTCAGTCATCTCTGAGGTTTTAGTTAAAAAGATCATTCCCTGTGACTACTGCAAACTCTGTCTCAGGATAATTTTGGCTTTGTGATTAATCTGTGATGTTTGTCTTTTCTTGGATTACCTTGAGAGAGCCTTCTAAAACAAAAGGCATCTTCTCTTTCTCTTTCTCCTTCTCTTGTTCTGGTATCTCTGTTTTGCTGACTACTTTGCTACCTAGAATGAGAGGAAATCAAACTTCTTAGCAACTCAGTAGCAGGAGGTATCACAGAAGAAATGAGTCTCTGGGTTAGCTGGGACTCCCAAGGCTCTCAGTATCGGCACCTCAAGTATCCATCTTCTCATGTATTCTCTCTTGCCATCTCCAGAGTTACCCCTGAGTGGTACAGAGCCTTTGGCAATGGCGCCTCACAATACATTCACAGTGTGTTGACATGTTGCTTGAATCCCTCTCCCTAAAATTTTCACCCAATTTATCTTAGTTTACTACCTCCAGACCACAGGAGCACAGCTAATGCTCCCTTCCATACTGAGGTCCTTCTCTTGTCTGAGTTCTCATTCTGTCTTCCAAACATTCTGACATCTTTATTTTAACAGGAGTGGACTCAATGTAACACCTGCTGGGTACATTCCAAGCTGAAGTAACCAGCTTAGGACTTTCTGCAGCACCTAGATACTGAGCTTTTGGTTTGCTCAGTAGCATTAAAAAGGTGGTCAACATTTTCCCTGCCAGTAGGTAAGTACACAGTCAACCTTCCTCGTATTTCCTATAGAGCTCCACTTATCACTCTGGTGAAGTCTTGTTGGGCTCCCATAGGAAGAAGCTCAGCTATTGATAACGTAACCATTTGCTGGATACCAAAGGATTCCTTACCAGTGTCGTTTAGGTTTTACTTTGGAGTCAGGCCCTATACAAACTCCTCTGGTAACAAAATGAGGCTACAAAATTTTTTAAAGTTTCATAGCTTAGTCTCATCATGAGACATTACTTTCAACTTTAGCTAGCGTAAAGAATATTACTCCTAGAGATTTTCTTTTCTACAGACTGTGAAATAGCTATACATTTAGATAAGGTGCATATTGCACTTATTAATAAAATACCCTCCTTAAAAATTACCTTCTCTCTTTTACCTTTGTTCCTCTTCCCTAATGGGCCCAAAGTTTTAGAAATCATCTAAGACTTCCTTCTAGATTTTTACCTCCAGGCCTTTGGACTTTTTTTTTTTTTGCTATTTGTTAAAGGGTCTTGACTTATTCTTGCTGTTGGACTCTCTAATTATACTATTGAGAACGAATAACTCTGACTAACTCATACACTGCCAATACATTTAGATGGTGGAACCTATGAATTCTATCAGTAAGGACCTTGGCATTTCTCTAACTCATTATATTTGATCTGTAAGTAGATTAAATCTTCCAGAGTTTGCAGAACACAGGACTGTGACAAACATGCCTGTGTCTGGCTCAGACACAACACCATCACACCCAGAATGCAGCTGCTCCATTGATTAGAGAAAGTAAGGACTCACAGGCATTTGGGGGCAACCCTTTTTTAACCTGGAAAATTCAGGCTTGACATTCAGATAGGAGAGAATGCCTTGGGGCCTAATTTTATGAACGAATGCACTGGTTACTTACTTTTAGATTTTTTGAGAGCAAGAACTTTGCTAGAAGAAATTTTGGCAGCCGAAGTTTTCAGTTCTAGCTCAATCTTGGTCCTGTTGACTTCTTCAGCCATCTTGGCTTCCTGATACTTTGCTTCTTCCTCTGTGATCCAGTCTTGAATAGAGTTTGCAATGAGTTCCAAATAATTCCTAGATTAAACAAAGATGAGAAGATGGGAAGGGAGAGTCCTTATTAAAGCATGAACAAACTCTTCAAACATGCAATGATTCTGAATTGCCCAAGTGGCAAAGAGGTCAGGTTCAGAGCTTTGCCGAGCTTCTTATGTATACAATATTCTGCCTCCATGTATGCCCACACGCCAGAAGAAGGCACCAGATCTCATTACAGATGGTTGTGAGCCACCATGTGGTTGCTGGGAATTGAACTCAGGACCTCTGGAAGAGCAGCCAGTGCTCTTAACCACTGAGCCGTCTCTCCAGCCCCTTTGCCGAGCTTCTGAAAAATGCCCACTTCTCTTCATGGTTAAAGATATGAAGACAATAAGGTCTTTCCATTCAAGTGAAGAACTAAAGACTTCTTGGAAAGGGATCCTTTTTAATTTAATTTAATTTAATTTAATTTGTGTGTGTGTGTGTGTGTGTGTGTGTGTGTGTGTGTGGTTCTGTCGATGCAGGGTGCCCTTTGAGGAGGGAGAGAACATCAGATCTTTTGGAGTTGGAGTTACAGGAGGTGGGGAGCCTCTTGACATGGGTGCTGGAAGCAGAACTCTACCCATCTGGAAGGGCAGTGTGGACTCAGCCACGCCTCCAGCACCAATGACTAATGACCTTGATCAATACCAAGAGAGTCAGTGACAGTTGAGGAAGTAATCACTGTCAGTGCAGATTACTGGAACGTGATACAGTACAGTCAGCCTCTTTTAATTGATCACTAGCCACTACAGTCACATCATTAAATAAAACCTCTTTATCTTGCTATAAAGCTTATGGATCTTGGGGGCATCTACCTTGTAAAATGAATGCCCTAAGCTGCTTGCACATTCGTGCTCCCCCAAGAAGCTGCTGCTTATTAAGAATGAGTCATTATTGTCTGCAAATCTATTCAAACTACTTATACTGATGATAGTATTTTCAAATTAAATACTACTGAATCTAAAAAGTTGTCTAACTCATGCCCCCACAAGGAAATTAACTGAAATATCAGGTTTGACAGTAAATATTATTTTGAGAGTACATGAAAGTAAGGCTTAACATTTGGAGAAATAGAGATGGATGAATGAAATGCACCGGAGTTTTGATTATTGTTCTTTTTCTTTTCTCTGTGTCTGTGTGTGCATGTGCAGAGTGTGTTTATGACATGGTCCACATGAGGAGGTCAGAGGACAGCTTGTGGGAATCAGTGCTCTTTGTCTGTCACATGGGTCCTAGGGAATCAAATCAAGTCAAATCAGCCATCAGACTTGATGTCAACTGCCTTTAGCTGATGAGCCACTTTGTAGACCTTTGGGATTATTTCTAAAGATATATGATGGGAATTGTGGGTTATGAATTATAGCACTTGACACCTTCATTTAGAAGGTACCAGACATTTCCAGCTCTCTCTGTTTCCAAGGAAATGCTTTACAGTTTACCCAGGTTGCCACATACAAGCTGGTTTTTTAACTGATGGTTACTTTACATTATCAGTTGAATAAGTAAAATCTTGAAATGATCGTTATTTTTTCATATTCTTCTTTCAATCTGTTAGCAAATTAAAATGATTATAAATTATCCTAAAGAAGATTAAGTTTATGATATAAGATACGTTTCCTTTCTTTCTTCCCTGTCATTATTCTGGCTTCACTCACTATCATGTCTTCTTAGGATTGCTACAATATCCTCTAATTAGTCTTTCTGTTTCTACCCTCATACGTCTAAATTTTATTCTTAATCATCAAATAGACTGAACCTTTTAACTTGTAAGTTAATTTCATTCTTATATTTAGTACCATTCAATGAATATTTCAGATTAGGAAGTGAAGTTTGTGAGTGCTGAGAGACAGCTCAGTTAGTAAAGAGCATGCTAAGCCCGTGTGAGGACCTGAGTTTGAGTTTGATCCCTAGAACTCCTGCAAACAAGTCAGGTGTGGAGACAGAGACTCTTGTAATCCCAGCAGAGAGGTGTACCTGCCATCCCAGAGAGGCAGAGGGAGGTGATCATTGGGTGTCCCAACAACCAGTGAATGCAATCATGGAGACACAGGCCAGTGAAAGACCCAGTCTCAACAAACTAACCAACCAAACAACCAATGAACTAACAAACACCGGGTGCGTGGTACCTGAGGCATGGTGCCTAATGAATGATACCCCTGGTTGCCCTCTGGCCTCCACATGCACAGGTATACAAATGCCTGTATCCTGGTTAACACCCTCCCCCATTCATTTAGATGAACATGCACACACAATTAATTAAAAAAAGGAACAGAATTTTTAGTAGTGTTTGGCAACAAGGGGATATAGGCTCAACAAAGCCAGATTAGTATTCAGATGAGGATAAGCAAACAATGCTTCAGGGACTTTATCATCCATAGATATTTGGTGAATTAATTACTCCCAAATGTATTCTAGTTATATTTTACAAAGTAAAGGTGCCAGCATTGGATACCAATATAAGGGTCAAGGTAATTTAGGTTATAGTTTAAATTATCAATGAAAAGAGCTGGGCTTCTTGTAATTAAAAGCTATCACTTTCCAGGTGGAAAGGACATTTTTAGATAAACTGAAAACAGGAGGGTGTGGCGGTTATAATAAGAATGGTCCCCATAGGCTCATATATTTGAATGCTTAGTCATCAGGAGTGGAATTGTTTAAGAAAGATGAGGGCATGGCCGTGTTGGAGGAAGTATATTACTGGGGATGGGGAACAGTAAGGTTTCTAAAGTCCATGCCAGGCCCAGTCTCTCTCTCTCTCTGTTGCCCGTGTGTCAGGATGTAAAGTTCTCAGCCCTAGTGCCAGGCCTGTCTGCCTCCTGCCATGACTAAGCCTCTAAGATTATAAGCAAGCCTCCTATTAAATGCTTCATAAGTTGCCTTGTCATGGTGTCTCATAGAATTCTAATGAAGAAGCTTGTTAGAAGTGAAACTACTGCATCTATTTTTAGCATTTTAATGAAATGGCATTAGTACTTAATAGCTTCAGATGCCATACACAATAATTAATGCATGATTTAAATGAGCATGTATAATTTCTAAAAGAATATAAATCAAACTACATCTTTTAGAAAGCACATCCTAAGAAGCAATTAAGAAAATTCCATCTATCAAAGAAAGGGATCAATACTAAGACAAAAATATATTTGCAGAATTAAGCTGTTAGAATAAAATCACATTATCAATGAAAATACAAGTTTACAGGGTAAGTGTTACAACTCTGAGGGAAATGTATCCTGGCAGTCGGGAGCCAAGAAAGCCCCCAAATCACATTGCATGACAAAGCTAACACAAGAGATGTATTGGGAAGGACACAAGAGGGTGGCTATCTCTGCTCCAGAGAGAAGCAGCAAAGAACTGAGCAGGAGGCAGGCTTTATATAGGGTTTTTTGGGGGTGGCAGGGGTACTTTTTCCAGGGTGGCCTGGGATTGGTGAAACTTTGTGGTCCAATCTTGGGCTTTTTTCCTGTAGGTTGGAGCTTGGCTGCCTGCATCTGGAGGGACTGGAAATGGTATAGTGGAGGTGGGGTGGTGGGGTGGGAGAATTGTCTGTATTCTGTCAATAATGTTTTAAATAAATGCTGATTGGCCACACAGAAAGTATAGGTGGGTCAACCAGACAGGAAGTAAAGGCGGGGCAATGAGAATAAGAGTATTCTGGGAAGAAGGAACCTTGCTCCCCAGTCCTGTGCAGATCATGGAAGAAGCAAGATGTGACCTATCCCGCTGAGAAAGGTACGGAGCCATGTGGCTAACACAGATAAGAATAATGGATTAATATAAGCTACAGGAGCTAACCAGAAGCCTGAGTTAATGGGCCAATAAGTTTATAACCTAATATAGACTCTCTGTGTGATTTTTTCTGGGACTAAATGGCTGGGGGACTAGGCGGGACAGAAACCCCAACAAGCAGGCCCTCATGTTACAGGGTGGGGGCAGAGATGGACTTTTGAGCCCATCAAAGGGCTTACAAATAGATTGGATTTTTTTAATATCCATAAAATATTGCTAATTCATACTAAAATCCTGTAAGAGTCAGGTGAGCTAAAAATTGAGGCTATTATTTGAAAGGATGCAACCATAGAACAAAATGGCACAGAAGGATGTGAGCATGGCATATGGGCACAAGTTAGAGGCTCTCATTTCTGGTGACTTCTGCGGATAGCTGCCCTGTGCCTGAGGTGTTGACCCAAAAGAGTTCTTGCTATGGAAAAGTGCCCTTCATTAGCTTAACCTAATTTCGCATTGATGTAGCTGTATATGATATGGACATTTTATCCATATTGTTAAAAGTTACAGTCAGCTAAGAATGATACATCTGAGAACACAGATTTAAAAATGAGGTTCTATATGCATCCTCTGCTTGTAAAAAAAGAACACACAAATTCATTATTTTAAAGACAGACATTATTATATACCCATAAAAATGAACATATGAATATTTACTGTTGAGCATGAAATTGAAAGAAATGAAAATGAATAAAATTTATGTCCTGGTAATGCTGAAGCACACGTGGGCAGCCCATACATGGTGGTTCTCTTGAACTTGTTCATATTGGGTTTCATGGTCTAAGTTGATGAGGATAATTGATCAGGTCTCTTCTTCAAAAAGATACCAGATGTCATTACCGATGGTTGTGAGCCACCATGTGGTTGCTGGGAATTGAACTCAGGATCTCTGGAAGAGCAGGCACTGTTCTTAACCACTGAGCCATCTATACAGCCTCTTACCATGAGTATACTCTGCTTAAATGGATAGTTACATATTAGTCATAAAGAAAATGTAAATTACCCAAATTTAATGGAGAATTAGAAAGCCTAAATAGTGGATTTGCTAAAAAGAACTGAAAACATAGGTAATTCTTGTGTTCATCTTATATGAACTTTAGGATTGTTCATGTATTTTATATAAATGACATATTTTATATACAAAATGACATCATGTTTTTATATTTATTCGTTTAATTTTCTTTCTTTCTTTCTTTCTTTCTTTCTTTCTTTCTTTCTTAAAGATTTCTGTCTCTTCCCCGCCACTGCCTCCCATTTCCCTCCCCCTCCCCAATCAAGTCCCCCTCGCTCCTCAGCCCAAAGAGCAATCAGGGTTCCCTGCCCTGTGGGAAGTCCAAGGACCACCCACCTCCATCCAGATCTAGTAAGGTGAGCATCCAAACTTCCTAGGCTCCCACAAAGCCAGTACATGCAGTAGGATCAAAAACTCATTGCCATTGTTCTTGAGTTCTCAGTAGTCCTCATTGTCTGCTATGTTCAGCGAGTCTGGTTTTATTCCAGGCTTTTTCAGACCCAGTGTTTAATTTTCTTGTGTGTAAGTATATGTATACATACCACATGCATGCAGGATCCCACAAAGGCTGGAAGAGGGCACTGGATCCCCTGGAAATGGGGTTATGACTAGTTGTCAGCTATCATGTGGGTGAACTGACTTTGCCCCCTGCCTCCCACAAGTGCTAGGGCTCTTCACAACTGTGCTTTCTCTCAAGCCCCAACATTAGAATTTCTATAGGACTAAAATAAATCCGTAAGTCACTTAGGGTAGTATGGACATTTTGACAACTAATTCTTCCAACCCAGGATCACACAGTGTCTTCCCACTTATGTGGATTTTATAGTTTTGCTTTATAGATATTTCACTCCTTATTTATTTACTCTTATTGATGTTATTTAAAATAGATTCTTTCTTATATTCTTTCCTAGGTGCTCTTTGCCAGTGGATCAAAACACAACTAACTTCTATGTAGTTTGTATCCTAAAATGTCTCTAAATTCATTAGTAGCTCTAAGAGCAGGTGTGTGTGTGTGTGTGTGTGTGTGTGTGTAGTGTATGTGTGTATATGTGTGCACTGTGTACATGCTTATGTATTTGCGTTTAAATTTTTCTATTTATAAGATTATGTCATTTGTAAACAGAATAAATTACTTTTTCCTGTCTAGCTTGGGTGTCTTTGGTTTCTCTCATTTGCCTGTTTGCTCTGGTTAGCATTTCCAGTGTTAAGATGAAATAGAGTTGAAGTTGTTCATCTCTTCAGTTTTTCACTTAATGACTATAGTGTCTAATAAAGGTATAAACATCTCTTGTGTCTTCTATTCCATTTTCATGGAGTATATGCTTCTGTCCCTTCACATTAATTCTCTGTGTACCCTCAAGAGTAAAGTGGGATGTTTATAGCAACAAATGGTGATCTTTTATCACCTATCCATCTACTCCATACCTCTCAATGGATAATCTGATCCCTTTATATTTAGTATTGACATGCAAAGATTAACTATTGTTATTTTATGCATTTTTCTCAGCAGTTCTTCCTTCATTTCTGTTACAATGAATTTTTGAACTGTTCTGCTTTCATAACTGTTTACCTTTTTTTTGGGTGTGTTTTTAGATAGATTTTGCTTCCTGGTTAATACAAAGTTCACTCACACTCAAAACATCCTTCATGTGCAATAATGTATTTCAAGCTGACAAAAGCCTTACTATGATTACATATTAAAAATTTCTTCCCCATTATCCACATCTATAATATTGATGTCACTACATATTTCTATATAATTTGACTATTAATTATTTTTGTAAGTATAGTTATTATTAATGCATTTGTCTTTTAACTTTTTGAGACAGGGTCTTGATAGATAGATCAGGCTTCCCAGGAACTCAAGACAATCCTCCTGACTCAACCTCTCAAGAGTTGGGATTATACACATAATGCCACCATGCCCGACTTTTCAAGTCTAATTTAAAAGTAATAAAAATGAAACAGAAAATCTTCAGGGTCTGGCGACTATGACAGACTTTGGGTCAGTACTTAACCATCTCTTTGGCTGTAGCTGTCTTTATCTTCAAGTTGCACCAACCATCAAAGAAAAAATACATCTCAACCTTCCACAGACTCTTTCAAAAAATAAAAAGTGGAAATAAACTTGGAAAATATCCCTCAGTGCCCTTATTAAAAATTGTATAACCTGTATATCAAAACCAAATAATAAAACTTAAAGGGGAAGGAGTCAAGTCTCACTCACTTCAAAGTTATAACTGCCAAGGCAGGACATTAGCAAAGCAAAGAGACATAGTGCCCACAGTCCTGTGTAGATATGGGTACCTCTACCACAGAATAGCTGCTGGTACGTCTCAGCTGTATTACCAATTAAAGGAAAAATATGGATATCTGCATTGTAATAGGGAATATTTTTATCCTGATAAGGGATATTTATAAAATTGTTATGCACTGAATCCTTAAAATATTTCCTTCATTACATGTAGCATTATGAGAATGTTCTCTCAGAGTTGCACTGGAGGGAATTCTCTCAGAGTTACACTGGAGGGAATGCTCTCAGAGTTACACTGGAGGAATGCTCTCAAAATGGCAGTGAAGGTGTAGTAAGCAAGTGATTCCAGGAAAGAAAGAAATGAAGTATAAATATTGGCAATGGAAAACAAGAAACAATACAGATTAATATTTTAAATACACCTACTACACACCTGAATTATATCATCTTATAACCTTCAAATGCAAGTGTTTATGGCATTCTGTTCCCCCATTTGTTCCTCGGGTCCATTTCTTTTGTCTTTGTCTTTCTTAGAATTTTATCATTGTTATACATATAGTAAGTGCTAAGTACACACTAAATACTACAAGATAACAAGAGATAACAAGGTGCTCTGACTATTACTAAGGAAAGCCAGAGTCTATGGGAACAAACAAATGAAAAGCCAGAATAAAGCAAACAAACAGAAAGCTACTGAGAATTGAAAAGAACCAGTGGCTCTTAGGTCTTCATTTTCTGGGAATTTGAAGACTTATTTTGCTAATTCTTCGTTGTCCTGGGCTTGAAACTTTTCCAGACCCAGTAGAGTTAAGAAAAAATCAAATTGTTTTATAGTTGCTATTTTAATGTCTCAGAGTCAGTCTTGCTACAGATGAAATAGATAGAAAACACTTTAATAACATCTCTATTAGATTCCATGAGGGCAAGAGAAACGCTCACTCTTGACGGTAGAGTATCAATACATAGTACAGTGCATAGCACATGGTACATGTTAATATATATATATATGTATACACACATACATACATATATATATATATATATATTCAATGTAACTTCTTATATCTAGTTGAATCACAAAGGTCTGAGTAAGGAACCAAAACCTAAGAGACTACCTCAGTCACTGTTTAATTAAATTATCTAAGTCACCTGAATCCAACATTAGAGTGAAGAGCAATTTTCCAATATTCACAATGCAGACGTTGTATATTCATTGGGTTATGAAAAACCAGAAGCAAAGAATTGTCCTGCGTGTGGTAATAGGAGTCAACACATCGATACTGCTGATGGGCTTCCTGAAGGACCTGAAGATGAAATAATTGTATTGTTCAGTTGTTTTATCCCCAAGAGAAGAGTTTTCTGCTATAACTACATGTCTGTCCCTCCTTCCTCCTTCTTGTTTCTACACCATTGGCCAACTTTGAGTTTCCAGTGGAGTCCTTCCTAACTACTAGAAAATAAGATCATAAAATATAGTACATTTGTGGGCCGTTCAATAACTCTATAGAAAAACAAACAGTAGGTTCTCAGGTGGAGGTACTTGCTAAGTGCTCTCCACAAGTGTTGGTAGATGGTAATCAGTCAGTTCTTTGCCCTCGCAGTGTTTTTTGATTTTTTGATTTTTTTTTTTTGAGAAATGGTTTCTCTGTGTAGCCCTGGTTTTCCTGGAACTCACTCTTTAGATCAGGCTGGCCTTGAACTTAGAGATCCTCTTGTCTCAGACTCCTGAGTGCACAGATTGAAGGCATGTGCCACCACCACCCGGCTAATCAGTCAGTTTTTTATCTAATAGTTGCTTTTTTTGCCTCCATATAGATCAATTCATTTTTAGCATAATTAAATATTACAAATAAAGTGTACCTCATATGCTAGGCTGTGCTTGACCTGCTCCAAGTTCATAACCTGACAGTCTAACCCCTAGTGTGATAATATTTGAAGGGCTTTGGGAATGTTTTAAGGGTGGGGTTCCCATGATAGTATTTGTGTCCTATCATCTAAACATTGGAGCTTCCTTTCTCTCTGCTCCCTCTCTGCCATGGATAACTCAGCAGGGTAGCGTTATATGGAAGCCAGGAAGAAAGCCCTCATCAGGAACCAACCGCACTAGTGCCTGGAGTTTGTTCTCCTACTTCTTAAGCTCTGAGATGATACTCTTGTATTATTTCAGCTACCCAGCCTGAAGTATTTTGTTTTGGCAGACTAAGACAATAGCTACCATTTTTTTTCCTGTTTCTAAATATCAGGTCTTATTTGCCAGCACAATAAGGGATTTGCCAAGAACAGGTTTGTAGGTTCTAGTGCCAGAGTTCAAGACAGCTGTCTCCCAGCTCTGCTATCTCTCTTCCTCACAGTGTGTCCTCTGTGGATAACTACGTAGTAGTGAAACAGGTGGTTGGTCTTTCTCATAAGTGCCATTGCTATTTGCCCCCAATTCCACCTTGCTTTAAAATATAACACCCTCAGCCTGCTCTGCAGTGGCAGCCACCAGCAGAGGGCACCAAGGCGTAGCTGCTTCTTCCAGCTTCCTTCTCAATGTCAATCAACCGTAGGAAATTAGCTACAGGAAAAGGAAGTAGACAGCAGCGGGCTTTTGTTTGTGTTTTCAATACCAATCTACTGTAGGCAGCTCTATGTGCTCTGCCATGGGATAATCTCAAGAAATCGCTAGCATGTCAGGGAAGAGTTGCTTCAGGTTTGCCTTTATTTCTCTACTGGTAATAGATGTAAAATAACATTTCTCCCCCAGTCTAGTCCCCTGTATGCAGGTCTTGCCCTGTTAACATTTACTTCTGTTTTCTGAGACACTAACTATTTCTCACCTACTGTCCTTCAAAGGCAAATTCCTCTGAGATGATAAACCCAAGAGACAAATGTTTGCTTACAGTGAGCATCCTTGCTCTGACCATTGGGCAAGATTACCAGAGCTGTGATTGACTTTCAGAATTTGGAAAGTGTGACCATTACCTTTCCTTTTCTGTGAACTGGTGTCTGCCGTTTACATGTTAATATTGTTGTCTCATGTTGTTCAGGAGAATGAGCTCGGGGACGCTGCTCTAACTCAGTGTGGGGGTGTTTACCTAACAGAAGCAAGGGCCTGGGGGAGGGTACCACAACTAAAAACGACCACTGCAGCAAAAACAATTGGCAAAAGATGAGAATAAGTGTCAGGCAGTGTTCCAGGAGCACACAAATGAACTCGATGGACCAAATTCTCTTCTGCAATTGGATTAAGGTTGCTACAGGTCACTCTGAGTTCTGTTCAAGTGGATGAAATATTTGAATTACAGGGAATGGATGGGAGTGAGAACCAAAGCAGTCTGATACTTCAAAGGATGTTTCAATAGGAGGTAAGGATGGTGGTTAGTTAAAACTGATGTAGTTAGGGGGCTAGAGAGATGGCTTAGAGGTTAAGAGCACTGATTGTTTTTCCAGAGGTCCTGAGTTCAATTCCCAGCAACCACATGGTGGCTCACAACCATCTGTAATGAGATCTGGTGCCCTCTTCTGGCCTGCAAGCAGACATGCAGACAGAACACTGTAAGCAAAATAAATAAATAAATCTTAAAAAAAACAAAACTGATGTAGTTAGACCTTACAGGTGCCCTTGTACCCTTGCAGAAGGTAAGCCACCTTCTACCACGTTACTGTCTGTCCGCTACTGCAGCAGAAAAGAGGGTGGCAGTCCACAGAAGGTGAGCCAAGGGGTTCAAGAACACGGGACCCTAGCCACTAGGCAAGGAGAAGCACGTTCAAGAGAAACCAGAAATTATGTAAATGTCTAAATCACAAAGACAAGTCACAAATGTGGCCCATGTATATAATTCTAAATTTTATAGTTGCTCCATTTTAAAGGCTGAGGCAGGTAAAAGCAATGGCAATGGTATATTTTGTTTCACTCAATATATGAAAATGTTATCATTTCAACATGTAGTAGATATAAATATTATGAACAAGATATATCATTATTTCATGCCAAGTCTTTGAAACCCGGTGTGTTTGGCCCAGATAGCTCCATGCAGAGTACCACGTGACTGTCTTTGTTTCTGTTGAATTACTCTTTTCTGGGGAGAAAACCATTTTTCTTTACCATTGAGAGGGTTGGGAAATTGCTATTCTTTTCATAACATGGCTCAGTAGATTCTCCTGGCTTTAAAAATATGCGGGATGTAAATCTGATCAAAATGAGATTCAAATTAGAAAGACAAATCATACAGAGTACAGATTTCATAAAATCTAAAAGCAGCATGTGTTCATTTCTAGGTGTCTCACGATTCCCCACAGCAGTTAAAAGCGTGTTTTGGGATGGGGGCAAATTTTCTTGGCTGTTTTCTTCCTGTTTCTCAACTGGCAACAGACTTTTGGTCAAGGGGCCCCAGTTTCTACGATTTAATAGTTTCTACAGCATAGGCTTATTCTGAGAATATACTCACACACAACCGCCGGGGCCTCACATACAGCACTTAGTGCAGTAACTGCCGGTCATCACAGCTACCACTGACCCGCTCATCCCAACAAAAAAACACCACAAAACATAATCAACTCCAAAAAGAATGGAAAGACACCATGGGGGAAGATGGTGTCACTTCCTGGTAAAGCCCAGCTTTTCTCTAGAAATCACTCAAAGCAGTCTTAATGGAAACAGTTCTTCTTTGAAAGGATCTCAGCCCTTTGGGGGATTTCCTGGGTTGCATGGCTCAGTGTGGGAACAAACTCACTTTATAGCTGAAATCATTGGGAATCCAGATTTGAGCTCTCTCCGGGAGAGTGACCCAGAAGTGAACTATTCACAGTCACAGCCCAGCTCTTCAGACCTATCTGCTTGCGCGTGCGCGTATCCTGGAGAATCACAACCCATAAATACCTGAAGCAAGACTTTCGGCTGAAAATGCTCAGTAAAGCTCCAGTCCGTTAAACTGCGCTGCTGCGTTTTCTTTATGTCCTCTAGATTAGCTTCCACCACCATCTTCTTGGGTTTCTTTAAAAAAAAAAAATCCACTGGAACACGATTTCAGCTCTAATTTGTGCTCGTCCAAATGGAGCCCTGTTAGACTCTGCGGACTCACCCCCATGCGCCCCATTTAATTGTGGGAATCTGCATATGTATAGATCCATATGGCAACATTTTAGGAGGGCCGCTGCCAGAAAGAAGTACGCCTTTGACTCTTTTTTTTTTTCAAATGTGCAACATAACCTAAATATTTTTATTGTTAGGTTATACTCTTCGGAGTCCTGTTAGCAATTACAGGCAGGCTTTCTGAACTCACTTCAAGACAGCGTTAGTTCTACGTGGGCTGTATGGTCAGCAGGTGTTTGTGAGGAAGCCAAGCCGCACTGTCTAGAGAGGGCCAGGGAGTGGGGAAGTTCTGCTTAAGTCAGTGAGGCCAGGAAAGTTAACCCTTTCACTCCAGGTGGAGGGGGTATGGGACATCTGAACAAGCCCTCTCCCCCACACCAGCAGCATTTGCCTTTTAAGTCTCTCTCTCTCTCTCTCCTCAGTTTGGTCAGGGGGTCTTCTCAGATCATCTTGCCTGTCATCTACACGTTCAGGAAGATAATTCCTTACCTTTTCAAGAGAGCCATCCTTTGTGGCTGCTTCATCTTTGATCTCATTGTCCATGGGCTGCTCTGTAAATCAAAGACACCAACATCCAGTTGTGTTCGGGCTTTGTTCTTGCCTTTGGTCAGTGCTGGGTCTTTTTGTTGCCAGTATGATCTATGTCTCTGTGCTGAAAAGGTGATTCCTGAGAGGCATGTTTTGTGCCTCCAAAGAGGTGTTTGTGTCAAGAACTCTAAGCCAATGCCTACCTAGAATTTATCCTAAACTCTTTGAAAAGAACCCGACGTCTTATCTGCTGCACACTAAATCACACAGACTATTCTTTCAGGCTGTCTATTGCTCGCTTCTGGCAGTGCATCCTTGCCTTCACAAACTGTAAGTATTTACTGGCTAAACTAAATCATTGGCTCACTGCTCTCATTTCCCTGACTCTGGTGGCCATCACAAAGCCTTAGCAGGTTTTTTGTGAGCCTTGCCTGCCGGCTGACAGACCAGGGCAAGGGCAGGGGTGTGTGGATGGAAAACCTAGATAGGAATTTACCTTTTAGAGAGTGACAGCATCCTACCATTCTGTTGAGATTTTCTGTCCATTCGTCATGAACTTATTACTTAATGCGCATGTGCACACTGACAGGCGGAACTTAACAGACCTTAGTTAAATGGGTAAATGAGTGGGCACTTGGACTCCAATGCCCCATGTCATGGCCCAACATGAGTGAGGCACATTAGCTCGCCCATGAATGAGAGTAGACTCATGTGAAAAGGGCTGTGATGTCATTCTTGGCCCAGGGAGCAGTGGCCATCTGAGTGGATGAGAAAGGGGTGGAATTTTGCCACTGATTTTCACATCACGAAGTGGGCCAGAGTAAGTGACACACAACAGAGAATGCTGGTGATGTCCCTCCTGTAATTTCCCTCACATCCCATGAAGAAATGGCGTATGCTTAAGAAGGGTACGTGTTGCAAGAACAAACTCTGGTATTGCTGCATGGCTGAGCCTGGCTGACTTCTTACCATCTTGAGAATAGCTGCAAATCAAATGCCACAAAGCTGCGTGTCAATTGCTGCAGTCCCAGTCTTCCAATACTTTGCCCACCCGCTCCTTGCTCTTCCCATTTTAGATGCACTGGCCCACTAGCTGTGTGCGGGCAATCCTACACTCGCTTTCCCGCCGTCCACCATAGTTTACTCTAAGCTATTGCCTATTTCACTCTCTGGTTACCTTCCTGAGAGTCTCTGCCTCATACTGAGCCGCATTTGAAGTCATAGCATTGACTGGCGAGGGTTCCTATTTGGTTTTGGTCTGCCCTTCTGCTTTGAATCTTAGTTGCTGAAGAACAAGAACATGCCCTCTTTGCACCCTATGCCCCCGGAATCTGGGGAGGATTCAGTAATGTGTTTTTTCTTTTGATCAAATGGAGTGAATCAATCACATATTGAACTATATTGAACTGATGGCAGCATCATAAAGACAATAGAAATATGGAAGGAAAACTATATGAAAGGCTAATTTGAATGTGAGCATAGATTTTCCTTTCCATTCTGTTGCAAAGAGGATGTGCTAATGTTCTTCTCTCTCGGGGCATAGTTACTAACATCTTTGACCCTAGTTACCTCTTGCCCTGGGTTGCTACAGGTGACAGAATTACTGCTTTTGATTTGGAGCGAGATGCTAAAGCCAATTCAGTTCTGCGTTTGTATAAACATATCCATTGAAGACAAAACCCAGGCCAACTCTAATTATAAATAGAGCATGACGTCCCCTGTGTCACTGAAGCAACTGATATGAAATCTGTAGAATAAAAGTTCTTTTATCCTGTGGCCTGTCAGACTTCCGGGAGATTTGGTATTCCCTTCTGTGTCTAAAGATCCAGGAACAAAACCAGCTCTTTAGAAAGTCTGTCCAAAGCTTAGGTACCAATGATTTTGTCAAAGGAGAGAGCGCTCTAATACTAAGCTGAACTCTTTATTTAAGAGCAGAATAAAAGCCATGTTTCCCCTCTCTGATTCCTTATTTCAACCACATAATCCTTTGACAGTGTGATTCAGTAGTTTTTGACACATCTGGAAATGGATGCTTTCCCTTCCCTTTGAAAAACAGCTTTCCTAATCTGTTTTACTTTAGAGATAACAAGATCCCTCTGCAAAGCAGTTACTTTATTAAAAAAACACCCGACAAGCATAAAGGGCACATCCAAACCTACAGCCTCACGGTTACCAACTCTCAGGTTTTTCATAAATATCCAATGGGCCCTGTCAAGTTCAAAACAGTCTCAGATGGAAACCCAGGGTTTCGTTAGGAAAAGCACAAATATCCAGTCCTTCATGTCCAGAAACAGGGACATCAATGCATGGGATGCCAAAACGGTTGTGTGGGGAAAACACAGGGATGATTTCTGCTTTGTGTAAATGGAATTAAAGTGGTTGCTTTTGAAGTATGAATTAGAGTTGGGGGGAAGGTGGAAGGCTCAGACAACTTCCTTTCCTCTCACGGGAACAGTCACGGAGATACAAGGCCAGCTGCCTGGTCTGCTCAGATGCAGTGGCTCATGAGTGAAGGCCTGCAGTCATTGCGGGGGAACGCTTAGGGCTGAGGACCCGCCCTCAAAACTGCTGGGGCCCCAGAACATGCTATCTACAACAGCATTTCAGCCTGAGGATTGGGAGCCTGAGAGCCCTCCACTCCATAGCAGCATTGGAGCGATTTGACCACCAGGTGGCAAGCGTTGCCTGAGGAAAGAACCTGCTGCCATCAGAAGCAAGACAAAACAGCAAAAAGGATAGCTCTGTCTTCCATCTCTCCCAGCTGACTCTGGTTCCATGTTAACACAAAGTGATCTCTATCCTATGTGTACATCCAGGGTATATGATGTCCTAACAGCCAAAGTCAACTTATTCTGGTCCCCTCTTCCTCCTTCCCTCCCTTCCTCTCACTTCTCACTCCTCTCTTCTTCTCTTCTCTCTCTCTCTCTCTCTCTCTCTCTCTCTCTCTCTCTCTCTCTCTCTCTAGTCTGTTGTGAGCTAGACTACCAGGTAGGCATATTTAGGACATAGAAGAAACCTACTGTTGGAAAGAGGAAGAAACACAAAGCAGCAAAACCAGGATAATAGCTAAGAACCAACATGACAAAAATTCCAAATATGACCCAGCTATCAGTTAGCATCCTGAGGAATTCCTAGGGTCCCGGAAGCCTTATTCTGAGGTGAGGTAGAGAGCACCGCTGTCCTGTTTATATGTCTATATGGTTGAATAAACTACTTAAACGTCTCTGTCCTGACTTTCTCATCTGTTGGACTGAGGTGATAACATCTCGCTCAGTGGTTCAGGTTTCTATAAAGCAGTGATATACGGAAGGTCCATGCCATGGCACCATGCTTGGCATACAGCAGAGCCATCCTCAGACAGCACCAACTTCTCTCTGTCTTCTTTCCCCATCACATATCTCACCTGCTGACAATTAGCCGGCCGCCTTCAAAATTCTACTCACTTACGACCTTTCCTTCTTCCCCCATCCAGATAAGGAAGATGTCAAGATGACCATAGTCAACTCCAATGTAACTCCGGTGTTTTGGGAGTGCTTACCTTACCTTCCACACACCTCTTACAATCATGAACTGCAGCATACACAGAGAAGAGGCCACTGCTTCCTACAGCCAACAATTATAAAGAAAAGTGCCAGAATCTCCTGTCTGTGTGCATCTTTAGCAACTGCAGCCTCCTTTGCTAAACTCTCAGATTGGACTTTGAGAATTTGTCCTGTGTAATTTTAGTCCTGTGAAAATTTGCTGCAACTGGATAAAGTTAAGATTTCATAAATAAACATACTTGCTACCTCCAAGGAGCTATGGTGTTGTGGAGGCCTTACTAGTTATTACAGAAAGCAGCAAGACATACTAGCAAGGTATAAAGGAAGTAGTTACGGCATCTCTTGGCTACAGCACATAATATGGGTGGGGAGGGACAAGGTACAAAGATTTTAGGGTAAGGACTGTGGTACTAGAGGGTGGGAAGGAGAGCACACTTCATTTAGCAGGTCATAGGGAGCTGCTGAGAATAATATGCGGGGACATAAAGGGACCATCAATCAGGTAAAGCTCATGCAGATTTAATTCAGTGCACCCCATGACTCCTAAAGTCACCTTTACAGGGTTTTACCTGGGGATCAAAGTAAGGTCCTGAGCTAAAATAGGAGCCAAAGGGAAGGTGTGTTCACTGAGTGCTGATTTCTTGCCAAGCTCTATACTTGGCATTTTGTTAGGGCATTACAAGCAACTTTAGAGTAATTTTACCATGCAGTCATGAAGTTCTAACGGTGGAAGTTTTGATTATGTTCATTGACTAGGTTTTCTATGGGAAGAGCAAACAGAGAGGATGCCTTGATGAGCAGAGCAGGGAAGGAAGGACTGGCAAATCCCATTCAGTAGGTTTACTCAACCAATTAACTTAGACATTGAATCTTTTCCTTCAGATAAAGTACAGAAGCATTCACATTTAAATGAGGCCTTTTGCCCTTTTCTCTCTCTTTGTGTCTAAGCATAATGGAGTCTACATAGGTTTTCACTTACCCAAGGACTCTGGCTGGGGCCACATGGACCCACTGGTCTCCTTCTCTGATAGCTGTTTGTTACCAGCATCCAAGGGTCTCATGGTGTCGGAAGTAGAGTGGTTTACACTGTTAGCAGCAGGCTGATCAGGATCCGGGGAATTTCCATATCTCTCAGCCTCTTGCTCGGTCTTTGACAAATTCTGGTCTACAAATAGTGTTCTGTCTTTGTTTTCAGTGACTAGTCAGGATGAAGAGTAGCTATTAGACACAGTACCAGGATGGCCACTCCTCTCCCCTTCCATGCAGTGTACCTGTCACTGGCTTGACCTTCTGGACGTTCATCTTGTGGATGAACTGCTGCCTTATCTGCTTAGCGAACCGGGCGGGGTTGTCCCATGGGATGTTGAAATTCTCACCATCTGTCTGACTGTCCACCTTGGCGGGCTTGAGCTGTCCTGTTTCGTCTACCTCTGAGAGCTTCAGACTCTCAAAAGTAAACACCTTGAAGGCTCGTTCTACTTCATTCCAGCTCAGCACTTCTGCAAGAGAGCAGGCCCCCTGCCTTGAGGAAGGCTTTCATTAGTACACAATACAGCATTAACACAAGGGCAGCTGAGAGGTGCCAATGGTTCATGGCGCCATGGGTGTGACCTGACTTAAAATACAGGCTTTGTAAGTCTTCAACAAATCTCAACAGGCCCGAGCACTAAGACAATCATAGTTAAGATGTAACAGATCTGAGGGATACTCCCAAAAACCTTCATGGCTTGATCAGTGTTTGGTGCCCATATCCACTTGCCCGAACTTTCCATGATATTGGATTGGTTTAAATGCCATATATTTAAGTTAGCACAGATGTGCTGCAGGAGCTTCTTCCGCTCCTTCAGCCAATAGACTTTAAGATACCAGCCCACTTGGGCGTGGTCTTTTTTGCTTTAAAAAGCAGCGGTAGCCCTGATCTCGCTCTCTTGCTTCTGGCTCCCACTTCCAGCTGCTAGACTCTGTTCCTGTTTGCTCAGAGGGCTGTTGTCTAGGACAGTGATCTGTAAGTTTTCCCCTTAAATAAATAACCCTTTTATTAATCATAATTCCAAACTGGTGTGGGATTGTTTTGTGACTTCTGCATTCACAGATGGCTTTTGAAATTTGTCATTTATGTCTATGATACTTAGAAGGTTTTCCTGCTCATAAAGGGTCATAAAAAGACACCTGTAAGAACTGCTACTTTCTGTGCTTGCACTTCCAAGTCTATCAGAGCTCAGTCATCTCTATTCAGCTGTGGCCATCATATAGTCACTAAGCTACCAGCGACATTCAGCTCTGCTGCAGGTGCCTAAGAGTCAAAGAAGAACATCATGCAGTTCTTCAGCTTTCAAAGTTCAAGATGGAGAATTGAGAGATGGAGACTAACAGGCTTCAATAAGATTACAAGACAATAGCAATCAGGTAGATTGTTCCAGATTAATGCCTCCTAGATCACCTTCAACTCCCCCTCCCACACCCCACAGAGACAAACAGAACAGCATGGGAAAACAATATAGGGATCCAGAAGAGACACAAGAAAGATGTAAAATAGAGTTACTGAATGAATACTCTTTGATCTAGGCTTTGTAGTTCACACCTATAATCCAAGCACTTAGGAGGCTGAGGCAGGAGGATTGTCATGCATTTTAGACCAGTCTGGAATTTATCTCAAAAACAGAAAAATGAAAATAATAATAATAAATAAATACATTTTTGAGTACCCACCGGGTGTTAGTAATGATACCAAGTGAAGATTAATGAATAAGGAAATAGTCTCATAACTGTCACAGAACACCACTAGAGGGGTTGAAAACAGACTCAGCTACGGAATATTAGTTGAAGATGTCTCCCATCCACTTATGCTGTGGAATATTTACTCAATGAGGCAAATATGTATTGCAGTCTTTTATACTGCATTTCTTTAACTCTGTAAAACTTTGCCTGTCTAAAACACTTGATTGGTCTAATAAGGAGCTGAATGGCCAATAGGTAGGCAAGTGAAAGGACAGGTGGGGCTGGCATGCAGAGAGAATAAATAGGAGGAGAAATCTAGAGAAGAGAGAAGAAAGAGAAGGAGGAGCAAGAAAAGGAAAAGGAGAAGTGGACACCAGGGGTCAGCCACCCAGCCAGCCACCCAGTCAGCCAAGGAGTAAGAAGGAAAGATGTATAAAATAAAGACAGGTAAAAAGCCCAAAGGCAAAACAAAAAAGAAAAGGAACAGGATAATTTAAGTTAGAAAAGTTGGCTAGAAAGAAGCCCAGCTAAGGCTGATTATTCATAAGTAAGAATAAGTCTCTGTGTCTTTACTTGGGAGCTGGGTGGCAGACCCCCATAGAATAAAAACAGAAAAAAAAAACCAGAAAAAAACCTACACACATGTATGTGACAGCATGGATGATAAGAAAGAAATCCATTGAGGACATCAGAAGTTAATGCAAAAAGACTGTGAGAGCAAAATTCTTCAGACAATAAAGCCAAAATGAAAACAGAGTGAAGGGACAGGTGACAAGAGGCTTCAGTTTGTATCAGAGTCCCAAGAGTAGTATGAGACGAGATGGGATTCTATGGGTGTGTGAGTATGTGTAAGACTTTTGATGTGATATTGAATTTGACTTGAAAATATGTTCTTCATGGGTTTAATATCTACATCCATTAGAAATATTGATTTATAACATCCTTTTCTTTAAAAAAATCTTTGAGAATTTCATACATGTGAACAATATGTTTTGATCTTTTCACCTCCCCCACTCATCTCTTCATCTTCTCTCCTCATCCCCTGGCCTCATGTAATAATGGTCCTTTATCCTGCCCTTCTTCCTCCCATGAGAAGAGGTCAGCTTGGCTCTACTCACTCTTGAGTGGCATGCTGACAAAGGGCTGTCTATCCATCACTCTACCCCCAGGACTAAAGTCAGTTATGGTTCAGGGAAGGCACATGAACTTTAACTGATATTTACCCTCCCTTCAGCTTGGTAAGGAAAGGGTGCCAGTGAGAGCATCCAGGGGCTAGAATTTCCACCATGAATCTATGCTATTATTTACAGTCCTAGAATGTTTGCACTATGTGGATTCTGAAGTTCATTTCAGTTAGGAGATTTAATGGTTGCATAATCTATCTTTCTCCACATTTCAGTTTCTGTGACTGGCAGTATAGTTCAGTGATAGAAAAACTGCCTAGCATTGGCTAAATCCTAGGTTCTATCATCAGTACTAAAAAAAGATGAGAAAGAAATTCAATTTCTGGATATAAATCCTGAATTCCATCTTGGTGACATTGGGCAGGGGTTTTTCATTGTCCCTCATCACACCATTTCTCCTTTCTTTTCCACCCGCCTGTGCGGGGGTGAGCTCACAGTCCACCAGATGGGTGCGCCAGTCAAATTCAGGTGACCCAGGCCTTCTATTTCTTGTCTTTGACAAATAACTGTGGAGTGACTCAAGGTAAAGAGACAGAAGGACACAATCTGCCACACACCAGTCCTCACTGAAGGGGTTTGGTTGTTCTGGAAAAAACAAAACTGCATTGTGAAGAGGGAGGAGGAACATTCCTGATTCTGAGGACAGCTCCCAAAATGCTTTGCAAGGCAAAGACATGTCCAGAGAACTGAACGTGGAATTTATATAAAGAATGCTGACAAGAGAGGCTGTATTTAAATGGCCTCCCACGATCTCTTCTCTTCTTTCTGACCCCAGCTATGCTGCAACTAGCCGGAAGGCCCTAGACTAACCACTTGACTGATTTAGCATACAATGATGGTCCAGATGTCCACTTCCTCTGTCAAATAGAGAGCAGAAACCCAGTTTCCCACTTAGGCAGAGTTCTTCCTCTTCGTTTCTCATGGAGGGGTGTAGTTACAAGGTTCCTGGGGACTTCCTTATCTACCACACAGAATCATTTAGTGATTGCATTTACACTGAAATATAATGCCTTTTATTATTAGCACAGACAGACTGATTGACAAGCACAAATATGTCCAGTCTATTGGTTCAGGCTTTGTAGAAGGATATTTCCTGGTGATGGTGGTACACCCCTGCAGAGGCAGGTGGATCTCTTTGAGTTCAAGGCCAGCCTGGTCTACAGAGAAAGTTCCAGGACAGCCAGGATTACACAAAGAAAATCCTGTCTTGAAACAAAGAAACAAACCAAAGAAGGAGAAGGAGGAGAAGAAAATGGAGAAGGAGAAGAAGAAGAAGAAGAAAAAGAAGAAGAATTCAAGTTTTGGCTGAGCACAATTCTAGAATTCAAAATTGACTTGTGTTGCTTGAAACTCGACTGTGAGACTCCAGACTGACAGTGATCAGTTGGGGCTAAGTCACCTCTTGCGCAGGCTTTCTCTTCCCTTTCCTCAGGTAACACCACTGTGTCTACATGGTTTTCTACAATGGTAAAGGCTTCATTCTATGATGAGGCCTTTTATTTTTATTTTTATTTTTCTGGGAAAGGGACTATAGTAACTTGGAATGAAAGGTTTTTGTTTATCTTTATATCTATATCTATTTATCACACACACACACACACACACACACACACACACACACACACACGTTCCTCCTAGTAAGTAGGATAGATTCCATCACCTCTAATGATGCCAGTGGGGGTGTAGGATATGGAGGTTCAGGAAAGTGCTGCGGTTAAGGAAATACAGTGGAAAGAAAACCCAACACACCAAATTGTAGAATGCTACAATCAGAACTGCCACATAGCTAGTGATATTGTTCAAGGCAAGAAAGTTGGAACTTATCAAACCTCAGCCTTTTGGTGACCAAAATGCTTTTTTAAAGGGGACATGTGACTATTAATTACATTGAGCCCAAGACAAAGCAGTGTGCTCACCATTGGTGCAGAAATGCATGAGCTCGTGGATAGTGGCGAGTCTCTTGGTGCTATTCCACGGAGGGGGCAGAGGGAACTGAAGGAATTCCCACAGTGGCAGCTTGGACTGCATCTCCTGCTCGATTTGAACTGGGTCAAAATTTTTTTGGTCCTTACAGAAAAAGAAAAGAGAGAGCAGCATGACAGAAAACATTAAAGAGAGCTGTCAAATGCCTTATGCATATGGAGAAGGCTAAACATGATACCTCATTATCTGGAAACAGGGGAAATCATGGGTAATCGAGGACGACAAATGTAGTATTTGGGACAAGGTCAAGAAAGCTAGTTCTTACTTTTCCAGAAGTTCCTGGAGCACACAAACAACCGAGCCTTCATTCCTAGTGACAAGCTGGCGAAGTTTCTCGTGGACTTATCTATCCCTCCTGAGGTCCTTCACTGGCATCCGTTGCTATTTCATAGCACCAGATATGTATCAAATGGCCATAATGGTTTTCAAGATTAATTTTTATTTATGTGTATGTGTGTATGTTTGCATGTAGATGCCACTGGAGGCCAGAAGAAAACCCCTGGAGCTGGAGTTATACACAGTTCTGAGCTTCTTCGCATGGGTTTTAGGAACTGAACCTGCGTCTGCTGGACCAGCATCGCACACTCTTAACTTCTACAGCATTTCTTCGGCACCTGACCATAAAGTTTTCATGCAGATATCATGGTGATAATCACATCAGTGGTTAACTCGAACTCTGAGATCAGGCAAGTGCTTTTTGCTGGTGTTTTTCTCCCCATCAACTCCTGCTTTCTGATCCCCTCCCCCATGTCAGCAGGTATCTATTCTATACCTACAGTTCATTAGCATTGGTTGATACGGTCAGTCATTCGATGAGATCCCCCAACTGATGAATCATAAAAACACCTCCTTACATCAGCTGTGGAGGGAGGTGGCCTAATCCTTACCTTCAGTACATACTTCTTGTGGGCATGGGCATCGTGGTAGTTCAGCAGGAGAGGGCCTTGGGGCGCTGCTTTGGTTTCACTTTCTCCTTCAGTTAGGAATATCTCATGGAGATACTATTTAAATTAAAGTCATAGCGACTTAATGAGATAATGCATAATACTGCTGTTCAAAGTCCAAAACCTTTGACTCCCTCCTATTCTGACCTTCTTCTCCTTCTCAGACAGGCAGAGCGAAGGCAGGATGGACACGATGTGAGCGGCAATTCTGTAGTCCAACCCGTCTGCTCTGTGGGGTGGCTCCACCAGACTTGGGGGGATGAGGTCTTCTTCAGTTGCCACAACCTATTGAGGAAGACAGTTGAGCATAGAGGGGCTAATAGTTCTTTGCTGATGCATTCCCAGTGCTCTTAGTGAGGAGGAGGAAGGTCCATTGAAATATCGGTGGTAATGACAGCATTGTGCCACTGATGACAAAAATAAAGGCGAAAACATTTGCAATCCATGCATTAGATATAATTGTACGACCTGCATTAAAATAGGTAATACCAGCTAGAAGTAGAAAGCAATAAACTTAACAGTAGTAAAAGTCACAATACTGATTTTTTTAAAGTACCCTTTCTTTCTTTCTTTCTTTCTTTCTTTCTTTCTTTCTTTCTTTCTTTCTCATAAGGCCCTGAAAACAGTGCTCATAAAACTTCAGATTGAATATATACTTAAACAGAGTGCTTACCACCTGCCAGGTACTATGTGATATCTGCACACACTTTAACTCCCATGAGCCCCACTTCTGCTATGTGGCATTTATATCATTTTCCATTGATAAAGAATAAAACAAAGGTGAGTGACTTAATTGTTCAATCTGACTCCACATATTTTAAACTGAGGAATAGGGAGTTCAGACCAAGTACTTGTTTTTTTTTTATTTCAGATATAGAAAAATGTAGGATAAGGAGATCAGTAATTGATAATAGTTACCTTTAATGTAGACAAAACAAGGTCTAGAAGGATTAAATGCCTTATTCAATTTTGTGTGGGTAGCAAGTAAAAGAAGTTGAAATATAACTAAACACCTAATGAAGACATCTGATGAGCTGTCTTCCTTTAGCCTTTAAATATTAGCATCATCGTTATAATTTTGCACTCTTCTATAAGGTTGACCAGTTTTGGCAGTAGTAGTAACATTCTAGACTGGTTATTTGGAATTTTTGGGGGGGCTGTCACCTTGCACACTGGAGTATTTAGTGGCATTCTCAAGTCTCTATGTGATGAAAGTGGCAGCCTTCTTGTTGTGTGATCCCATCTCCTCTACTCACTGCAAAGTGCCCACAGGGGAGAATAATAACTTCCTGTTGAGAATCACTGCTCAAGGAGAAAGTTTCTTTACCTCTGATAAATACCCAGTCTTTCAAAACTGGGTTTTTATTTCCTGGAAGATAAGAAGTAGCAACTTCGATGTTTGGTTTTCTCACCACCCCCCAAGCTATCAATTCTTTATTCATAAACACATATCTATATGGATCCTGTCAGTCAAGGGGCAAGATAGAGATAATCAGCCATCCTTCTGGTTAACTGGGGACAAGGTTGAGCTCATCAGTCATCCTTCTGGTTAACTGGGGGCAAGGTAGAGCTCATCAGCCATCCTTCTGGTTAATTGGAACTTAGTAGGTACTTACAGAATAGTCACCATTTTGGGCTGATTTTAATGAAATTGGAGAGTCTGGCAAATAAAGTCATGAGAATGCAAGGTTTAGATGATTTAGAGATTCAAGATTTTTTCAAATGCATTGACATAATAAAACCACTGGTATCACTAAAACCTTCCAAGGTAAAAGAAACTATTGGTGCTAACAGTCTAGAAAATGGAGTCAGTACACATAGAAAAATACCCTGGAGGTGACAGAGGTGATTGACTCTGAAAAAGACTTTAAAGGAAATCTTGTATAGGCACGAAGAGATGACACAATGGTTCAGATTCTGGCCTTCCAGAGGATCTGAGTTCAGTCCACAGCACTGAGATCTGGTGGCTCACAATTGCCTGGAACATCTGCTGCAGAGGATCTGACACCCTCTTCTGACCTCTGAGGACACACACCTACCCAGTGGTAGACATGTGCACCTAATTAAAAATAAACTCTTTTTTAAAAAGGAATGTTTTATGTCATGCGTGGTCATGTATGTGCCAGGGAAAGAACATCTGTGACCCAAGGACAAGAATAAGCCACTTTGGACTTACAAATTACAAATGTGAATGCTAAAACAGACTTGAATAGCAGAATAGGTCCCATGGAATAAAGAAACAGCAAGGAGTTAAGTTAGAAATCTCCACTTGAGAAAGTTGAAAGAAAATTTGAAGACAAGATGGAAAATCCTGAAGTTTCAACATCCATCTAAATAGCATTGAAGATAGAAGAGATTTCCTGAGGATTCACTCAGTGAGTTAGTAGCTCAGTGTCTTAGTTACGGTTACTATTTGTGTTATAAAACACCACGACCAAAAAAATTTGGGGGGAAAGGGTTTATTTAGCTATGCTTCTACATCACAGTTTATCATCAGAGGAAGTCAGGACAGGAACTCAAGCAAGGTGGGGACCTGGAGATAGGAGCTGATGCAGAAGCTATGGAGGGGTACTGTTTACTGGCTTGTTCATCATGATTTTTTCAGCCTGTTTTGTTATAGAACCCAGGACCACCAGCCTAGGGATGGCATCACCTACAATGGAACTGGGGCCTTCCCCATCACTCACTCATTAAGAAAATGTTATAAGCCCACTCCCTAGAGTCTGTTCCCTAAAACCCATTACACCACCAGTCCCTCCCATGCTAACCTGAGGCCAGGTCCTGCCCCAACCCCAGGAGATTCTTGCCACACCAGTCAGAGGAACAAAGACTCACTGCTGCCCCCAAAACCAAGCTAACCACCAGAAGCCCAGCTCCCACCTTGGACAGAGACTCCCTACTAGATCAGAGGTTGCACTGGTCACCAGAAATCCCGGTCACATAGACTAGAAGACCAAAGAGGAAACAGAAGCCAAGGAACAAAACACCCATTCAACAAAGACAAACTCAGAAATCAGGACCTAGACCCAATCATCCTAAATCTAGATTCCTAAAAACCAGAGTAAGAACAGAATCAACAACAGCCAGCACAATTTGGCACCACCAGAGCCCAGCTATCCTACAACAGTAAGTCCTGAATATTCCAACGCAGCTGAAGCATAAGAAAATGACCTTAAAAACAGCTTCATGAACATGATAGACATCCTTAAAGAGGAAATTAAAAACTCCCTTAAAGAAATTGAGGAAAAGACAACCAAGAAATTGGAGGAAATCAATAAATCCCTTAAAGAAAAACAAACAGGTGAAGGAAACTATTCAAGACCTGAAAATTTAAATAAAAGCAATAATGAAAACATAACTGAGGGAATTCTGGAAATAGAAAATCTATGTAAGTGAACAGGAACTACAGATGAAGATACAATAGAATTAATAGATTTATCAGTCAAAGAAAATATTAAATCTAAAAAACCTCTAACACAAAACATCCAGGAAACCTAGCACACTATGAAAAACCAAACATAAGAATGATAGGAACGGAAGAAGGAAAGAATCTCAGCTCAAAACCCAGAAAATATATTTAACAAAATCATAGAAGAAAATTTCCCTAACCTAAAGAAGGGCATACATATAAATGTACAAGAAGCATACAGAACATCAAATAGATTGGACCAACAAAGAAAATCCCCATGACACATAATAATCAAAACACTAAATACACAGAACAAGGAAAGAATCTTAAAATCTGCGAGGGAAAAATGCCAAGTAACATACAAAAGGTAGACCTATTAGAATTACATCCAACTTCTCAACAGAGACTCTAAAAGCTAGAAGGGCCTGGACAGATGTCTTGCAAATCATAAGAGAACACAAATGCCAGCCCAGACTACTATACCCAGCAGAATTTTAAATTATCATAGATGGAGAAAACAAAGATACTTCATGACAAAGTCAAATGTTAAACAATATGCACTCCTACAGAAGGTACTAGAAGGAAAATGCTAACCCAAGGAAGGTAACTACAACCACAAAAATAAACAGACAAAAGAAAATCTTACATGAATAAAATCCAAAGACAGGAAACACACACACACACACACACACACACACACACAGACACCTACCACCACCACCAAAATAATAGGAATTAACAATCACTGGTCATTAATATTTCTTCATATCAGTAGACTCATTTCCCCAAGGCAAGTAACGTGGTTCCTGCCTGTACCTCTGCCATGAATTTAGACTTTTGGAAATCAAGGAATGAGTGAAGCCAGCCACCAAACTGCAGCTTTAATCCTGGCCATGCTGTTTATCAGATTAAAGACTCATATAGTCAAAAAAGATAGAGATATACAGTAGAGACAGATTCAGATGAAAAAGAAATCTAAACAGTTTACACTGTATTTAAAAGTATACATAGGCTTTGAATAGAAAAGAATAGAGAGTCCTTAAATAAAAGAGAAATAGAGTAAGAAAAAAAAGCCATGTTAAGATGGAAAATACACAGAGAATCTGGATACTGTATGCGATTGTGTTGTCTTTGAATTGTTTGACTGCTGAGGAAGGAGCAACAGCTTTTGATGATAATACTGCTGGATTAATCCAACCTCTATATTTTGAAAATACCTTGGCTTCAAAATTTAAGTCAAAATATATGTTATTTGGAGAAGAGGTTTTGCTTTTGTTTCCACAGGGAATGAAAGGCTGTGGATTCATTCTGGGTTAAGAAAAATAAGGTTTGATCAAGGAAGAGCTCCTGAAAAATCTCTGATAGGAGCAGATGGCCCAGATGATTCTATGCTTTAGAGCACCTCTGTTGGAGTTTCCTCTGAGTTCTCCATCCAGAACAGCTTCAAGACTGCTGGCTGAGATGATCAAGCCTCACAGAATACTCCAGTCAGGACTTGACTATAATCCTAAATTTTCTTTGGGTTCCCATAAGATTATCAGCAGCTGCCAATCATCAGGAAATAGCCTGGAAAACTACATACATTCTCAAAAATGGATTATGGATGTTTATTTTTGTTTAGCCTGTTGGTTACAAGTTGTTATGGATAATGGTCAGGAAGAAAGCTAAACAAAGCAGATTAGATTCAGAGTCTTGTTTTGAAAAGAAAGAAGGGGAAATGCTGTGGGATAATGCTCTTGTTCACTAAAAAAAAAAAAAGATTTATCACTCATATTGGTTAAATAAAAGGCTGATTGGCCAGCAGCCAGGCAGGATATATAGGCAGGGCAGCCAGAGTAGGAGAATTCTGGGAAGAGGAAAGGCAGAGACGTAGTCACAAGCCAAATGCAGAGGAAGAAAGATGAGAATGCCTTACTGAGAAAAGGTACCAAGCTACGTGGCTAAACATAAGCAAGAATTATGAGTTAATTTAAGTTTTAAGAGCAAGCTAGCGATAAGCCTGAGCAATAGGTCAAATAGTTTATAATTAATATAAGTGTCCATGTTTTTCTTTGGAACTGAACAGCTGTGGGACCAGACAGGACAGAAATTTGTGCCCATAGCTCAGAAACACATTTTTTGGTACCTTTAAGGAATCTCATAACTTTTGATTTTGCTTAGAATTGTTATCGGAAGAATTTATAATCTCTTTATATCACATTAACAAATATAATAAACTACGGACATAACACTATTGTGGTTTGACATACTTTGTTCTCCAGGGTCATCTGTTAGCAGCTTGGTACTCAAGGTTGCAGTTTTGAGGTGCTGAGACCTTCAAGAGGTGGAACCTAGTGGTAAGTCAGCAGGGTGATTGATGGCCTTTGTTGTAGTTTGAAGGCCTGGCCTCTTCTTTGGGAAGGCTGGGGAGCCTTTGGGAAGATGGAACCTTGTTGGAAGAAGTGAGTTCCAGGAATGCAGCCAGTCCCACTTCCTGTTCACTCTCTGTTTTCTGGCTACAGATATTTGTGACCAGCAGCTTTGGATCCTGCCACCTTGCCTTCCTGGCCATGATGGCCTCAAGCTGTCACCCTCTCTCAAGTTGACAGTAGTGAGAGAAGTAATAAATACACCCTTGAAAATGGGTGGAGATGGTTTTCACGGGACAAACAAATGGGTTTCACTGTGGTGTTTTCCATATATCCATAGGCTGAGATTTGATCATGTATTGCCCTTCTCCCCTGACTTGTCCCTTTTCTCCCATCTCCTCCTGACTTCTGGGGCCATATAAAACCATCTTTCCCTTGACACAGGCTGGGGGTTACCAATTATAAGAAGAGATATTTAATAGTTGCTAGAAAGAATTATTTCTGTGCTCACATCAGTACCCAGCACTCTATAGCACCCGAGAGTGTCACCAAAATGTTTCTCCACTGAGCAAAGCCCTTTCCCACTGTTAACTGTCTAAACAAGCTACTCAATCCTCTTAAGCCTCAATTTGCATATTTGTAAAATGAGAAAACAAAGTATTTTATGCTTCATTTCATTGCTTTGTCTGTTGTCTGTTAGTGATGTGTGTATGGGCAGGGGGAAGAATATGTGTGTGCTTTTATTCAAATAGTCAAAAGAAATGACCATATACATCAGGTCAGAAAATTTTGTCTGGCTCACTTGAAGACCCATGTCAATAGTGTAATAAATCTTCATGAAATCATGTGTAAAAACAATATATGTCTTATTTAGAATTGAATACACTGAAAACATCTGTTTTAGTCTAAGAAATATAAGAGAAATATAGGCCCCAAATAAAAGAGTGAAATAAATGAAGTAAGATTTCTATTGAAAAGGAAGTACAAGCCACCCCCCCCCAAACAAACAGAAAAAAAAACAAATTAAGTAAAAAGGAGTTGGTCAACAAATATGTCTTTTTTTGACTAGACTAATCTAACAACCATGGTGTCAGGACCCTGATTGAGTAAAGAAGTGACATTGATAATCACACCAGACTCAGGAGTGTAACTGTTAGCGTCTTTGCTGTTGAGAAAGCATCTCTGGGAGCACTGAGCTTCCCCATAGCTTGGATTGTGGCCTAATGCTTCTGCCTACCAGCTGCTGGCTCTTTGAGAACACGTCGTCTCCTTTTCTGCACCAGCTTTTCCACCAGGCGGTGGACACTTTGCCCTCACTGTGTCATTGCCAATCATGCCACGTGCAGTGGAATTAAGACTTTGGACAAGCCTGTAAGTGACTACCATAAGGAACCTGACCCCCTACTGCAAAACCAAATAAACATTTTTGTGTAAAATACTAACAATGAAAACTGGCTTCAAATGTAGGGGGGAAACCCCATCCTGATTAAATCTAAAGGTCCAAAGGTTTTAAAGACAACCTGGAGAGATGGCTCAGCAGTAAAGAGTGCTTACTGCTCCTGCAGAGGACCCAGGTTTGGTTCCCGGCTCCCACGTCAGGCAGGTCTCAGCACCTGGAACGGCAGTTCTGAAGGACAGAAATCTCTGTTCTGGCCTCCCTCCACTGGTCCTGCACGCATGTAGTGCATATCAATACATGAAAGCATTCACACACGCACACACACATATTAAGGAAAAGACATTTAAAGACTGAAATCCATTATCTATGTTAGCCCCCATCTAGGTTCTTTTCCTCTTTCATCATGCTGTAATGAAAAACTGACCAAAAAACAAGGTGGAGAGAGTTCCTTTGGTTTTCAGGTCGCCGTCTACCATGCAGGGCAGCCAAGGCAGGAACGCATGCCAGGAACCTGTATGTAGGAACTGCAACAGGGATCTGAAGCTTACTGGCTTCATGACTCCCTCAGCTTGCTTTCCTATCACCGCCCACAGTGGGCCAGGCCCTTCGGCATCAATCTTGCTGTGCATACATGCTCACCGACAATTTGATGCAGGCAACGTTCTAATTCAGGGCCCCTCTTCCCAGGTGAATCTAGTGTGTGGCAAGCTGACCAAAGTTAGTCAGACCCTCTCCATCAAGACAATTTTAAGTATATATTCTACCAAAACTTTGGGAACTATTAACTGAGAGATAGAATGCAGCAAGGAAGAGGATTGGCACTGGCCATAAAAGCCGATTTTAGTCTTATCCGAAATACTGCGACTTAAGTGGGAACGCACCGGGTGTTCCGAGTAAAATGACAAAACCATGTTAAGATCTGGAAGTGAGGAGAGATAATTTAGTCAAGGTTGCTGTCAGGCCTGGGGGAAGCCTCAGCACCTACCCACCTGTTCCAGCATGCAGTGCAGTATCAGGGGCACAGAGACAAATTCCTCTGGGATTGGATTCAGCAGGTCATTGTAATAGCGCATGTCTACCTCAGTGGTGACGATGAAAGCCACTGTGAAGTGCAGAAAGTGACACGGCTTAGTAAGCATGCATCCTCTATTTCTTCCTGAGATTTTGGGTGTAGATTCCAACCAACTGTGGCTAGGCCCTAATCGGCATAGGAACTGTAGGTGGAGGGGCTGCTGGCAGCTACAGATGGGAGGGAGGGCAATGCGGAAGCCATATGGCTCTTCAGAGGCTGATTTCTCACGTGCCTGGGGGTGGGGGTGGGGGTGGCTCTTCATACTGCGCTTTCTTCTTGCCAGGGGCTGGAGCAGACGATGGAGGTTGAGGCTGAGAAAAAAAAAATGAGAAGAAGGGCTTTCACCAACTTATTTTCACACCACAGATCTGCCACCAGGATCCTAGAAAATGAGGATGTGGCAAAGCTAATCAGATGTGGATGGTAACCAGACATGGATGCTAACCAGCCCTGGTCTTGCTTTGAATTGTGATACTTTTTTGTAAACATCCCTGTCTTGGTTCATCTTGTCATCCCTTCTTCAGAATATTATTGTGCACCATTTCCCAGCAGATTTTCTTTTCTTTCTTTTTTTTAAAAAATATTTATTTATTTATTTTGTACAATATTGTGTCTGTGTGTATGCCTGCAGGCTAGAAGAGGGCACCAGACCTCATTACAGATGGTTGTGAGCCACCATGTGGTTGCTGGGAATTGAACTCAGGACCTTTGGAAGAGCAGACAATGCTCTTAACCTCTGAGCCATATCTCCAGCCCTCCCAGCAGATTTTCCACCAGACAATTCATGCTCAGTTTTTACCGTCTCTGCAACCTGGTTCCCTTCTCCCAACCCTTCCATTCTCCAACTCAGGGGCTGTCTTACTTAAGGTTTTCATTGGTGTGATGAAGTACCATGACCAAAAGCTACTTGGGAGTGGGAGTTTAACTTCATCTTATATTCTCAGGTTGCACAGTCCAGCACTGAGAAGTCAGGGCAGGAACAGAAGCAGCCGTCACGGAGGAACACATCTTACTGGCTTGCTCAGCTTCCTTTTTTTATATGTCTCAGGACCACCCAGGAATGACATTGCCCAAAGTGGGGCAGGCCCTTAAGTAGGCATCAGTCATTAATCAAGAAAATACTGTGCAGACTTACCGATAAACCAATTTAAGAGAGGCATTTTCTCCATTGAAATTACCTTTTCCTAGATGGATGGCTTATGCCAGGGTATCTCCCCCCAAAATAACATCTAAGTAGGGTATTTGACCCTTTGTCACCTTGACACACAAACACAACACTATTAAATAATAACCTTTCCTTTTTTGTTTACTCTGAGATCTCACATTAACACAATATCACAACACAAAACATTCAAACATTTTAAAAGTTCCAAGGCCTTTAAAAATTTTAAGACTCTAAAAGTTTAGTCTCTTCAAGAGTCCAGGGACTCTCGACTGTGGGGTCCTATAAAAATCAAACACAAGTTAAATACTTTTATGTTCAGGCCCAGCCACAACTAAGTAAAAGCAAGCCCAAACTTTATTAATGTAAAAAGCTCAATGTTTGATGTTTGGGGTCCAAAGAACCTGGGCATCTCGAAAGGTCCAGTGAACATTGTTCTTCCATGGCTTCCGCCTCAGTTCCTGCTGTGAGTTCCTGGCCTGACTTCCCCCAGTGACAGATTGTGACCTGAGGATTCTCAGATGAAACAAACATGTCTTCCCTAAGCTGCTTTTGGTCACAATGTTTTTTAACAGCAATAGAGACCCAACTAAGACAGCTCTAATGTCTATCATCTTGACTGCTCTCACCCTTTTCAGGCTGTGGTGGAACTGCTGATACTGCACGCCCCTTCCAAAGCTCACTTCAGGAAAGGTGGCTGGAAATGAGTCCTGTTCTGTGGCCAGGATCTTGCTGAGTGTGGACACTGCAAACACTGGGATTATTTTGCCACTATCCCCCTCATTCTGCATGCTACTCATGCATGCTGCGTTCACAGGAGGTTCTTTCTGTGTTTTCCTAGGTGTCAAGCAGTTGAGGATGTCTTAGGGTTTCTATTGCTGTGATGAAACACATAACCAAAGGCAAGCTGGGGAGGAGAGGGGTTATCTGGTTTACACTTCCACATCATAATCCATCATCAAAGGAAGTCAGAACAGGAACTCAAACAGGGTAGAAGGCAGGAGCTGATGCAGAGGCCATGGAAGGGTGTTATTGCTGGCTTGCTCCTCATGGCTTGCTCAGTTTGTTTTCTTATAGAACCCAGGACCACCAGCCCAGGGGTGGCAACACCAACAATGGGCTGGGCTCTCCCCATCGCTCACTAATTAAGAAAGTGCTGCACATGTGTGCCTACAGCTGGACCTTATGGAGGTACTTTTTCAATTGAGGTTCCCTCCTTTCAGATGACTCTAGCCTGTGTCAAATTGACATAAAAGTAGCCTGAACAAGGAGCTTCATAAAGATCTCAACATGAGGCTCTTCAGACTCTTAGCAGGGCTGGCTCCTGGCTCCTACCTTTGGGCCTCAGCACAACTAGCAGTAGTGGACTGACACAGGTCTCTACTGTAACTTTCTTCATATGCTATATGAATATGAGAATCAAGTCACTCACTCCATCCCATAGCCTAACACAGATACTGGAGCCCATGCCTGTAGCACAGATAATAAAAACCCAGCTCTCTAGCACTGGAATTAAAGGTGTGAGCCACCACCGCCTAGATTTGTTTCTGCATTGATCTTGTGTAGCCCAGGATGGCTTTGAACTCATAGAGATTCTTCCGCCTCTGTTTCCCAAATCCTGGGATTAAAAGTGTGTGCCATCACTGCCTGACCTCTAGAGGCTTAGCTTTGCCCCTGGTCTTCAGGCAAGATTTATTTATTAGAATACAAATAATATACCACTACACATGCCTACCTCTGGAATCGCTATGGCTTCTAACATGGTTTTCTCGCTGACCACTTGCGGGACGTTGATGAGCTGCATGCTTGTTAAATAGTGCTGGTGCTGCCTCTTCCAGTCTAGGCTGTCATACATCAGACAGGCAACATTTTCAAAGATCTCGGTGCCCAACTCGAGCTAGCCACGAGAGAATCAACGACAACCAACTCGTCATTTGTTTCGTGCTCTCAGAATAGACAGAATGTTTGTAACTTTCCAGAAAACTCTATTTCCTTTTTTCTATAGGCAATCAAGTCCCCCAAATCCCCAAACCCTGGATTCCAGCATTGGTGATAGAGACTCTATGCATGAACTCTTCAAGCCCTTTTTGTTCAGCACAGAGGTTCTGACGCTGCCCAATACTGAGGCTAACTGAGGTTTCAGTGCAGTGGAAGGCAACCTCTTTACTACAGAGTGTTCCAGATGCTAGGGGTTTCGAATCCCAAAGATATTAGAATATTTTGACTTTGGTAGCTGAAGACAAGTAGACAAGCAGCTGGTGATTCTTTGCCTTCCTATGCAAGAACTGAACCGAGCATAATGGAGTCCCTCATTTGGTTTTGTGTATCGCCTGGGTCCAATGCAGTCTGTGTTTGACCAAGTTTCTCTCTTTCCTCCCTTTTTTTTTTCTGAGCTGGCTTTCCTCTACAGTCCTGTTAGCAAAAAGCTCAAAGAAACTGCTCAAATAACTTCTTCTACAGTGTCCACAATTTTTATGAACTGGCAAGCCAATTAGAGATCTGCTATGGTTATTACTTAAGCTTTCATTTCCTGGAGTAGGAAAATTCTGGGGTGGCCGTGTCTCCTTGGAAGCATAGAAGCAATAAGTAGGCCGACCCTACATCTGAGTTGAAGAGGTCAGATAGAGCGGAAAGCTTTCTCTGTGGGGCCAGTGACTCATAGACTGGCAGCCATTCAGGGAAACGCTTGGCTCTGTCCATCACAGCGCACCTGACTGTTCCTTCGCACATTCGCATCAAGACTGATGAGTTTTCAGTTGACCTTCAACCAGGTATCCTGCGCCTATCCATATGCTGGCGCAGAAAGACAGTTTGCATTTTTATAGCCAAAGGAAACAGCAGTAACGATCCTACCCGTGACGTGTTAGCACAACCTACGTAATTCATTTTACAATTCATTGGTAAATGATATGCTAAAGTCTGGCAAATTGTTTCAGCAAGCAGTGGTTATCTTGAGATGGCTCAGATGTCTTCTGTGAGCTCTTAGATCATCTTGACTGGCATTTACTTGATGTAAAACTTTCTTTTTATTTATTTACTTATTAAAGATTTCTGTCTCTTCCCTGCCACCGCCTCCCATTTCCCTCCCCCTCCCCTAATCAAGTCCCCCTCCCTCGTCAGCCCAAAGAGCAATCAGGGTTCCCTGCCCTGTGGGAAGTCCAAGGACCTCCCACCTCCATCCAGGTCTAGTAAGGTGAGCATCCAAACTGCCTAGGCTCCCACAAAGCCAGTACGTGCAGTAGGATCAAAAACCCATTGCCATTGTTCTTGAGTTCTCAGTAGTCCTCATTGTCTGCTATATTCAGCGAGTCCGGTTTTATCCCAGGCTTTTTCATACCCAGGCCAGCTGGCCTTGGTGAGTTCCCAATAGAACATCCCCATTGTCTCAGTGTGTGGGTGTACCCCTCGCTGTCCTGAGTTCCTTGCTCATGCTCTCTCTCCTTCTGTTCCTGATTAAACAATACGTAGCCACAAATCCAGCCCTACAGAAAGTAATAGAAGGAAAATTGCAACCCAAAAAATCCAACATTGCCAACACTGCCTACAATAACTCAGGCATCTAGCGACCCTTCACGAGCACATCTCAAAGATGGGAGGCACACAAACTCTACTACCAAAAACAAGAATAACTGGAGTAAACAACCACTGGTCGTTAATATTACTTAATATTAATGGGCTCAATTCACCTATAAAAAGGCACAGGCTAAAACTTTCATTACCTTAGTTCAGCACAAGTTCAACCTGCTTGTGTGAGCCAAAGGGTGAAAACACTTTCCTCCACACAAGGAGGAGGAAAGACCCACTGCTGGTTCCTAGAGCAGAGATGAGTTCATCAACCACTCACAGATAAGCGTGCACTGTCATGGATCTAGCCTGTGTCTAAGAAGCAGCCTTATCACTTTTAGGCTATTAAGTGATCCTGAGTTTAAAAGGGACCGTAACATTCAATATTAAACCACAGGTTTATTATTGACTTAATATTTAATATTCCCCTTCTCCTGGAATTCAATTTTACTGCTGAGTCATTTTTGAGGTAGACCTTTTTCATCATCTTCAGTGATGGACCTTCCACTCAGAGAGACACGCTTAAGCTGGGGTTACTTCAGCTGGGTACCAACCAAGCCCCAGCATGAAGATGCTCAACAGTTCCTACAAATGGAGCAACAGAAGATCAGAGGGACCAGCTGGGCATCACAGTCTGGGAGTCTTTGGGAGAGCTGAATGTTTTCTAGGCCCAGTTGGACACAATAAACATTAATATAGGAATGTTAATTAATTAATTAAGGAATGCTCTACTGTAACTAGCATTTAAAGCAATATTTTTCACATAAGATAGTTTTTTGGAAGCTAAATTATCATGTGAAGTTTCTACTCTATATTTGCTAAGATGTTAAGTATAGCCGTGGCTCCTTTCTTTAAAGGGGAATGAGCGTGCCATCAAGGGCGCATCTTTCCATGCCATGCTCTGAAGTGCTAGGAGGATCCCCTTGCAGAATATACAGAGCTCCCAAATGGCACCTGTGTGGCAGAGCCACTCACCGAAAGCCACATTGGAGCAGCATTCTCCCCTCTAGCCACCACAAATCACTGCCCTGGTAGTTTCATCTCAAGTTGACCCTGGTTTAAAGACATTTCTGCACACACCTTTCCTATCCCTCTGCTGCTCACAGACATGTTGCAATCAAGGTGACACATGTCCACCATTCACAAATTCAAATAATAATATAAATTCGGTGACTTTAATAAAAAATAATGCATGTGGCCCAAATTCTTAGCAAACAGAAAAATCACTGTGTATGCCTTGTTACATTTTATTAACAAAGTAAATTACTTAAAGGTCAATAAAATGGTATGTCTTCTAATGAACGGGAAGCTGTGGTCATGGGGGTAGAAGCAGGATGCTTTGATCACTGAAGTGGTGATCCTAGCATTTGTGCTTACCTGATGCTGCAATGGCCTGCCCTCTATTTGGCACATAAAACCTATTGTCTTATACCATATGCCCCTGAAGGCTAAAGAAGAGCCATGGGAAGCACACTCACTTGTGAAGGTACAGCAGGTACTTGGTTTGAGGATGTTTTAGTATCTTCCTGGGAATTATACTTCGGAAATTACATAAAGGGCTTTCCTATGCCATTCAGAACAAAAATAAATGCAAGCGCTCTCTCTCTCTCTCTCTCTCTCTCTCTCTCTCTCTCTCTTTCTCTGTGTGTGTGTGTATGTGTGCATATGCATGTGCATATGGGTTCACAAGGCTACATTGCATGTTGGGAGTCCAGAGGTTGACACTGGGTGTCTTCCTCAGATGTTTTTCACCTTGTTATTTGAGATGGGGTCTCTCACTGGAGCTCACTGATTGGCTAGTCTGGCTAGCCAGGGTACTTTAAGGTTCAGCCTATCTCTGTCCAATCTGGTATGTTCACTGGTGTCGACCTTGTTCAGCTCACATTTGGACAGTTGTGTTGGTGAGACTGACTTCATGTCTGTGGCTTTTAATATTGCTAGAAGATGTAGTCTCACGGGGAATTTCTTATCCTCTGGCTCTTACTGGATCCCTTCCCCTCTTCTGTGCTGTTGCCTGAGCCTGGGGCATGGGTGTGCTTTGGAGATGTATCTGTTGTGACTGGGCTCGACAACTCTGCATTTTGGTTGCAGTTTTCTGTAGTGGTCTCAGCCTGCAGCCTCTCCTCTTAATGTTTTCACTTCTTTTACTGGGTGCCCGCAGTAAAAGATAGGCAATAGGATCAGGGCTTCATTGTATGACTGGCCCTCGGCTTAGAAGAAGCAGCTCTCTCTGTCTTCTTGGTCAGCGTCCTTTCCCTTCCCTTCCCTTCCCTTCCCTTCCCTTCCCTTCCCTTCCCTTCCCTTCCCTTCCCTCCCCTCCCCTCCCCTCCCCTCCCCTCCCCTCTCCTCCCCTCCCCTCCTTTCCCCTTCCCTTCTTCCCTTCCCTTCTATTCCATTTTCCATCTCCCTCTACCACCCCCATTTCCTCTTTCTCCTTTTATCTTTTTTTCTTTCCTCACTTCTCCTTCCCTTCCCCTTCCCTCTTCTCCCACTTTCCCCCATTCCCCCCTCTCATTTCCTCTCTTTAGCTGTACATAGTCTCTTTACAAGTATGCTCTCTCCATTCAGCCCTGCCTAGACCCTTTTCAGAAGACCCCCCAATGGTTGTAGTTTATCCACAGGCTCTGCTGCAGGCTCAGCTCTCTTGATGCTAAAATGTATATCTTGCAAGGGATTAACAAATAAGACAATAAAACATAAAAATTGCTATCATTATAGTAATGCATGCTCACACTTTACTTATTACTTAGATCATTACTGAAGCATAACCCAGAGCCGAGTGTCATTAAATCAAAGAATTACCATCCGCTATATCTTATCATTAATCCATAGACCATAAGCTACAGAATCAGGGTATGTCCCACAGTGGCCCAGGGTCACTATCATTGGGCCAAAGATGAGGCAGCCCAATGAAAGGCACTGTTCCCAGCTGTGATTCCAGCTGTGGACTGAGGGACAGCGTGGACCACCACACACTCTTACTGTCCCGTGTACTCACCATCATCTCATTGTCTGACCAGTCAGAAGGAAAATGCGCCACACCGACCATGTAATGGAGCCGAGCAACATCAAAGAGATTGGTTTCAGGCTTCTCGTTGTTCAGGATTGGTTCCAAGTACTTCCAGAAAATTTCAAGTTCTTTAATGGTTTTTTCTCTCTTCAGTTTTTCGGCTTCTATATCTAATAATAGCAAAGTGGTTTACGATGGGATGAGGGTATCGAATTTCTCCCCACTTTGTCTTGATGTTGTGAGCCAAATGTACTGAGAGGCATCTGTAAAGCGTCAGCGAGGTGCAAATACAGAACCACAACTTTGAGAAGTTTTGGAAGTGGGAAGACACAACTATACAACCAAAGAAGTGTGCTGTGTGAGCTCATCTCTGTCCTCCATCGCTCAGCACAGGGGCGGCCCAGAGAGGTTGTGATGAGGTCATACATTTCAGGAGCTGAGGATGCTCAAGGTACCTCTCGACCTGCTATTGTACCTGCATAGAGCCAGGCTTCCCTCCCAATTGTGCATTCACATACTTGTACTTGCTGTATAACACATTAAAAAGCTGAAGTAGACCCACCTATCACAGGCCCACAGCCAGACTGGGTGAGGGCGATTTATGCTTTCATTAGTTTTCAGCAATATTACAGTGGCTACATCTTTTCTGGGTATTTGCCCCCTGACTGTCAAGTGACAGTGGATTTACATAAAGTTAGACTTGAAAACTTACCTGATATATTTATATTTTCTACATCTCTAATTAAAGAGTTGGGTCTACTTCTATGACCTCATCATTCTATGGTAAAACCTAATATTATTTTATTATAAATTTTTTTGAGACAGAGTTTCACTTTAACCTAGGCTAGCCTGTCACAATTCAGATTTTAAGCTGTACTACAGAGTTGTAATAATAAAACCAGCACAATATTGCCATAAAAATAGGCATGTTGATTGATGGAATTTAATTGAAGATACAGACATAGGTTCACACACCTCTGGAAACCTGACAAAGAAGCCAGAAATACACGCTGAAAAAAAAAAAAGACATCTTCAGCAAGTGATGCTGGTCAAGCTGGATGGCTACATATAAAAGAATACAAATATATCTATACTTATCACCTTGCAAAACAAACAAAACAAAAACCAACTAAAAATGGATCAAGGGCATCAATGTAAGTTCAGACACACCGAGTCTTAAAGATGAGAGAGTGGGGATAGTCTTGAGTTCATTGGCAAAGGAAAGGACTTGCTGAACAGGATACCAATAGCACAGGCACCAAAAACAATAATTAATAAATGGGGCCTCATGAAACTGAAAAGCTTCTGTAGAGAAAAGGACGAATCATTCAGGAAAAGCGACAACCTACAGGATGGGATGAAATCTTTACTAATTATATATTTGATAGAGGTTAGTATTCAAAAATATATGAAGAACTAAAAAACCCTGAACATTAAGAAAATTTAAAAATCCAATTAAGAATTGGCTACAGAACTAAGCAGAGCATTTTCAAAAGATGAAACACAAATGGTTGAGAAACATGGAAATAAATATTCTTACCCATTAAGGAAATGCAAATTAAACAGTTTGAGATTTCACCTTACACTGGTTAGAATGGCCAAGATCGATCGATCAATCAATCAATAACAGCACATGCTGGCAAGGATGCAGGGAAAGAGGAACATTTCTTTATTGCTGGAGGGACTGAAAACTTGTACAGTCACTATGGAAATCAATGTGGTATTTTCTGAGGAAGCTGGGAATAGATAGCCCTCAGGATCCAGCTATACCATACCTCTTGGCCATATACCCAAAGGAGTTTACCTCCTACAGAAATAGATACTTTGGTCATTCATGTTTATGGCTGCTCTAATTATCATAACCAGAAATTGAAAACAGCCTAGATGTCTATCAACAGTTGAATGGATAATGACATGTGGTATATTTACACAGTGGAATATTATTCAGCTGTTAAGAAAATTAAATTATGAAAATTTCAGGTAAATGGGTAGAGCTAGAAAAAAATCATCCTCAGTGAGGTAATTAAGATCCAAAAAGACAAATATTATATACTTTCTCTTATATGTGGATGTCAGCTTTTTAGCCTTTTACATGTATGTACAACATGAATAACCAACCACAGAGGTTAGGTGGTTAATTCTCTAGTAAAGGACTGGTGGCGGGGGACAGCATCTTTCAAGAAAGGGGAAAGAGAATAAAATGTAGAGACAATTGAGAAACTAGAATAGGAATAGTAAATAGGGAGGGGGATGGGAAAGAAGGATAAAAGAGGGACTATAGGACCAACAGCTAACACCAAAGGGCATTTGGAAATTTACTTTCAGAGAAACTTCCTAAGAATTATATAAATTATATAAAAGGAATCCAAATAGAGTCACCAAATAATATGGAAGACGATGTCCCCATTGGACATCTTATGCCGCCAAGTAAAGGCAAGTGATAGGAATGGGCTATGTCCTTCTGAGTGATTGACCAAAAGCTAACCACCAAAAATCACAAGCTATTGCCAATGTTATTAGTTACTCTCTATAACCTACTGCTGAAAAGAATACTTACATATGTCATCAATCATGGAACAGTTGAGTGGTGCCTAACTGGAAGTTTCACCCCTACTGACTAATGTTCATGGTACTAGAATGTATTCTCTAGGCTACACGAAGAGAAAGGCAACCATCAGTATCATCCGGCTACAAATCATGTGACTTACAACAGTGACCTGCCTGCAAGACATACTTGTGCAATAGTGTCACACAGGCTATGGCAGTAATCAATCACGTTCTAGTTAGATTTATGGCCTAATCCAAGAGATGGAACCTATGCATGACATTGCTCAAGTATGTCATGAGCATAATCTTAACACTATTATTCTGATAAAGGAATGCAGCAATAAATCGACTCTGCGTGACATTTCTGCTGTTCCCATAGCTCAGTGCCTTGCAGTAGATGCGAACTAGTACAGAGACTCACAACGGGACAATGTGAAAAGAATGAGAAGCTTTGAATTACTCGGTACTGAATGAGATGTTTTCATCAAAGCTCTCCCCTCAAGGTACAGGGATCCATGCAGGATAATAAGAAGAAAGACTAAGAGGTAGAGGAAATGAGTAGCTCCAAGGGAGTAGAATCTTCCAGACACAGCAAGACTGAAGCGCTCATGGATACTGTGGCAGCATGCGCAAGACTTGAAGAGGTTTAAGCCAGGCAGGGTCCCAGTACTGAGATGGGGAAGCAGACACAGGGTCCCACCCCTAACAAAGAAGTTATCTATACCAACTGATAAAAGAAAACTCAACTGTCTCTTACAGGGTATATTAATCACACTTCACAGTAAACCCCATTCTTTGAAGAAGTTGGCCAACACAAAACTAGCTTAACAGTATTTTTTTAAAAATATTTATTTATTTATTTATTTATTATGTATACAATATTCTGTTTGTGTGTATGCTTGCAGGCCAGAAGAGGGCACCAGACCCCATTACAGATGGTTGTGAGCCACCATGTGGGTAGCTGGGAATTGAACTCAGGACCTTTAGAAGAGCAGGCAATGCTCTTAACCTCTGAGCCATCTCTCCAGCCTCTCTACAGTATTTCTGTAGACTTTTTGTCTCATTTTACATTTGGGGGTGCTTTTTTTTATCTTATTAGTTTCTTGTTTTTATATTTTCATTTTTGTTTTTAGAGTTTTTGTGTGTATATTTTTGTTTTATGTCTGCATTTTTTAAAGATAGAATAAAAGAACAAGTTGGATGAATGGAGAGGTTGGGGGGATCTTTAATAAGTTAGGGGAGGGAAAGTCTTATAATATATTGTTTGAATTTTTCAATTAAAAAAGACACACTTCTTTAGAATATTGTGAAAAGTATAAATCAGTGTATTTAGACCTCTCAGTATTGAGTTGAGCCTCCAAGTTACATACTCAATAAATAGTAACTATTATTATTATCAAAGGTAGAGTGATTTCTAGCTTTGAGGAAAAAAAGGAAGAAAATCGTTATGTGGCTGTGTAAGTTAAAAAGCATAATGAAAATATCGATATATTAAATATATACATTGCAAGTAATATGGGCAGTGGGAATAACTTGGCTCCTGGAATCACAGATCTACATTGATTCTCAAAGCTGTCACCTGAAGGGTACAGCAGCTTCCTGCTTCTCTCCCATAGAGGTGATGTAACACAATTCCCTAACATGAAAACCCCAAGGCTCAAAATGACTGAACAGTAGTGTGTCTGGAACTTGGCCCCATTAATTTTCCAGTTTAAATCAGGAAGAAAGAATGACTCATCTGATTTTTATTATGAATAGTTAGTAATACATGTAGAATTGCTAACATGTAGAATCCACCTAGAGAGATGGCTCAGCAGTTAAGAACACTTATTGTTCTTCCAGAAAACCTGAGTTTTGTTCCTAGTAATGTGTCAGGTGGTTCATAGCCACTTATAACACCAAAGACCCAATACCCTCTTCTGTCCCCATGGACACACACACACACACACACACCCATCTGTGTGACCTTTCCTGGGGCTATTTGGTGACTACACCATTTGGAAGAGAAGAGTCTCAACAGAGATTCATCCAGCCCAAGCTTTGGCTAAACATTACGGGTCAAAAGTTACTGAGAAACACAGTTATGTAAGCATCACTTGCTCTCAGCTAAAGGCTGAGAAGCCCCAGTTGTGTAACCAAGTCTTCTGACCTGCAAGCCGTGCTTTCTGTGACTACAAAGGGATACAAACACAGAGTATGAATTTAGTTTGCCAAATTTATGACTCTTGGCTAATACAAGCAGAATAAATAGCAAATCAGTCTTGAAAGGATTTAATAATGTGTGTATTTTATGGCCATGTTTTGGATAGCAGACTGCAATTGGGCTTGGTGGGCAGAGGGTAACATTGGTGGACCCGTGAGTTGTATAGCCAGCTACATACCTTCGGGCTGAAGGACACCTTCCTGCTGCTGGCTGACTGCGGCCAGGTGGTTCTGCAGTGGTTCATAGTTCTCTGAAGATATTTTAATCACACTGTCTATAGAAATGCCAAGCTCAGTCATAATGGCTAATATTTGAGGATTGTTGAAACCCACGACAATAATATAATGCTGGGCACCGTCATCTGGCTCATCATCTGTTGGAAATACCATAAAGAAGGTCAGCGATCATTGCTAGATAGAACAGGTTGTCCCCAGGCAAATCAATGCTGATACACATTATGCATGCATTTGTAATCCCTCTGGCTTGCCAAGACCCAGCCAGTTGGCTGGAAGGCAGGCCTGTTGACTGTTTTTCATTATTGCCTTTCCAGTAAAGCGACTGTGGCCATTTTACAATATACTAAATCATGTTTGTAAATTAGACATCGGCATATTGGGCGGGCCAACATACATGGGGCCTGTGGCCATGGAAAATGGGGCTTGGGCTCTTGTCAGAGTTTAGCGTTTAAGTAGTCCCTTTTGGTTCTAATATCTTTGGAGCAATATTGGCTTGACTCCTGAATTACAAGTAGCTACAGCTTTCTGGGACTTTATAAGCAGAGGTGTTTACAGGCTAAGGAAGTATTGTGGATGTGCTTGGTAGCACAGCCCTGAAAGAATTCATGTCAGCATAGTGAGAACCCTGTGCATCAGATGGGAGGCAGCTATTCATTGTATTTCATATTTAAAAATACATAGTGCACATTTTCTTAAGAGTTCTCTCCTTATGAATATTAAGACATGACCATCTGGTAGAGAATGATACTCTGGGGGTGAGAATCGTCGTCTCACTTTAGTGCTGACTGTGCATGATACATAAAGGTCTGACATTGTACAGGATAGCACAGTGAGGCCAACGTACATGCCATACAACAGATGCTCAAGCTTTCATTGTTAAGGAATTATATCTCCCAACCACAAAAGTGATCACCATTGCTATTGTCCATGGTGTGCACAGCATCATTGTTTCTGGGTGTGCTATCTTTAGAGCAGAGCTACATGGGAAGAGACAACTGAGAAAGGATGCAAAAGGAAGTCTGCTTCTCTTCATTAAAACACAGTAAAGATCAAAACTGCTGAAAAAACGGAAGTCTACTAAATACAAATAAACAAATAAAGCAAAGGTAGCAACAGGTCGTTCTGTGTGGACTCAAAGAGAACCAGCAATGGGTCACTAGTAACTCCTGAGTATGACTCATTTTTGCATCCATTATTTAAGATGGAAGGAAGTTTTATTTGATTTGGTGGAGACAGAAAGATGGTGGGAAAAGTGTGAGTTAAGAATCTGTGCTCCGCATGCATCTCAAATTATTAGATTTGATTTCCACTATCTCTTGCATGAATCAAATTTATCATACTTATCTCTGTGTGTGTGTCACAGTCATGCATGGGTGTGCCATAATATGTCTGAGGAGGCCAGGGGACAACTTGTGGAAGTTGGTTCTGTCCTTCCACTAAGAGAAGCCTGGGGATGGTGCTCACATGGTCAGGTCTGGGCAGCTTTCCTCATGGAGCCATCTTGCTGGATCCTTTTCACTTTGCCTATAACTACACTTGACCTTCTAATATACTCTCAACAAGACAGCAAGCTTCCTGATGGTCCAATTTCCTGCCATTTCATTCTTTGTTTTTGTGATGCAAGCATACCCATGGAGATACATGCTAAATAAACACTTGCTAAAATCACACATACATTGCAAAATAGAAATATTTTTCAATCTGCTTGTCATAGAGTGTAAGTTATTTGTGACTTTATAGTAAACGAAAAGGCTAGGAATGATGGAGTATAATTATTGGGGTGGCTGCTGAAGCCACATCCTGATACATAAAGCAAGAGGTGAAAGACACCACCCACTGACCAATGTAGGATTTGATGTCGTCTTCCTCCCCCCTCCGTTTCAACTGGGTGGTCTTCTTCACTGCTGCAGCAGCCTCGGGCTGGTCCTTTCCCTTTCCTTTTCCAGCTTTGGCACTGGGGGCCTTCTTCTCTTTGGGAGACTTCACTTTGCCTTTTTCCTTTTCCGACTTTGCCCTTTCTTCTATCATCTGGAATGAGAGATCACATTCTGACCCTCCAAGTCATCTTGTGGACAAGCAACAGTTTCCGTGAAGTCAGCCAAAGTCACCCTCTAATTCACATCATCAAAGCAATCCTTTATTTGACTGCATACTTGCTATCATCTCTCATTTGTTCATCGTGAAAGTCAGGACAGTGGAGACTCCAGCTTGAATTGAAGTTGTGATGGGCACAACTGTGGAGGGCAGTGAGGGGCAGGTATGGGGGTGGGAGAGGGTACCAGCAGGTTGTTTAAGAGAATAGCCTGTGGGAGAGATTCACCTGAAGGAGTCTCTCAAACACTCAATTGTGTGTTTGTGCTGGAGAAGGATAGGGCAGAGTGGTAGTGGGGAGGGAAGCAGAATACTCTGGTGTCAGGGACTCAAGTTTGTCTCTTAGCCCAACTCTGGAGAGCACCTATCATTTTGAGAAAACAAACAAACTAAACAAACCAGCCTGGGGAAACAAAGAACAGGCTTCCTAAAAACTCCTTGCTGATATTTTTCATGTTGGCTATTTTTGAAGGTTAAATGGTCTTTGGAGATCTTAGCACTGAGAAATTCTCTTTTTTATAATTCTACTTAAAAGCATACAGTCCCAATTGTTATATGAAACACAGAAAGGGGATCCACAGAGGCCACTAGTCACCCAAGTTCTTCATAGATTGCTCCAGGGCATGCTTCGTTCGTATATCCACAGGAAGATCTAATATTTACCCTCTCCCTTCAAAATTCCCCTCAAACGTTGCATACGATTTCACAGGGTAATTGTGCCTGTATTTATAAGCTTGAAATATTTATTCTCACTAAAATGATACCGGTTCCAAGAGGAGGACTTTACAGAAGATTTACACTATGTGGATCTTATCATGTTTTTCCTTATGCAACAGCACGAGGACAAAGGGTGATAAAATATTGTACCACTACTTTGGGCTTTGACATTCATTTCTTATGGTCATAAAACTAACTTGAAAACTTGGTGTAGGAGGCCGGTCTTTATTTGTGTTGCTTTCATTGGTTATCAAAGAGACTGCCTTGGCCTTTTGATAGGGCAACCCTTAGGTGGGCAGAGTAGACAGAACAGAGTTCTGGGAGGAAGAAAGCAGAGATAGGCAGACCCCATGGCTCTCCTTCCCGAGATGGATGCTGGTTAGACTCATGCCGGTAAGCCACAGTCAAGTGGCGATACACATTAATGGAGATGGGTTAAACTAATTTGTGAGAGTTAGCCAATAAGGGGCTGGAGATAATGGGCCAGGCAGTATTTCAATGAATACAGTTTCTGTGTAATTATTTTGAGTGTTATCTAGCTGGGCGGCGGGGATGAAAAGCAGGCCCTCTCATACTACAAAAACTTCTCAGATATCATAGGTAGGGTAAGTTGAGGACGGGAAGGTTTGTTACTCAGTTAATAGGTGGCATCATAGGGAGGAGGGAGGTTTGTTCTCTACTCCACATGAACTTGGGCTGCTAGGAGCTCTGAAGAACTCAGGCCAGTTTTGACTTTCATGACTGGTATCATTGGTGCCAAAGGATTCTCTGCCTAGCGTGGGGGCTGGCAACACTCTGCCTCTCCAACACTGGCTCCTCAGCAGCAGTGGGAAACAAATATCTGTGAAGACTACACCTGCTGATTATGGTGCTGGGTAAAGACTGTGAAAGCACACCACTGTTTCTAGAAAATGAAGAGAAATTTAATGGGATTGAAGCATTTGCAAGTGGTAAAACGACATGCTAGAAGAGATGGAGGCAACAGCAGCAGCTATAGCAGTAGGAGTGGCAACAGCAGCAGCAGCAACAACACAGCAGCAGCAGCAACGGCAGCAACAGCAACAACAGCAACAGAAACAACCACAGCAGCAGCAGCAGCAATGGCAGCAACAGCAACAACACAGCAGCAGCAGTAGCAGCAGCAACAGCAGCAGCAGCAGCAACGGCAGCAACAGCAACAACAGCAACAGAAACAACCACAGAAGCAGCAGCAGCAACAACAGCAGCAGCAACAGCAGCAGCAGCAACCACAGCCCCAGCAACAACAGCAACAGTAGTAGCAGCAGCAAGAGCAGAAGCAACAACAGCAACAGCAGTAAAAACAGCAGAAGCAGCAACAAGAGTAACAGCAGCAGTAGCAGCAACAACAACAACAACATAAACCTTGGGATAGAAGAGAAAGTTCAAGAAACCAGTCCAATATCAGACAGACAAAAGTTGTTAAAAGAGAAAGGGCACATTGTCAAAGTCAAGCCCAACAGATTTCCGTGTCTCTCTTATTCTATCCTCAATGATGATGAACATATTAGCATGAACAGAAGTTGTGGAAGCCTGTGAGACACCAGCATCCATTTACTCACTTGCTCATTCAGAGTACATTTTGATGAGCAGAGTAAAACAGCATCAGAGGCTGGGAGTGTTATGAACTCCTGGGGTGGGACACAGGGGAGCTACTGGGATATGAAAGGGTCCAGCATTTCCCTCTGCTCTAGATGGTATTGGTGCCTACAGCAGGGCTAGGCACTACCTCCTAGAGTTCAGTCAAAGGGAGAGGAAGGATATGTAAATAGACAAAACAGACAAAAATAGAACCACAAATGTTAGTGAACACAGAGACAGGGCAATCGAGGAGACATCACTCATAAGTTGGCAGAGGTAATGATTTCTCTCAGGAGGAGACATATGAGTGAAAACCTGAAAAATGTGTCATAATGCACACGAGAAGCAGGGAAAATGTGACGTGTAAAGGCATTTGAGCATAAAGGAACTGTGTTCAGAGAACCAACAGCCTCATAGCAGGGCAAAAGGGGCAGAAGGTCCCAAGACAAGGGTAGGAGACCAGGCATGGGCAGGTCACCCAAGGCTTTGGAGATGGGGCTTATAAATTCATTTCTCATTGACAATTCAGAGAAAGACTTGAGCATTTGCAGGTGGGGAAGTTGATAGAAAACAGACAGTCTAATAAGGAAACTGTAGACACAGTTCAGAGAAGACCTAACAGTGACTCACGTCAAGGTGTTGGCAGATTGGAGAAAAGTAGATAGATTTGAAATCCATTTTGAATGTTTAAACTGTGAGAGTTAAACGATTAGTCATGAAGCATATCAAAGAACATGGTGGACTTGACTTTGAGCCACTGGTGGTTTGGTGGTGTCCCTTACTGAGGTGGAGAAAGTTGGGTGAGGAATGGTTTTCAGTTGAGTTGGGAAGATGCCGAAAACTGATCGTACTATATTTGAGGTGCCTTGTGACACTAAGAGCCAACACATTCTGCATTCAGAGATGATATTAACTGTAGTTACAAATTCAGGAGTAAGTAATAGGAATCAGCTAATTTAACGGGAGGAGATGATTGACGTGGGTAAAAGTTTTTAAGAAATGAGAGTATTGGGCTTTGGATCATGGGAACTCCAACACTTACTCATTTGGTGTAGTAGAAGAAGGCAGCAAAGAAGGAGGAGGAGGAGGAGGAGGGGGAGGGGGAAGAGGGGGAGGGGGAGAGGGAGAGGGAGAGGGAGAGGGAGAAGGAGAAGGAGAAGGAGAAGGAGAAGGAGAAGAAGAAGAAGTCAAAGGCAAACATAGAAAGTGAAAAAAGAAAAAAGAGAGCAAGTGGATCAAACAGGGCAAGAAGGTGCATTGGTCAATGTGGGCAGTACTAAGAGGGACAGCTATGGTGGATTATAGAGGTATTAGACAGGGCAGCAGTGACACCCGGGAGGGCATTTGTATGGGCAGCTGCCTTGAGAACTTTGGTTGTGAAGGGAACTGGAGCTCTGAGCCATTCGTCAGGCAGTGGGTATGGAGCTGAGGTATAAAGCCAGGATCTGCTGTGTTTGCACCTTGATGGAATGATCCAGCACAGAGGGAGACAGTGAGGGTACAAGGAAAACTGAACAATATCAAGTCAGGACTTACTAGCAAGAGAAAATTTCTAGTTCATTAGGAGCCACAGAGACTCAGTGGTTTGGCTGTGGATGGAAGAAAGGAAGAGGTCTGGGTAGTGTTGAGAGAATATTTCCATTTTTCAAGAGAAGTAGGAGGCAGAGTTCAGCATGCAAAAAATCGGGAAGTTCCTGCTAGGTTAGAGCATGCCAGGGTCATCTTGGACAGCCAGAGAGCAAGTGTACTAAAAAATGCAGCCGAACTCAGCTAGTGCTGGGATGAACATAAAACTGTCATGTTGGATCCTTTGAGTGCCTCAAGTTTGTCTTCTTTATCTGTTCAGATACAGACATGAAAAGGGTGAGAGGTGTCTCTGAGTTCATAATCATGATGGAAATAAGACTTTGTAAAGTGTGTGGTTTAATTACAATGTTCTGGACCACGGAGTAAAATAGCAGAGATGGCAATGAATGGAGACTGGTGGCTCCCTGGACCAGCAGCTAAAAAGGGGTTGAAGAAACTCTCTCTCTCTCTCTCTCTCTCTCTCTCTCTCTCTCTCTCTCTCTCTGTGTGTGTGTGTGTGTGTGTGTGTGTGTGTGTGTGTGTGTATGTGTGTGTTTGGGGGAGTGTTATTATTAGGTAATTCTTTAAGAGGAAAGTATGAGAAAGACCCAAGGTTAAAGAATGTGAGCTCTTAAGTGATGATGATCATAGTAGGACCACAGGAGCCAATAGCTTATGTGGGGTGAAGGAAATGAGTATTAGATAATAAAGAGGCCATCACAAAGGACCTTGTTCACAATAAGAAAAATAGAAAAGAAAAAAAATCGCAATGGAAAAGAGACCCAGAGAGGTTGTGCCAACTCAAATGTGAGGGCAGTGACAAGTGACAGACTAATAGGAGGGTCTGGAAACTGGGCATTTCCCTGTGGTCAGGCTGTTGCAGCAGGTGCAAGGGCTGCAAACAGTTAAACACACCTCTCCAGTTTACATTTGCAGTTCTTTCTATAGCTTTCTGTTTTCCTTAAATTTAGGCCAATAAGTCTGCCCTAAAATACTGAGAGTAATATTTATAGCAATAAATTAGCAAATGGCTATTTTAATCATAGCTGTCATCA